TGGGTACTGAAAAGTGTATAGATCATCTCCCTGCTTGAAATCAGATCATATCCTTCTATCAACTATCATCTGAGCATCCATTCCTCATTAAGGATCTTTTCCCTGAACACTCTTAGCGCGCCATCGCTTCGCGTGCACGCATTCTTGAACCTCCCGCTCATGCGCGCATCACGTGCGCCTTCGCCTCGCTTACGCGTGTGTTACCTTCTTGTGCCTGTTAGCGCCCGCCTAGCTCATAGAGTTTCCCTCCATTTTTATTCTGAGGAACTTCTCTCAGTGGTTGTCCTTTGGGTCAAGTCGTTGTCTCGTATCCTGGTCTTGCTGTAGAGCACCCATTAGTTTTAAGTGTCTTCACCTATAGCCAAGATTCCTCTTCTACAGCGCGCACACTTCTCGCGCTTCACGATGTATATGTGCACGCGCTTTCCCACGCTTGATTGCCCTATAGCGCCAGCCATCCTGAAGCATCCATCCACTGTCCACCGAGCTCTCTAGTGCGTGTATTTCCGTTTCCCTTATTTGCATATCATTCCATCTTTATTTTTATCATGAACCCTTATCTATGCATATTGATATTATGTGTCCAATCAAAGTAAGAAGAGGAGTTGAAATACTGGTATCTGATATATGGTGCGGTTTGAGAATGAGATGTTAATGAAAGGTATTGATTGTTTGGGCGAAAGCCCGCAGGGCTTTCCGGTGAAGGTACAACAATTCAGATGGTGAGTCTGAACAATGTTGGGTCTTGCAGAACCTAGCTGCTATTCGACCCTAAAGGGTTTCTGGACCAGGCTCAAGGCTCAGAGTAGAGGAAATATCATAAAAACTTGCTGATCTCTCAGACTCATACTGGTAACTGGTGAAAAGATTGATTGATTATGTAAGCTACAAAAGTGCCAACATAAGGTAAGGTAAAACAGTCTCTACAAGCCCAACCAGAAATGAATCCCTACACCGGACCAAAACAACAGGCTCAAACCTGGGAGAAAAGATGAGCTGTGAATCCCAAGAGATTAGGAGTTCGACGACGCAAACAGCGAAGCTTATGGCCCAATGGTTAAGGAGGTGGACTTACTCCAAGTTTCTGAGATCATCTCACTGGGGGCATCATGATGCGCGTGAATGGTTCGAGAGAAGGGTTTGCTTGAATATAGGGCGCTAACACTTTGGCATGGTCTCAAAGGTATCGCATGAATGCGTCACTTGACCAATGGCCCATGGTTTTGACTACCTCGAATGGAACTCCCCGGAGGAGGTACTCTAGAGTACCTCCTATGTGAATACTGTGTCCTTTGAGATTAGGGAGGTTGGCGACTGCGGAAATGGACAATATGTGTTTGGTGAGCTCTGTTTTGGACAACGTGCGTTTCCCTTTCTCAGGATGGTTCCAGCTGAAAAGGTGATCTGAGTCTTGTGCGGGATTGATGGCCAAGTGATTCCTCAACGCTTCCTTTGGGTCTGATAGACCCTCCTGCTCTGCCCAGTAAGCATCTTCTCCTTCTTTTGGAGCTGATTTCGTGCTGGGTAAATGGAATTTAGTTATGGCAAGACCGTTCCTGTCTATTCCTTCTGAAACATCTCCTCGAGTGATGTGCTTTCGTGGATTGAAGTCTTTCATTGCCAAGACGGTAAATTCTCCTAGGTGAGCAACTGAATAAAATGATGTAGTTATGCAGGTGAATATGGCAGTGTCTTTGGGATCTTCAAGATTTAGATGATTACAAATTTCGATTATTATGGCGGGGGTGAAAGGAGAGCACTTAGCGTGCTTAGATGCAGGTGGGGCAAATTTCGCGGCTCCATCTAAAATGGACTTAAGTTCTCCTGCTGGTATGAGCCAAGGGTGACCGTGCAGTATATGCCAAGCTTTAAGTCCTGCTGCGTAGTTTGCGAGTGTGGAACTGGAATATGATCCTGCACAGCTGGATAGGAATGCAAGCAGTAGGGGGCAGGAGATGGGGCATCTTTGACTCTCTGTGATTTGCTGCGTGTCGCAGTACACATGGAATACTAACAGTCTGGTGCCATATGTTTCTTTTGTGGAGGCAGCCCATGATGAGCCCATGACTTCTAGTACCCGATCCAGCTGTGAGTCTGATATTGAGAACTTGCGAGGGTCGTTGGAGATTACCGTTCTGCGAGTGTCTTTGCAGAACGGTTTCCAGTAGCTTAACCTATCCCTAGCTAAACAATGGGGGCGGAGAGGTGAGGGAGTGGGAGTCAGATTGGTTCTATAAGGTTGTGGATTTGAAGGAGTGTCAGTGGTGATACTGGGTAGAATTACATCGAAACCTTGGCGCTCAACAGCTTGGGTCCCCGTGGATTTGGAGAGTGTCGAGGAGGATTTGGTCTTCTTCTTGTCTGGATGCTTGTAGGCGCGCTGCACCTTGCTGTCTAAGCAAGGCTCTATTGATAATTTTGGTGGCAGGAGGGGGGTAGCGCCCGTTGTGCAGTAGGCGGAGTTCTGCAGCTGTTGGGGGTTCAGTTGCATTGACGATGAATTGTCTAAGGATGGGAGGAATGACGATTGGAGGGAGTAGAAGCTCTCTGGACGGGTAGATTCCCCTGGAGGGACCATCGGCTGGGTTCTGCTCGCTCTTGATGTAGACAGTGCAGATTGCGAGATGTTGGGGTAAGCATTGGACGAGCTCATGTACTCGATGGAAAACTGTGTTGACTTCTCGGTTTCGGTGCCGTCCTTTCCACCATCCTTCGACAACTCCGGTGTTGTCGCCGTATACAGTGAGTGCATTGCCCAGGTTAGGAAAAGTGGTGAGGGTTCTAATGAGCAATTCAAAGCCAATGGCTTCTGCCCATCCAATGTCATGCTTGCCATTGAGAGTCTGCCAACCGGGAACGAGTCTCCAAGCTCTCCACCGATTTCCAATGACGATACCTATGCCTATGCTTGAGCTGGCATCCGAGAAGGCTTGTGGGTCCACGTAAGAGGCTGGGGGGTATATAGGCCAGGAGACACCTCCGCTTTGCAACGTGTCTGACCACCAATCGAGATCATCTTCGATGTTCTTGATGGGGTGGTGCAGCAAGTGAGGCTTCTTTCTGCAAATACTCAGCATAGTTTCCAGTGATGTGAGGTAAGCGCGCCCTTTCCTCAAGACTTGGCATGCATGCAGCAACTTTCTGTAGAGCTCTCGCACGTCTTGCAGAACGTGAACTGTTCTTCAGCCCCACTTGTGGATGGCCAGTAGGTACTTACTGACTTTTGACGGGCTCAGAGCGACCATGCGATTGGCCACATCCCACACGAAACCTATACAGATGGTTGAGGTCGCGAATGGTTGGTCCTTTTCCTTTTCCCATCTGATGCCGAGATTGGAGGAGAGACTGTCGATGTCCTCAAGGCAATAACCGAATAGTTTGTCGTGTTCTGATCTGGGGGATTGTTCTGATAGGTCTTTGAGGGGCCATGCGCAGTCCTCACTAAATTCCTTGATTGAATTGTCGTCGAACACGCGTCCTCCAAACCAGATTCTGCTGCCTGATTGGTGCATGCCTCTCTCTGCGAGGTCTTTGTGCCATTGGGCGTGTTGCCTATTGTAGTCATTTAGATATTCTTTTCTAATATGTACAAATATATGGTCATCGACCCATTTGTCTAATGGGCTGATTCCGTGGTGTCTGAGAATCTCGGCACCTGCATCTGCTACGTGGCCATATGCTCCTGCAGATGGGGTGGCTCCAAATGCCATGCACATGTCTACGCACAGCTCGGTGCTCGACATACGAACTACTCCTGCCGGCCATTGGGAGGGGTGAAGGGGAAGAGTTCGGTAGGCTTCTGCAACATCTTCTGAACCTATCGGCAGTCTCGACATTAGAAGGTATATGACTGAGAATTTGCCCCAGGTAGTGGGAAAATGATTAGCATTGATGTGAGAATTAATTGATGGATTAGGGTATGTGGGATCGGTGTCATGTGGAAAGGAGAAGTTCTGGACCAGTCTGAATTTTCCGGGTTTTCCGGGTTTAGGTATTATGGACAAGGGCGATGATTGGAAGGGACCTATGGTACGTTCGAGCTCTAGAGGGGAAAAAGAGCCTATATATCTTCCTTTGTGCAATTCTTTCTGGATGATGGAATCAAATTCTGTGCAATACTTGTTAACTGAGTCCTTATTTGGTGGGCTTTGTATATGCATTATTAAAGGGAAGTTTAATTTAAATCCTGATCTGAAGCCTTCCGGAACTTTCACAAATCGATCCAACGCATCGGCATTACATAACTCATGTTCCCAAACATCTGCGATGTAGGGGGTGAGAGGATTAGTTCTTCTGTGCTCGAGGGCAGCATTGGGCTCCATGGTCTGACGCGCCGCATCCTGAGCACAGATGCCTGTTACTGTGCTGGTTGCTGGTGCAACCTTCCTCTCTTTGCCATGAAGTACATAGCTGGCGCCCATTCTTGGACCACAGTGCTTTGTGGATGCGTTCTGAGAATGTGTCAAAGAGGTTATCCCATGTCTTGGTGGCGTTACATTCCACTGTGCAGTGGGAGTTACGTCCGAGACAGACAGCACAGCATGGGAGAGGACCGGAAGGATCGGCTTGGTCTCGAAAGGAGCGTGCTTTCTTTTTGTAGTCATTGCTCTCAGTGTTTGGAGATGCCGCTCTTTCCTGGACGTTGCCTGGACGGGCAGTAGGTGCCTGCGTGTTGTGACTGGTATAGGTATTGTTAGCAGCGGCAGCCTGGTGTGCGTGCAAGTGGGAGGTTTTGGTGACGTGATGTCAGTGGTGGTGGTGTTGGTGCATGATGACGGTGACACGATGTCAATGGAGGTGGTAGAAAGGAGCGTGATGTCCAAGTGATGGTTTTATGGCAATTGGAGCCGGTCAACGCGTGATGGTCAAGGGAAACGAGTGTTTCGTTGATCGAGCGTGATGTTGATATGATTGAGAATACGAAAGACACGCGCGATGCATGTGATTCATGTAAAGAGGAAACGAAAGGGGAGAGTTCCGGTCAGGTTTGTAAGTAGAATTCACAATGAATGTACCTGTTTGAGTGCAGCGAGTGCTAAGTCACGATCTTCATTGAAAATCTCTTCTCCAGCCTCCATGATTAGATCCTGGTTAAGTTCTGCTATGCTCCAACCGAAGGGGCCACCTGCTGTAAAGTGCCATAGTCTCCGTTGCTGGCTTTGATATAGTAGTAGCGCACGTTGCTTTAAGGTGTTGAAAGTGTGTCTCCAACGATGGTTCTGGAGAGCGGTCCAGAATTGGATATGCATGTTGATTCTATCTTCCGGCCATTCATGTTGCTTCATGGCTGTAATCATACACGGGGTGGCTTCGTTGAAATGCTCCCAGGACAGATTCTTGTCTTTAGTGATGACAGCTTTGGGGTCGCGCATTTCATCAGCATTAATCCACGTTTGTAGTCCATCAGTGTTTGTTGTTAGCATTAAACCTGGTGATTCAGTGGAGAGTAGACTCTTCTTGGCGTCTTTCAGACCTTTGTTAGTGAAATAGTAGAGTTCGCAATACTCTCCTGCTTTCAACTTCCGCACAGCGTAGTGGGATGGGATAACAACTGGTATGGAGGGAACTTTGGAGTTGCCGACAGGAATGAACTTAGATTTGTTCTTCTTCTGTTCCTCTTTGCGAGCTGCTTCTTGTTTGTCAGTGATGGCTTGTTGGTGGTCTCGTTCTTCTTCTATTGCTAACCGTCAAGCTTCTTCAGCGTCTCTAGCAGCTTCTTCAAGTTGCTCTGCCCAGAGCTCTCTAGCTGTATTGTTGTTTAGTGTCCATAAGGTTGCTAGAAGTTCTGCAGCTTGGACATCGTCGCCAATACCATTGGCGATGAGCCGAGCCCTGGCTGTTGCATGATCTGCTATTCTAAAATCTGGCAATATTGCGTCATTTGGGTTGTCTAATAATGGGGCCATTTTGAAAGAGTATGAGCAGAAAACGATAGAGTTAGGACTAGAGATTGTCCACGACATTGAGAAGCTGATGTGGTTTGAGAAGAAGGTTGCTGTGCCACAATGTTTTCTCACACATAGACTATATTCTATGTTAGCCTCGTGCCTCGGCTAGCTTAGAATTTGACTTATATATATCTTTACATACTAGACCTTACTCAGTAGCACTTTGGCTCCGCATGACAGCGCTTAGGTACTGTATATAAGCGCCAGCAGTACATACCACCTTACTGGACCTCTCACTTTACCTTACCATTTAGACCACTTGACTTCCCACTGAACTTCCACCCACTATTGACCTAGCAGAACATAGTAGAAATCTATTTGTTTACATCTCGCACTCTCACATCTCTTATCTTGCATCATATCATCACTTAAGCTTAGTCTCTCTCATTTCCGCATACATGCGCACACTTTCCTGCGCGTTCCCACGCCTTCATGCCTTGCGCACACCTGCACTTTCTTGTGCTTCGCTTTAGCACATACTTCTAGATCTTTGCTGTACTTGCTTCTCCTTTAGGGTCGAATGAACTTGTTGTCACAAGTATAGCAGACTAGGCAACATGCGACCCTACAACAATTATAGATACAGTCAGGAGCCTTGTTCGCGCCTTGCAGTATTGTTGTTTCTACAATGTCATACATGCTCTGTCCATTGGACATTTCAGGTTCCAAATCTGCTCAGACATACTAAACCCTAACCCTGATATTATTGACAGTATTGATACCATATATATATCTATGTATTGTTAGGTCTAGTATGAGCAATTTTTGTGATGTGCAATACCACATCAAGAAAATGTCAACTTACTTAATCCGCTGTAGAAGAGGATTCGATAGTGGTATTATAGAGTGGTATGAGATAAACTCAAGTAGTCCTTGATGAGCGAGATATATGTTGACCCAAGGGGATTGCTACTGAGAGAGGTTCCTCTAAGTGTATATGTGGAGGGAACACTGGACCAGGTGCTTGGTCAAGCCTGGTAAGGCACACGACAATGAGCAAAGCACTAGTGAGTGAAAGCGACGTGAAGTGTTACGCACTCAAATAGATCTGTTATGCGGAGCCCTAAGAGGGGCGTCGTCCACTAATGTTCATGACATAACCGGAAGGGTCCGGTGTAGTGACTGAGACTGGCGACGTCGAGTCGGCAGATATCAGAGACGCGCGTGTCACGTGACTTCTAAGACGGATGTCTTCAAAGTCACTGACGTTCTCAAAGTAAGGACAGTCTTGTCCGAACGATGAGGTAGTTGATCGAGGTAGACTTAGGCGCGATGAGCACCTAAGAAAAGATACTAGAGACTGAAGCTGAGGGGGCTTCAGAGGGAAGTATGTTCGAGGGAAGATTGAGTAGATTCAAGTTAGGGAATCTAGTACAGAGTGACCGACTACTTATACTAAGTGGAAAGGGTTAAGGGCAAGGCTACCGTACTGTAGGTAAGGGCAAAGGGGAAACAGAAAGGGTATAGGTACGCTGGTAGCAGAGCCTGATTAGTGATGTGAGGTCGAATGCGGAATGAGACCGAGAAACGTTGGAACGAGCCAACGGTAAATGATACAATGTGCAGCATGCACGAGTCAAAGGAAAGATAAGACAAGATAAGGAAAGCCACATTGGTGGCACAAGTCAGAACGAGTCATAGCCTGAAGGCACGTGCGCACGTTGGTGCGATAGGAGGGGGACGAGGGACGGGAACGGTCCCGAGGATCCGGTCAACGGATAGTCGGTAGAGAAGTACGAGCCGGAGGCATACGAGGGCGAGGACGAAGGGGAAAAATGATAGGGGGGCCATGTAACCGATGTTACTTGTAACATGAAGTGCTGATGAGCAACAATGGGCGGTGATAAGCGACAGTGCGCGACTTATAATGGAAGCGCATGCTGAGTGGTGTGCATGTGGGTGGTGGAGCATAGCGACTCTTTAACGAGTCAGAAAACTAATTTGGCAGAGTTTCTAGTAGTGTATGGCAGCAGCGCTCGTATTGTACTTAGATACTCAAGAGATATGAGGGAGAACTTAGGCTTAGAGTCCAATAATGTGCAGGCAGAAAGATGATCATTATACAGTTTAGACGCACGTATATATACTAAGTAATACTAAGCGCTGTCAGGCACTAAAGCGAACCGAGAAGTGAAGCAGATATGAGATAATATGTAATGTAAAGGTCCATGATGGAAAATATACAAGATATGGCCATAAGTGCTGGAGATATGTCAGAATAAATGGAAATAGGATGGGAATACGCACTGACGAACTGAATGGACATGGAATGGATGGATGGAGGATGAGCAACAGAACCAAGGATGCGCATGCTGATGCACAACCGAAGCGCTCATGCATGTGAGTGGTTGATGAAGTGCATGAGTGCACTGGGTGAGATATGAGTCACACTATATTGGGAAGTGATAGAGACATTGGGAATTTAGTTCCCTGCAAGCCCACAGAGATATTAGTCTCTACATTGGGTTTCACATTGGACTATCAGATATTGCACACACTCATCCTACCTATGTCCAGTCTCATTCTGCTAGCTTCACTAGGTGTGTAGTTACTTGTTTTCACATCCCTAACATTTTGGACTGCGTTATTACATGTATTCTCATGGTCTGCAGTACATCATGTCTTATTACATAAGACATCAGATCTGAAATATTGTGCTACTACTTTCACCTATAGGGTTCTGGATTTCTACATATCTACATAAATATTAGACTCCCCATAGCATCATCATAATCTGAGCAAAGGAGAGTCGTTCTCCAATGCTTAGGGGTCAAACCCAATATTTTGTAGTAGTTATTATTGTGAATATCATTGTTCCTTCACCATCTGTATCTGTCATTGTTATTATCACACACACCACTCGCTTTTCTGATGCTCACTATCGCATTACTATCAGTTTCTGATAACCTGAACCCGAATCCAATGAACCCGAAAACATCGGACCCGACACTTTTGCATCAGACATTGTAATTATACCTTCGGACATTGTTTCCCGTGCTCGGAATATTGACCCCACATCACTCATTGACCCCCAAAACTATTCCCAGACCGCAGACTGCTGGGTCGAACACACTTGTCTCACCAAGTATAGCAGACTAGGCAGTGCAAGACCACAACATAAAGATATCAGTTTGGAGCCATCTTTTTATAGCCCCACTCTGTGTTGTATTCCTACATCACGCATACCTTGTCTGCTATTTTCCTGCACTTAGTACACTCTCAGATTGCACACATCCATCATCTTTCTAGTAGCAATTCCCTTTAGGGTCAAACATGTCCTTGCTACTCAGCAGGACTGTTGTCACCACAGTGCACTCATGTCTCAGCATACTATCATCTTGACCCTGATTGTGTCTATACTGCAAAGGCTTTACTGGTCAACCACATCTACCATTATGAACAGCATTTCAATGTAGGTGATTATGTTTTCTATTATACATCTTGATTTGCTCAGTGCCATGCACACTCTCCAGGAGATGAATGACCCCATCCCACAGCCAAAAAAGCTGTACTTTGCTAATATCTTACCATATCTAATCAAGGGGTGCTATTTCAATGGGCTAAAGTCAGTCAGCATCAAATTTTCAGACCATTTCAAGGAGATTATGAAGAACAAGACCCAGCAGCCCAAGGTTACAATTCCAATGGTTGCTTTAACCAGTACCTTAGTATATTTATTGATATCCTCTAAGTTTGAGCACATGGACTAACAATGAGTGCATAGGTGTATGCCACTCTCTTCTGGAAGGCTAATGAATCCCCGTCAAAATTCAATTTCACTGGCAATCTATTCAGTGAGGTCTATTTTTTCCATGTGAAATTTCTCGAGGACATGAAGGTGACTACACCATCACTGCAGGCATTGACTCATTTTCCTTCACCAAACATCCAAAAAAAATTGAATTAGAAGATAGAAATTTCCTTGTATTTTACCCATCAAAACATTGAAAAAATGTAATCAATGTATCAAAGATTTTCTGTATGTAGGACATGATCCAAAAATTAGTCATGTTCCTTCAAGAAAGACATTACATTTTTCATTCATCATCTTTCAAATAACAACTTACAATCATGTTAAATTTTTTGTCTGTGTTTTTCAAATGTTTTGTGTGTCAATAGTCAAAATTATTTCATCCAGTTCACTCCATGTTTGATCCAAGAACATTAATAAAAAATATAATAGATCATATAATCCATTCAACCAATGTTTTGTCTCAGAAAAATGAAGAAAGTTTCAAAAGTTCCTTTGTATATTTGTTAATAGGACATTTGTGAAACATTTTTTATGTTCTGTAAAAATAAATAAATGATAATTCCAGGATATTCCCCCTGAGCAACATTCAATTAACATTTACTATGTTCTGTGGACAAAAAAATAAAATGTGTGCAGCTTGTTCCTCCTCAGAACATGCACAAATAACTTGTTTTGTTCTGTTCTGCATAACCAGATAACATTAATATGTCTTATTTACATAGTGCTAACACAGAAGACAATGAAGAGGATGATATCATTTAGATCTGTAGCATATATTTGGTAGCTACAGGAATGTATCAAACCAGCAAATTTATGAATGCGCCCAACCATAATACTATATCGCCTTAGACGTATTGTCACATCTTGCCTTAGTCATGTCCATCTTGTTGACAGCAATGATGAGCTGACGGATGCCGAGGGTGAACATCAAGAGGTCATGCTGACGGGTCTGACCGACCTGTGCAGACAGCAATGATTAATGGATGCCTATATTACATCAGTTTCACTGATGACTATAGCCGGGAGATGAAGATAATGTTTTTGAAGAAGAAGAGTGAAGCACTCACTGCATTCAAGCAATACAAAGCTTATGTCAGCAGACAATGTGGAGTGCACCTGCACAAAGTTTGATCTGATCGTGGAGGAGAATATATGAGCAATAAATTTGATAAGTACTTGAAGAAGCAAGGAGTAACAAGAGAACTCACAGTGCACGACTCTCCACAGCAGAATGGCGTAGCTGAACGTCTAAATCAGACATTGGTCAAACATGCACGGGCTATGTTACTGGCAAAAGAATTACCAAAATTCCTATGGGCTGAAGCCATCAATTACACCACTTACTTTCAAAGGCCATCCCAGGACAGACATTGTTTGAACTGATGCATAAGTCTAAATCAAATTTAGCTGCAGCGCATGAATTCAGACAATGAATGTATGTCCACATACCAGATAACAGAAAGTTAGAAGCCAAGGCAGAAGAGGCCTTATTTGTTGGAGTCAATGAAGAAAGCAAGGGATACCAAGTGTATTGGCTGGGAAAGTGACAAGTTTCTATTGAGAGAAACATTAGTTTTGTGCCAGAAAAGATCAATATCAATGACAACGTACTGGATGAGGGGGAGTCTAGGCTAACACCTCCCAAAAACAATGTTCAAAATAGTGTCCAGAATATACTGGTACACATGCAACCTCCAACAATGTCCCAAGTCCCCCAAACGCCAAGCCAACCTCCCAAAATGCCACCCCAGAGTATACAGAGACTGCCAGATCCAATAACGCCCAAACCCACAAGAGTATGACCCCCTGCGGAATACTACAAAGCATTGAATGAAGGAGAAAGAGCAACCATAGCAATGGAAGACTCACTGGATGACACTCAATCAAATTCTTTTCCATATATGGCCATGGCAGCTACAGAAAAATAACCAACACTTAGAGAAGCATTAAATGGTCCAGACACAGAGGAATGGCAAGAAGCCATGGACTATGAAATCGGTCAATTAGAGAAACTAGGAACATAAGAAATTATAGACCCACCTAGAGATGCAGACATTATACCATGCCACTTCATACTGGCAACCAAGTGAGGTCCAAATGGAGAGAAGATAAAACTCCGGGCACATCTAGTAGCAAACGGTCAGCGACAGGAATACGGAATAGACTATCAAGAAACCTTCGCACCCACATCCAATATGACGACCATACACACAGTCTCATCGATGGCTGCAGGAAACAATTGGAAAATGCATCAAGTAGACATAAAAAGTGCTTACCTAAATGCTACACTCAAGGACGACATGTATATGTGGGCACCATCCAGATACTTGAAGAAAGGAGACAAGGGAAAGGTCTTGAAGCTGTTGAGAAGCTTGTATGGCCTAAAGCAAGCCAGGTTTGAGTGGTCCAAGGAGCTAGAAGAATTCTTCCTCAAAGCTGGGTATACACGCTCGCAAGTCGATCGAGCAGTGTACTATTGGAGGGAGCAGGACAAGCACACCATCGTAATGGTATCAGTTGACAACATGGCCATAATGTCGAAGCATCTAGAAAATATACAGAAGTTCAAAGATCAGTTGTGCCAAAAGTTCAAGATTACAAATCTGGGAGAGCTTACCTGGTTGTTAGGTCTCAAGATAGAGAGACCGAAGCGCACGAACAGTAACACTATCGCAAGAAGTGTATGTTGACACCATTGTCAAATGCTTCCACCTAGAAGACACAAAGCCAGTGCACATTCCCATGGAGACTGGAATACAGCTGATGAAAGAACAGTCAGACCATTTGCCAGGCACCAAATCTGAAATATCTGAACAACATGTACCATACCAGAGAGCGATTGGATCGCTAATGTATGCAGCAACTTGTACTAGACCAGACATAGCACTAGCAGTGTTGGTACTGTCGCAATTCATGCAAGAACCAGTGAAGTCACACTGGGAGGCAGCAAAATGTGTCATCTGTTACCTGAAGGCAACAAAGAAAGCAAAGCTTACCTTTGTCGGAAATTTGCAAAACCTATTTCAATGCTCCATTGTTGAAATGTCATTGAAATTCCCATTGGTATGATAATGTAAGGTTATTCACTGAGTTTCAATGCATTGTCAGCTGATTGCAAGGCATCGTTCCTGGTATTTGTGCTCTCACCACCTGTATCCCTCGATTTCTTTGTGCATATCAACTCTGTAGATACCTCATATATATCTGTCAACACTATGGGCTCTGACCGGCCAAAATTCTGGAGGAACACCAGCAAGCAGGCACATGATGAATATGTCGCGGAATCAATCAGGCAGCGAAAAGGTGTGTTTTGAGTTGCTCTCATCACCTTCCCATCTGATTCAGAATATAGCTGCAGCAAATAATCCTGTTGGTCCTGGATGCAGGACTGTCAATGCAGCAGCTGCAGAACCAAACATCAACATGCTTCCAAATCACACACAAGGTAAGTTTTGTCCTTTGTGTCATATACTATTGCATCTATTTCACTTATCCGTTTATTAATCAGTCGCAACAGGCTTGTCTTTGACAAGTTCTCATGGCGTCAATCATCTGGACTTTATTTTCGGTGAGTTCTGACATGATTCCTTTGACTTTTCTTAATCGTGTATCGTTAATGTGAATGTTAGACGATCCACCATTTTCCCCTGGTGATGATGGAGACCTTGAATATTGTGAATTCCAGGTCGATGATATCAAAGTCGAACATCACCCCAATAGCGGGATCCCAACAAAAGTTCACATGTTCAGTGATTTCAAGTGCCATCCAGCCCATTACTCCTCATGGTCCGCTCCTGAACCTGATGCCCAACCTTGGCATCCCTTCAAGTCTTGTTTGGAATTTGATATTGCTGAAATCGCCCTTGAAGCAGCCCTCAATAATGCTCAGACTGATCATCTCCTTGACATCTGCCACTGTTGTGTGCGGCAGTCAGAGAAATTCACTTTCCAGAACCATAAGGATGTCTGTGCTAAGTGGGATGCGGCCTCTCAGCGTGTAACAGGGATTGTCTCATTGCTTGCTGTATGATTCTCATCGGACTAACATTTCAGCTTAGTTTACAAAAGATGTGGTTTCAATACCCTTTGCTGATGCATCTTGGGACTTTGATGTCTACTATCGTGATCTTTGGGAGTGGGCCACCGACCTCCTCCACGATCCTTATCTATTTCCTCACTTTCATTTCGATGCTCAACGCTTGTCAAAATTCAATGGCCGGTCATTTGAACACTTTGTAGATGAGCCCTTTATGGCTCAAAACTTCTGGGATGCTCAAGTATGTACTATTTGTGTCAATGTACCATGTGTAGTGATTTTAATTGCATTTAAATTTCAATGTATTGTATAGTCACAACTGCCGCCTGATGCAAAGCCCCTCGTGTTCATCTTGTATGCTGACAAGACGAAGTTATCAAGTTTTGGTACTGTGAAAGGCTACCCTGTCGTTGTGCAATTAGCCAACTTACCCACTGACATTCGCAATGTCAGGGGACAGGTGGTGGTTATGTTGTTGGGTGGCTTCCCATGGTCCGATACATTTGCTATGTCCACTGATTCGAACTAATTCTATTCATACAGGTGAAGGAAGATAAGCAACACTCTGGCAAGCCAGCATGGGCCAACTTCAAGGCCACGGTATGGCACAAGTGCTTTGAAAGGATCCTCTCTTTGCTAGCGGCAAAATCCAATACAGGACAATGGCTCGAGTGTTTAGATAGGCTTCAGCACTGTTTTTTCCCCTTAATACTAATCTTATTGTCCGATTTTGAGGAGAAGTAAGATTCAAACTTCAATGCTGGCCTCTTGCTAACTCACTGTGTTTCAAGGTCTACAATGTCACTCGCTCAAGGTGTCAGGGCCCTTTGGCCATGCCCCATCTGTTTGGTACCACACAACAAACTTAGTGATACGTCACACTGCTATCCCTGCTGCACATCCCATGACTCATAGGCTATCCTAGCAACTGCACGAGCAAAGGAAACTGCAGAAGAGAGGGAGGAGATACTAAAAGAGTACAGACTTCGTGATATCCTGGTGAGTTTATCTGTACTCTCCTGCCACATTCCTAACCTTGTCATAGAATGCATTGTGGACAATGAAGTCCACAGATGTGCATTGTGCACTATCATGGGACAAACTGCACTTTCACTCTGGTGGTGAATGGTCGGATCACTTGTGGGTCGAGCTTCAGAAACATATCAGTAGTCTTGGATGCGACAAAATCTCTCAAGTAGATAAGAAGTAAGGCTTTTTTCAGAAATGTTTTGAGTTGAATTGACATAGTTTAATACAGCTATCAAGCTTTTCCTCGTTGGCGAGATCAGAAGCACCCAAACCAAGTAATGAACATTGCATTTACGGACAACTCCATGCATGAAGACATTTCAAAGGTTTGTATCAAGCTTTTGTGTTACTAGCTTGAGTCTGACAGATTCCTAGATGATCATATATGCTACTCATGACATTCTACCCGAGCAGGACTGTCCTCTCAGTTATTTACTCCTTCATTGTGTCTGTCTTTACCTCGAACTCGATATGTATGCCTCGCTTGAAGTTCATACAGCCGAAACTATCAGCAGTGGCCATCATACGCACCGCATGTTTTCGGCCATTTTGCATGTATGTTTCATGTGTTTACTGCTACCAATAGTCAACTAATCAACTTGTTATTAGCAATATATCAACAAAACGGCTGACAAGAATGGAAAAAATTGGAATTTTCCAAAATTACACATGGACCTACATATTTTCGACGATGTCGAAGCAAAGGAGCGATGTGGAACTACAATACAAAGCCGAATGAGAAGATGCACAGCTCATTGAAGGATTCATATTTGCTGCGGACCAACTTTCATGATGTAGCAGAGCAGGTGCATTGTTACAACAATCATTTACTAACTTAGACATATTATTTGACAGATCCTTCGAATCAATCAGTGGCAAGTCATTGCGGATCATATCTGTCATCGCTTGTTTGAATTTGACGAGCATCAACGTCAATTACATGCAGATGACTTGCTGGAGTCGGAAGAAGACTTCATCGTGCATGTTGTTGAGCGCCCTATTTCAACTAACAGTTCCTTTCATGTCAAGCTTGGATCGAAACAACCTTTGGAGACCTTTGATGCGATTGAGAAACTTCATCAGGACGACCAAGCATTTCATAATTTTCATATCAATCTCAATGAATTTCTTAACATTCTATTACCCTCATCGGATATACCGCTACCTGAAGGTAAATGTATTCATCTCTGAGGAAACAATAAGGTAGAACATTCTATCTCAGCTTGTTTATTGGCTACACTAACATACAAGTACTAGATTACAGAGTACCGATTTCTTTGTGTCAACTATGAATCGATGGTCAACTGGTGCCAACACACAGATTATCTTCGGTGCAATCCCCTTTTCTTTGGTTCTCCATGCTTTGACTGTGTCTTCATTCAGCAGACAGAAGATAAAGTCATTCTTGGCCGGCTACTCTTCCTTTTTGAATGTCTGATTGGGGACCGCAATTTTCCCCTTGCTCTTATTCACCCTTTTGATGCTCCCACCGGTCAGCACTCTTGAAAGGACAGGGATCTTAACCTCTTCAGAGTTCGAGCAAGATGACGAGCAGAGGCACAGTTTTTTTCAGTCAGATCAATCATACGTGGAGCACTTCTGGTACCAGATGGACCTTTAGATTACCTTGTAGTTGATACTGTGGATACTGACATGTTTCTTTGCATGAAGATGATGCATTTGGAGGCAGGGCACATTGTGCGTGTTTGATGTTGAACATCCGCCAGCCATCACAGCAGTAAGTCCAGGATGCTAGAAGGTGGTATAATTATCTGATTCTCAACCTACAGCAACCATCTTGTCCGGCTATTCCTTCCACTCTGATGCGGAAGGCCTCACATTTTGCTCATTCGACTCTCAATCCTTATCTCTCAGTCATGCTCACCTTCTCGACACTCATTCGTTCTGCACAATCCGACATGGAAGGCCTCACATTTCACTTGTTCAACTCTCAATCCTTATCTCTCAGTCATGCTCACCTTCTTGGCTACCATCACAAAACATACTGAGGGCTATCCTATTCTTGTACTGGATACTGAAGAGCTGAACTAGAGGCCCACGAAACGTAAGAGACCAGCCTGCGATATTACACTGATTACTCGTGCTGATTTCATATTATGTTGTAAGGTCAGGTCATGCCTTTATTACATGACCAGAACATAAGCACATTTCAAGGTGCATCATGGTACTTTTCTTCTTGGTGCCGGCACATCACTGCGGCCTGAGGGATGATCAGAATCAATGTACATATAATTATTGCAAAGACTCAGACATCTTCAGCTGTGGCATACACAAGGTACGCGAAACATTTTCCCTTATATACTGGGGTGTTGCGTTGACTGCTTTCTTGTCTCTCTTCCCTTTAGTTCATTTTGCATCATGTTGCATCTGTCTGGGAACACATTCGACAATGACTCGGATGAAGAACCTTTCATTGAATCAGTTGCAATTCCAGGGCCAAATGCATCAAAGGGAGACCTCGTAGAGGTATGCTCTGAATGCTTGACTACATTAATAGGGCCCATCTAACGAATCCTCTCTTGTGCCAGGCACTTAAGGCACTGCAGGTTCAGGTTCAGAAGCTTGTCGAGGACAATTATACTCTTCATGAGGAGAACAAAGTTCTGATCACTGAGAAGCCCAAACGAAAATGTCGTGTGGAAGCACCTGATGAACTTGTGGCCCATGAGCAAACAATAATACTTTATGCTCGTAAATACGGCCTGACTGCTGAAATGTTCCCTAATCCCGACCTTCTCAGCAAACCACATCCTGAGAACCCAACTTCATTTGACAGCCGAGACCAGTACCTGACAGCAATGACACAGGAATCAGCATTCTTGAATGAACTATTTCATCACTTCCCCGATCATGTACACAGCGCCATGGAAAGTTTGTATTTCAGTGATCTCATAAGTATTGTATGTTTTGATATTACTAAATGTAACTGACAATTCATCTGAAGGTAATGAAATCCATTTCTGAGGCTCGCTCATCAGAGATCAACAAGCTGTGTGGTGTCACTGGTGATATATTTGGCCTTCCAGGGATGTACTTCGCCAATACCAACTACTGCAGAGCTGATGTCACGGAAATACGGGACATGCTTGGAGTGTCGGCGACAAATCCAAAGTACAAGACTTTTCCACCGGTATTGTTTCTTGGAATGCAGGAAGACTTGTCTTTGAAGACTGTGTTCAGAAACTGGGAGCTTTTGGCTAAGGTAGGCTTTTTGGCTGTGTATTTTTGCAGACTATGTGATGATGCACCTCTAAATAGGTTCTGAAGGCTGCACTACGTGGCGTCACTTCACTTCATCAAGAGACAAGCGGCGGACCAAAGACAAACACACGCAAATGGAACTTAGAACAGGTCACACCAGGGTCCATTGCATGGGCCACCGTTATTGTGAGTCATCCACCCTACATTGAGTGACGGTGTTGCTCAGCTAATATCACAGGCAATCTTTCTGCTGTCGCCTGACATGGAATTTCAGAAGTCTGGCTTGGGAAAGTCATCTGGCATCAACTACAAAGATCTATTCTACCACTATAAGAAGCTCTTGCTCACAAAGTGGGATAGCCATCGCATCCAGACCATTGTTCAAAACATCAACCGCGAAGTTTTCGGCTCTGCAAAGTCTTCTGCCTCTGGCCCAGCTGGTCAGGAAGATCACTCCAGTGAAATCATTCACACCATGAGCGTGCTGGACATGGATAACAATAGTGAATCAGATGTACCTATGCCATCTTCTACAGCACAAGCTGCCACTGCCTCTCAGTCTGATGTTATCGAGGCAGCACAGCCTCCAGAACATTTTGTCACCTCACCTCTCAGTGCTGCTTCTAGTCCCAGTAGCGCTTCCACCCTCAGCACTGCTTCCAGAAAGCATGCCAAAGTACCTGTAACGACGGGCCTAGAAGCCACTACTACTGTGGTCATGGTGCAGGATTCAGATGTGGGACCTGGTCCATAGCAACCAACTCGGGGTAGAGGAAAGACGAGGGCAAAGAAACTTGCAGCTCCAGGCATTCGTCGTGGTACTCGCGCTCGTTAGGGATAGATATATTAATGATCACACTTCATGTTGTACTGCCTGCTGTTGCTTTTAAATTTGATTTCAGCTTGCACCTACGCGCTCAATTATTAAATTGGACGTGAAAATGATAAAATATTAAGCAAACAGCATTCTAAATTTCCCATGTTTCATTATTAATCATATCTGCTATTAGAAAATTTGTTCTAAGTCTCTTTGTTCCATTCTCTCTTCACTCTGCCATCATGTTGTTTAATATTGCTACTCTTTCAATCTCTGAATCAGAATCTGTCTTTTTCAAACTCATAATATATTTTGTGCTCGGAATTGTTCTGGTGAGTCTGATTCAATCTGGCATCATTGTCATGTTTCATTAACAGGCAAGACCAGATGTTTGTCAGTTCTCTACCGACAATTTTCTGTTCACGCTTTGCGACACCTTTGATGTGGTCTTCCCAAGTGGGTTGTTCATCAGTAGGTCGTCAACAGATATTAGTCCATGAGTCGTGTGCTAAAAAATTGACCAGGCCACTGCTGAGCAACATTCTCGTCAATATTCTCAACATTCATGGTGTTCCGGCTGATGCTCATCATATTATTAGTCTAAGTGCAATGGTGAGCATGTTGACATGGCACTGCCAAGGTTCTGACAGTTCTAACTTTTTGCAGCATGACTTCGGTCCAAAGGTGCATGAAGGACCAATTCATCAACGCAATACAGCCAGACAAAGCTTCGTGGCATGCAATAGCAAAAACCAGCGAATGGACACCACTCTCATTGCTTACCTCCAATCTCACTCTGCCCTCACCGGATTGGCTGTATCTCCTGGACCAGATCGTGCATTCTTTGTTTTATGTTCAGATGACATGTCTGTTAAAGTACGGGATACAGCAGCATCATGCGCCTGTCAAGAGTGTATGCATATTACTGGAGGGTGTGCATTGTTTCACTAGTGCAGCAGAAGACTTGTGAGTGGCTTGTTGATCTTGCATCCTCTCGCATTGATGTCTTTTTTATGATTCTGGTATATAGGAGACACATATGAGTGACTATGGTAAGAAAGATAAAAAGATGACTAATATTATAAAATACAAATACAAAAAAAAAATGATTGAACAACATTGTAAGGGGGACTATTTTTATTACAATTGTTGGTGGCATCATTGGAACCGGTTGCAATGCTCACCACGGCTGAGCGGTTACGATGACTAAGATTGATTGCAACCGCAATTGCAATGACCATTACAAGACACCCTCTATTATTAGAAGCCATTTCAAGCGGAGGTTTGTATTTGAATGTTTCAATGCTTTGTAATCCATTGAAAGCTGAATTAGGAATTTCCGACATTAGGAGGGAAGGAAAAAGACCTAGAGGCTTATGCGGATGCAGACTGGGCAGGCCAGACCCACAGGCACTCCATATCAGGATACTTGGTCCTGCTGCACAAATCACCGATAGCTTGGAGCACAAGGAAGCAAACAATCATAGCATTGTCAACAGCCGAAGCCGAATACACCGCATTAACATCTGCAATGAGGGAAGTGTTATACCTTCAGTCATTACTGAAAGAACTTTATGAAAGAAGAGATGCACCTATCACCATCTACTCCAATAATCAAGGTGTCATCGCCCTCACCTCAAACAACAAGTTCCATGCTTGAACAAAACATATCAACATACGCTATCATTTTATTTGATCAGTTATCGAAAACAGCACAATAAAATTAGAATACATACCAATGCATGATAATCTCACAGATGCCTTCACAAAGGCACTGCCGAAGCCGAGACTCGAAAGATTGAGAGATGGAATGAAAGTAAGCTGTGCTTGAGGGGGAGTGTTAGAGTTAGCGCATAATGGAGATGAAGGTACGAGCACAGGAGAGAAAGCTTAGTAATACGTACAAAGTATGAATAATGTAGGGAACAACTAATAGTTGGAATTTTCCGAGACAGACACAATTTGTCATCATAAACACAGACCATGGATAAGTCCACACTTACACATACATAGGCATTAGCATGGGTATGGGTAACCCACATGGGTCATGGGTATGGGTAGTTGGTGGGTTGGGTATGGGTTATGGTCTCGTGACCCACCACTCTACCCATACCCACACCATGGGTCATGGGTCAAGCCTCAAATGTCAAACTTTGGCAGGATTATGTAAGAACTATACATAGTTTTCGTACACAATGTAAACCTTAATATCAACAAGTCATCAATCACTCCTATCACCTCTAATAGCCAAATCCTTCCTAATGTTCAGTAAACATCAGCCAAAACCCACAGAGAAGGCCAAGAAATTCTTTCAGTCAGTCAGGAAGGCTGTCAAACACAAGCAAAGTGATGGTGACAAGCTCATCTTCAACAAGGCCAAACAAGCACCTGTTGCAGCTGCAAGTGACTCTAAACTTGAAGAAAGCTTAGGGCTATCTATATCAAAAAAGGCTCCCATCAGAAGCAAAAGCTATTCTGTTGTCATTCGAAGTGAAGATGAGGAGGAGGAACTTAATCATGATGCTGACATCATCAAAATTTCTGCACCAATGTCCTCTAACACAAGTGCCAAGGCTGACGAGTCTGAAAGTGAGACCAAGTGTCCCAAGGAGGATTCCGAGGCTGAAATGAGTTAGTACCTGTACACAAAACTATTGCTTAATTAATATTATGTTCATAGAGTGCTTGAGCAAAGAATGGCTCTCATCTATCTATGCATTCTTTGAGCCATTCCCTACCATTGGACATGAGAACCAACACCATTACCATGATGTTATTTATCTGTGTTGTCCCTACACATACACGGACTGGGTACATACATTTAGTGTACCTTAGTATATATACTGTAGTCTTATTAGTATAAATGTCAGTCAAAATATTATATTCAATCATATTCTAAAGTCTTGATACTTCTACAGTAAGCAGTACTTCGGCTATTTCTGGTGTCAACTGCTGGGTAATCCTTACACTATGTCAACCAATTTATCCAAGTCTTACACCTCACAAGGAAACTCTGTACCAATGGCAGCACCACTTTAGTAAACTCACATGAGTCTGTGATGACCTTTCTCAATATTGATGGCATGGATGATGATGATGATGATGATGATGATGAGTAGATTTCTGAGTTATAGTCTTGTTTTACATCATGTTATATATTGTTACATCAAATATTGTTCTTCATGTTCCTTTATTGTCTTGCATTCTACAGAGCTATGCTGATATACCCTCTTTTAATGAAAGTAATTTGTTTTTGTAAAATGTTTGAATGGAAAGAGTGAAATCATTGTTATAGTTTTACTAAATAAGATCCTTGAAGTCTGATTGTAAATTTGTAAATCTGTTTCAAATTATCACTAAATTACTGTGCACAAGTAATATCTGGTGGGGCAGTAAAAAGATTCTCTAATGTGCTAAGTTATCTATTTTATTGAAATTATTGTAAATTAGAGAAAGTTTGACATCCTTAGTCTAAATTCACAGTGGAGGGTTTCCTGATGTGAAAGGGGAATTGTATTGAGCTAAAAGGGTGTTTGGAAGGATGGGAATTTACACCTCTACAAGGCTATAGAGACATCAGTCTCTATAGTGGCTCTGTTATATACATAAGTCCCTGGGCTTTTATGTACCCAATTTACTTTTAGTTATGTATGTATACTTAAATCTAAGTCACCATGCACCAAGTTTGAATTATTCAAACTGATGTCAACTCACAAATCAGTGGCCACATGAAGTACAAAGTCCAATCAAGTTATAGGAGTCCAACTTATAATAGGAAATCTACCATACATGACTCAAGCATCTCTTAAAGATTAATACAGTGAGAGTCATCCCCTGATACCATTCAGTTAACAAAACAAATTCAGGCTTATCACAAGTAAATGTCCAATATAGGGTCAATAACCCCAAAGCCTATAATCTGAAACCGAAAGAGGAATATCAATACAAATACCTGAAGCCATTCCTTCTTTTCACAGCCTCCTTGAATGTAATCCCTTTGTTAAGGTCGTGCTCTCATAGGATCGGATCCGAAGGACTTCGGCCTCAGCTCGTACGCTGTGCCCCTTTCCCAAGTACTGTCCCTTATTTCAAAGTACTAACGATAACGCGTCCGAAGGTCCGGACGGGTCTCGTAGTATATCCGGATGTCTTCCAGATATCAGAAACGTATATAAGACTAATCCGGATGTATCCGAAGTAGAAACTAACAGAGTAAGACTACCCGAAGGTAGAGCCGAGGATATAGACTATCGGAATCTACCCGAAGTCTCAGAGGGTGACAAGAGTAAGAAGGACTCAAGTCCAGAGGACGGAAAGAGGACAAACTAAGATGATATTCGAACTGAGGTACTACAGGACATATACACAAGTTTATATACTATGAGGACAATGGAAGTATCAGTAAGCAAAGGTCCGAGGCTATGTATGAAGCATGTGCAAAGGTTATCAAACACGAGTCGGAAATGAGACATAGGTTAATGGATCAGTAATCATACCGGTAATAAGTATAACCGAAACACCGGGAAGAGGAAATACCGAATAGGCTGTGTTTAACGTTATATGAACAGGAAATGAATTAGAAAGCTTATCGTAAATCGGATCGGAAGCGGATCTATAAATCAGACCGGATCGGATCTCAGGGTCCGAAGTCCGGAAGAGAAGCGTGAATATATGGGATATGACAGTATCCCCCCCTTAGGGCCGATCCCTAGAGGCACAAGAACCATCGGTCCGGACCGGACAAGATTATCGCGAGATGATGGAGAAGTTAATGGGAGAAGCGTCTGAGTTCGGAATCGGACAGGTATACTCAAGGACGGATGTCCCAGGATGATTCTTCCTTTCCCACTTTTTACTCTCTATAACGCTCTATCGAAAATGTCTGGCAACACCTCCGGATCTCAGAAGACTGCTAAGCAGAAACTGCTGGAACTTCAACAGCAACTAGCGGATGCTGAAGCTGCGGCTCGGAAGGAGGAGGAGATTCGGAAGCGTGAAGAGGAACGGAAGATTCAGGAGGATCTTAAGAGGATTCGAGAGTCCGAAATTCAGGTGGAGGCAGAAAACAAACGGCGCAGGGAGATAGTAGAGGAAATGGTGAGTTTCAGATGGTTATGATGGTTTTGCCTGACGGATGAAAAGTCTCGTGCCATTTCCGCTGACAAGGACGGATCCTGCAAGCGTTGCAGTGACAGAGGCCGGACTTGCCTTTGGACGGATGCGGAGAGCAATGCTCTGGTGAGTTAATCCGCGTTTTTTCAGATCTGAGTGTTTTGACGTCCGGATAGGTCAAGTCTTGCGATATCTGCCGGAAGGACAAGGCTACGTGCCCCGGACGACCCGGAACTGTCAAGGTGCCCAAGGGCAAGAAGAGGAAGCATGCTGCCGGATCTCCATCTCTGAAGGGTAAAGGTAAGAAATGTCAGAAGAGTCCGACTCCTGAAGATCCGGAGGAGATGGAGACGGAATACGATGATCAGGCTTGGGTGGCCGCAGCCAACAGTATAGTGGCGGAGCTGGCTAGGACTAACACTCTTTTGGAGAGAAGTATTCAGGCGGCGGAAGGCAGCAGGGCTGCAGCGGACCAGATGAGTTCCGGAATTGAGCTGTTCCTTCAGCAACAAAGGGAATTTCAAGCCATGTTGTTCGGACATATTCGGAAGGGATTTCGGACGTCTCCGGGTCCAGAGGAGGAAGATGAGGTGATGGAAAAGGCGTCCGGAAGTGATGCAGGCGGATCCGGAGAGGCAGATGGGTCTATGGAGATGTAGGAATTTCTGGTCCGTTTCTGTTTCTTCTCTAAATGTACTTGTATTTCGTATGCACACCATGTACTTCAAAGTTGAATAGGACCGGGTTTGTTCGGATATGCAGCGTGGAAGTCCGAAACTAGTTCGGATGCGTTTCCGAGCTCCGTTGCAAGTAACCATGAAGTCTCTTCGTCCGTTCCTTCATATCCGGACCATCGGACGAGGTATAGGAGTTGACATTGTCTTCTCCGACGGTCTAATTTTGAGTCCAAAACTTCGGATATCTCATATTCGGGTTCTCCGTCGACTTCGACCGGAGGCGGAGGTGATTGGATACGATTAGGAATGGTATTGAGTGTGGCTGGTTCTAATTGCGAGACATGGAAAACTGGGTGTACGGAGCGCATGGAATCCGGAAGTCGGATGGTGAAAGAATGCGTGCCCGGATGAGCTATGATTTCAAATGGACCTAAGTTCTTTTCCCAGAGTTTCTTGGACGGACGGGTGGATCGGAAGTATTTTGCTTTGACAAAGACTGGATCTCCGATTTTCATATCCGGAGCGGGTTTCCGTTTGGCGTCCGCAGGTCCTTGATATCTTTCTTGTGCGTGGGCCATTTCTTCTCGGAGGAACTGATGGAGTTCGTCAAGGTCTATTGCATAGTCTCGTGCGCGGGCGGATGAGAGGTCACGTTCCGGATGAAATCCGGTAGTAGCACTCGGAGCGTTGTTATAAGCGAATTCTGCCAAGGGAAGTAGTTCCGACCAGTTATCCTGCTGATAGTTGCAGTATATCCGGAGGTATTGTTCAAGGGTTTGGTTCGCTCGTTCGGTTTGTCCGTCTCCTTCCGGATGATATCCGGACGTGAAGTGGAGGACCATATCTAATGCTTTTCCTAAGGACCGGAAGAAATGCGATACGAATTCTGTTCCTCGGTCCGAAGTGACATGGGATGGAACTCCGTGCTTGGAAAACACATGGAGGACGAATAGACAAGCGAGATCTGGAGAGGTAATGGTGTCGTGGGTAGGGATGAATATAGCTTGTTTGGATAGATGGTCGATTACGACGAGGATGGCTGTAAAGCCGGATGAGTCCGGAAGATGCTCGATGAAATCCATGGATATAGAATTCCAAGGCTTTTCTGGTATGGGAAGCTGCTTAAGCAATCCGTAGGGTTTGTGTCTCGGAACCTTAGCTCGGCCGCAGGAAGTGCAGGACTTGACATAGTCCTTGACATAGGTGCGGATTCCTGGCCAAGTGTACTCGTGTCGGATAAGGTCTAACGTCCGATTCTGTCCGAAGTGTCCGGACAACGGATGATCATGAGTATTCTGGAGGACGCGAAGACGGAGGTTATTAGATTCCGGAACATATATACGGTTGTCGCAGCGGAGGAAACCACTATCATCTACCGTCCATCTCGGACCCGAAGGTTCCGGAAGATGTTCGGATGCGATAGGGTCGGTGGGAAGTGCGATCAGGATGTCTTTCCAGAGCTGGTCGATATCAATCAGAACGGCTGCCCTAAGAACCAGAGTTACTAGAGTTGAAGCTCGAAGGGACGAAGCTAACTGTTCCGAAGTGAATACTGGACGGAAATTATGAGGATTGACTCGAGCGTAGTCCTTATCCCCCTCTTTGGGGTAGACGTCCCAGTGTCTAGTAAGGGAATTCGGTTTAGCTCCGAGCTTTCCGGGACGGAAACGGATGACGAGGTTAAACTGATGGAGGAATTCCGACCAGCGGGCCTGACGGCGAGAGAGGAGTTTTGTGGTAGAGAAATACTCAAGGTTCTTATGGTCCGTGACAACATCTATCGGCTCGGCAGAGCCTTCAAGGTAATGTCGCCACGTCCGAAAAGCTTCATGGATGGCTAGAAGTTCCTTATCGTGAGTGTCGTAGTTGAGTTCCGGAGCGGTAAGCGTCCAAGAATAAAATGCTACCGGACGAAGCTCTGAGTCCGGACATACTATGGAAAGTATTCCGGCTATAGCATAGTCAGAGGCGTCGGTTTCTACGACTATCGGAACATTCGGAATCCAGTGCGTAAGCACCGGAGCGGACGTGAAAGCTTTCTTGAGTGTTTCAAAGGACTTCCGACAATCATCGGAAAAATCCCAAGTAACCCCCTTGCGGGTAAGACGGGTGAGCGGAACTACGATGTCCGAGTAATTAAAAATGAATCGACGATAGAAATTTGCGAATCTGAGGAAGGATTGAATATCCTTAACTTTCTGAGGTTCCGGCCAATCAATGATGGACTGGATCTTCTCAGACGACATGGTCAAGCCATCCGGAGATAGGATGTAACCAAGGTATTCAACGGATGTGGTATGGAACGCGCATTTTTCGGGTTTAGCATAGAGTCGATGTTTTCGGAGACGGAGAAGGACTTCTCGGACATGTTCCTTATGGGATGCAAGGTCTTGGGAATAGATGAGGATGTCGTCCAGATATACAATAACGCATACATCCAGCATATCAGCAAACACGCTATTGACAAAACGTTGGAATGCAGCCGGAGCGTTAGTGAGACCTTCCGGCATCACCAACCATTCATACGAGCCATAACGCGTTCGGAATGCGGTCTTCCATTTGTCTCCGTCCGCTATCCGGACAAGATGGTAAGCGGATCGGAGGTCGATTTTGGTATAGACTTTAGCGCGGCTCGGAGAGTCTAGGAGGTCGGTAATAAGAGGTAACGGATATCGGTCTTTCTTGGTAATCTGGTTAAGTCCACGGAAATCTACACAGAGGCGAAGGGAGCCATCCTTTTTCTTGACAAACAGGACAGGAGCTCCGTGAGAAGAGGATGAGGAACGGAGGAGTCCAGAGGAAATGTTTTCATCAAGAAACTTCTGGAGGGCTGCAAGCTCAACTGCAGATAGAGAATAAATGGTTCCGAGGGGCGGACTAGTTCCTTCCTCTAACTCGATTTTGAGATCATAGGGACGATGAGGAGGAAGTTGGCTAGCTTTGCCCTTATTGAACACATCCGAGAATTCATGATATTCCGGAGGAATTCTGGACAGGTCCGGAGGATCGGACGAAAGGGAAGCGGACCGGAGGTCTACACCGGTCGGACGCAGGTAGATGCTGAACTGTTCTGATCCTTCCAATTTGCAGGCCCGGCAAAAGGCTACTGCATTGATCAAGGAAATGTTGGGGATGGTTTTATCAGCGGAGGTTCCGGATGTAGTCGGAGGAGGTAAATCTTCCATTGGAGGATGAGGATCCGGAGACGGAAGCGACGTCGGAGGTGTCGAAGGCATTCCATGAGAAGTCGTTCGGAAATCGATGCTGCCCAAAACCCAGTCAATCAACGGATTGTGTAGGGTGAGCCAGCTATATCCAAGAACGATAAAACAAGAAGAATCCAACGGAGTAACGTAAAACGTATCGGAGGTAACTACACTGGACGGAAAACGGATAGGCAAATCTATAGCTTCGGAAATCATATTATTACAAGTACCATCAAACAAACGGAGAGAAAGCGGAGATATCGGATATGTAGGAATTTTGTTTTTTCGGACGAAATCAGAGTCTATAAAACAGTGAGAGGAACCACAATCAATTAGTGAAGGAAAATCAGAAATATCAGGAAAAGTAGGAATAGAAACGTATGGACAAAGAGAGTTCAGATCGGAAAGAGAAACAGCATTGAGACGTAGCTCCGTTGCACGGGTAGAGTCAACGCAACCCTCATCCCGTGCGGAGTCAGGAGGGTTGCAGACTATTTTTTTGCTTCATCCGAAGCCTCCAGTTTGTCTTCCGGAGTTACTACTGCAGCATGGCCTTTGGCAGCGCGCGAAGTAGACTTGATGCATTCCCGAGCCGAATGGCCGGGTCCGCCGCAGAATAGACAGAGTTTATTATCCATCCGTCTCTTACGTTCTTCGGACGTGAGCTTTCCGTCCTTTCCTAACTTGGAGGTAAGGTCCGGAGGTTTAGAAACGGAGGATGATGCGGAAGTAGCGGGTTTGTCGGATTTGTACCTCGAAGGTCCGGACGAGTTGGAACTCGTCCGATCGGACGTGGTTTGCTTAGGAGGAGTGGAGGTGGTGGGTTTAGTTTCGCGGGCGACTTCTCCCTTCCGTTCCCAGTATCGAGCATCGATAGTCTGGGCAAGGATCTTGTATTCGGAAAGGGTGGAAGGTTTACCCATGTGACTGATTTCGTCTTTGATACGAGCCGGAAGTCCATTATAGAATTGGTGTCTTAGGGCACCGTCACCCCAGCCACGGACTTGTGAAGCAAGACGCTGAAATTCAACAACATATTTATTAATGCGTTGTCCATCACGCATATGAAGTTGCTCCAATTGCATTTCCGCGTCTCCGGACGGATCGTGCAGTCCGAAATTGGTTTGGAGTTCAAGCATGAACGCGGAGTAATCATCCATCCAATCCGGACGATCATCGTCCTCGTCGGCTAGGAGATCCGGTTCGAACCACTCAAGTGCCATACCCTTAAGGTAGGATTGGGCGAAGTTGACTTTTGCCCGTCCGGAACGGAAGGCTTTGGGTTTGCTTTGGAAGTGAAGCTCGCATTGGACGAAGAATGCACGAAGCTTCCGAGGCTCAGTGCCATCGAAAGTATCGGGCTCATGGATCTTGACTTTAGAATCTTCGGACGAGGCCGGACGACGATTGTTGCGTGCGAGGTTGTCGATGGCTTGAGAAAGCCGAAGCATGACACGGTCTTGTGGGTTTAACCTGTCAAATTCATCGTCGTTGTCATCCGGTTCATCATCCGGATCACCTCCGAAGTCATCCGGAGGGTTTCCACCGGGAGTATCTTCATCATCCGGAGGTCCTTTGTCATCCAGATCACCTCCGGCAGGAGTGCGCGTAGGGGTTTCCAGATGTGGATGATTCATGAGTTGCGAAATACTTTGAGCAGGACCGCGTGATACACGGCGCTGAGAGAAACTGGTGAAGGCGTTGACTATGGATGTCGGATCGCGTCGGGTGGACGAAAGTCCGACAGCGTGCAAAGCAGCTTGGTTTACTTTAGTAGGAGCCATGATATGAGTAAGTGTACTTGGAAAGGTGTGAGTTTGAATATACTGTTAAGGTCGTGCTCTCGTAGGATCGGATCCGAAGGACTTCGGCCTCAGCTCGTACGCTGTGCCCCTTTCCCAAGTACTGTCCCTTATTTCAAAGTACTAACGATAACGCTGTAGAAACAACAATACTGAGAGGAACAAGGAAATGCTCCTGACTGTATCTAAAAAGTTGTAGGTCGTGCGTTGCCTAGTCTGCGATACTTGAGATGGCAAGTGCATTCGACCCTAAAGGGGAAGCAGGTGCAGCGGAGATCTAGAGGTACGCGCTTCAGCGAAGCGCGAGAAAGCGCAGGTGCGCGCAAGGTACGAAGGCGCGGGAACGCGCGCGCGTATTAGCGCGAAGCGCGGGAAAGCGCGCGCGTGTAAGCGGAAATAAGAGAGACTAAACTTATGTGAAGATATAAGCAAGATAAAGGATGTGAGATGTGTTGTGCTAATGAATAGATTTCTACTGCGACTTTCTAAGTAGTAAGTACTAGGTAAAGTTGGGTGAAAAGTAAGGTAAATAATAGTATGTACTGCTGGCGCTTATATAGCGCGCCTAAGCGCGCTCATGCGGAGCCGAAGCGCTACCGAGTAGGTATGTAAAAATATATATGAGTGAGAAACTATGATAAAAATAAAGGTGGAACTATGCTAATAAAGGAAATGGAAATATACGCACTAGGGAGCTTGGTGGACAGTGGATGGATGCATCTGGATGGCTGGCGCTATAGGGCGCGCAAGCGCAGGGAACGCGCGCGCGCGTATACATCGTGAAGCGCGGGAATGGTGCGCGCATGGCGCGCGTTGCGCGGGAAAGCTGCGCGTCATATAGGAATCACTGTGGATGGTACACAGAGTGATGCTGCGAGTTGGTGCTGTATACTCCCTAGTGTAAAGCGCCATATCACACTATGAGATGCACGAGTCTCTACAACGCGTCCGAAGGTCTGGACGGGTCTCGTAGTATATCCGGATGTCTTCCGGATATCGGAAACGTATATAAGACTAATCCGGATGTATCCGAAGTAGAAACTAACAGAGTAAGACTACCCGAAGGTAGAGCCGAGGATATAGACTATCGGAATCTACCCGAAGTCTCAGAGGGTGACAAGAGTAAGAAGGACTCAAGTCCAGAGGACGGAAAGAGGACAAACTAAGATGATATTCGAACTGAGGTACTACAGGACATATACACAAGTTTATATACTATGAGGATAACGGAAGTATCAGTAAGCAAAGGTCCGAGGCTATGTATGAAGCATGTGCAAAGGTTATCAAACGCGAGTCGGAAATGAGACATAGGTTAATGGATCAGTAATCATACCGGTAATAAGTATAACCGAAACACCGGGAAGAGGAAATACCGAATAGGCTGTGTTTAACGTTATATGAACAGGAAATGAATTAGAAAGCTTATCGTAAATCGGATCGGAAGCGGATCTATAAATCGGACCAGATCGGATCTCAGGGTCCGAAGTCCGGAAGAGAAGCGTGAATATATGGGATATGACACCCTTCCAATCTAGCAGCTTCTTCAATATGTTTGTGGCCAGGGCCCTGCATGAATTTATTCTCCTTCATAGCCATGTTCTTATTCTCTTTGATTAATATCCACTGCATTACTATCAATAGGTGAGTACATCAGGGCGGTCATCTTGGGATTTTGCTCACGGAAGCTCAGGGTTGAGGACAAAATGAGACTGCACAATGCTATAATCATGGATTGATGGTATTGAGGACCCCACAAAGCATCCCAGATATATGAGCAAATCCTGTGAAATCTTGTAAGCAATTCGGCATTATGCTGATAATAGAGGCCTCACAAGTTACTGAGGTTTCCAAACCCATTGACAAGACCAAGGGCTGCAGTGCATTTTGCCGGTGGATGAGGAATGGTGTTTGCAACCCAGGTCAATGTCAATGCAAATCCTTCAGAAAACGCATCAAGCGTGTGTTCAGCATTATAATCAGAACTTACCACAATATCCAGAGGTCATGAGGAACAATGAAAAGTATCGCCCGCCCATGGCCATGGTGGATAGAGAGATGATATATCCAAGCATGGCCACCCTGTGGTTATGTATAGAGTAGAATAGACTTTAGATTAGAATATTTAGTATTCAGACTGAAGACTTTGTAACTACTTTACAGAATATATATACTGTTAAATGGTTAATACTATGTGTCTGATCCGAAAACATATGTAAGATGGACTTGTTTTTCCTCCGTGCTGCAATTACTAATCGACACCACTCCAGCTATTCCCAAGTAAGTCAGTGTTCCCTACATTACTCATTCCTATATGTATTACTAAGCTTCCATTCTTGTGCTTGTACAGTCATTATGTATGGCTAAGTCTAACACACCCACCACCAGCTAGTAATATGGAAGAATCGCTCTCCAGACCTATCTATTCATTCTGTCAAAATGACTGATGCACTATCAGGAAACAGACGTACCTGCATGCCATGCATTGAGTAAGCAGCAGACTGATGTGAATATCCATGGAGGACTAGCAATCAGACGACAGTGAGCCATAATTGTGGATGTGACAATGGGATGTCATGCTTACAACGCCATCAAAAGTGTGATAGTAGTGCTGAAACCAAGCGTGGCAGTCAAGCTATCCAGCTTATGTTATCGCAATAGTTGCAAGACTGTCTATATACTTATGTGGGGAAAAAGTTGGTAAAACTCAGACCTAGAAGTTCGTGCAGGTCAAGAACATAAAAATGATGGTCTTTGGATCCTTGATAGCCAGCAAAAAGCCATCATGAATACTGTGACGTTCTGAGTGACGTGGAGTGGTGCCTTGTCAGTAAAAGAAAATAGAACTCGAGCTGGAACTTACATAAGGTTATCGGAATCCTTGTCGGCCTCCCCTGCATCTTCTGCGAGGCGAACTTGACTCAAGTGGTGTTCCGCTGTGTTAAGCCATCGAGTGTTATGGGGCTACAACATGTCACATCAGACCCACAGAAACTTGTTCTAAATATGCTGCTTACAAAATCTGGAAGAAGCCACCTGGACAAAAATCGTGACTGTCAACTTTGAGCGAAAATAGAAACTCTCACAAACGCACATGGTCAAGAAGCCAAAGGCCATGGTGATGGCGCCCTACGCCAAGAAAGAAGTTTATCAGCACAGAAGGTACAGGGATAATGTAATATATACCTTTATGTAGAACAACCTGCAATATGAAACTCTGGTCAGGGCACTGCTCTTGAGAATAGGAATTTTGACTTACCATCTCCAGGCCGAAAGTCCCAGTATGCCTTGCATTTTTGTGAGAATTCCAGCTGCAATTGACTAAGAAGGATCATTATCAGCTGTCATAGTCCACTGCAATGGCAGCAAGCTCATGTTTCCAAATGCATTCGAGATTAAAGAGCCAAAATAAAACGAGGCTGACCGCATGGCAAGTTCCTGAATGTGTTGCATGAGCATGAGTGGCAACTTATGATTCTAAAAAACATGATGTTCACCTTCCTGGTATACCATCGCGAAAGCAGATACACAACACCAGGATAGAACGCAGCCGGTGGAAAGCCGCACTCGTTCAGTTCGAACATCGTTATAAAAGGATTTTTTTACTTCAGGAACACCGATGAATACACGACAAGCCATCATGCCTGAAAAATTAGTTGTGACCTGCACAGTGATTAGCAAGCACAAGTTGCAGTTGCAAATTCCCAACAAAACTTACCCCAGTCAAAGCACTGGTAAGGCCCCATCCAACAACGCAGGCTCCAATATAAATTGATGGTCTGAGTTGCGTCTACTTAGTGTCAACCAGAACAAAATATTTTCAATCACGACCAACCATGAAATATAGCCCAAGATCTGTTGACAATCATAATCAATTTGCATCCATAAATAATAGCACACAAACAAACCATCTTCGAAGGTATCTGGTCGCAGGTGAGTAAGATTGTGTTTGTTTATGCAGAAAATTTGCTCACTTGCATCGGGCAATAAGTGGCATAAAGAATAGCCAGAATAGTTTCATACTGAACGGCTAGTAAATCAATTAAGCATGGATACTACGATGGGTGATCCACTTCACTCACTTGTCAATCCAAGATCTTGCTCTAAACCTTGCAGCCGCACAGCAGTAACAGCAACACGCTATGCATAGTACACATGAGCACGCTGAAGTTCATAAATGCATGTTTACATACATCAATGTAGTTCAAGAGGTATACGACCACAGCAGTGGGTATCAGCCAGCGGTCCAATTTGAGCACCAGTGCTCGTTCTCCTGCCTTCCTGGTGTCTGCAGTCATCATCGTCATTCGACACTGCGATTACATTTTCTGTAAAGAATTCAGGCTTCTTCTCTTCCTGGATAGTCATGTGAGGCAAAGGAGATCAACGAAATGCTACGCTATCTTAACACAGTAATCTAGCCGCTCAAACAAATCTCTTTTATACCAGTGATTAGGTGAGTCACTAGAGGCATTATCGCAATGCCTATAGTGTACTCAGTAATCCCACTCAACCCAAAAGTGGAAGTGGATCCACCTGCTAGAGCCTAGAGGGCAGTATATCTTGGTGAACACGTCTGGGGAATCCTGGACTGCCAGGGCCCAGGAGCGTCCGCCTAGTACATTTACCCTCAAATTTGGGGTCAGCTGTGGGTCCTTTAGTCCTAGATTTTTCCGCTGATGCATAGGCTGTCATACACTACAAAAGTAGCTCATCATCTGACACCACCGAAGTAGAGTATCACACAAAAGCGGGCAGACAGCACATAAATGCAGGGAACCGACCCAATAAAAGCATGACAACAGGTTTGAACATGTGCTGCGGCAAAGCAATATTATGTAATCTTTAGATGTCGACATATTTGTGAGGGACACTTACCACTTATTTTTTTCACCTTAAGATGTGCTTATATACGGCGGAATGTCAGGTCTGAGGTTGATCATGTATGCACATGTTCCTGTACTTTCACGATCGTGCTTGCAGTCTTAGCAAAAAGCGATTGGAGTTGTTATGTGCACACTCAAAGGAGCTGAAAGGAGGCGGAGGAAACTGTAAGCCCGCTGGCCCATCCGTGATACTGAAGTATGATTCAGAGCTTTCAGACTGTCGTCCCTTAGAGTCAGTTCAGCAACAAGATATTGACCAAGGTTTGGCAAAGTTTGAGGTGAGCTCTCTCGGCTTGAAGCATCAGACTTCTAATTTTACATCTCCTACCTGTACATCTACCATGAATCCCTATCCCTATCTTATTGATTGTCATCGTCGGCAAAGAATCTGTACTAGTGTTATTGCCCTTACTGCCATCTGTGCCAGCTTTACAACTGTTCTCATGGCCCAACCAGAAATCACACAACAAACTGACAACTCATCAAAGGCACATTGGCAAGATTCAGAGGTTGATATCCTACTTTGTCATCTTATTGAGAACCAGGCAGCAGGTGGTGATGGAGGAAATTTCTCAATGCCTACCTACAACAGCGCAGCGGCTGCTATCAATGTTGATCAGGCAATCCAAACAATAGGCCCACTAAAGATGGGCAAGATGGTTAAGATGAAATGGACTTCGGTACGTGATTTCTTATCTTGATTAATCTTGAATTAACAAGATCGTTTTAGCTCAAGAAAACATTCAATCAAATTGAGATCTACCGCGGTGTATCAGGCTTCCATTGGGACAATGTTCATGGGGCTGGGATTGAGGAAGTTGCTGCTGCGAGCATCTGGGATGCATATGTGGCCCCAAAGGTATGTCATTATGATAAAATATACTGCGACACTATCAACTGATATCAAGTTAGTCCCGAATTGCAATGCGCCCCTTTTGCAACAAAGGGTGGCCTCCGTACAACGACATGCAGGCCATCTTGGGGGAAAACAGCAGTGCACGTGGACGCCACTCCTTCCACCCTGCTACTGCAGCCCCCGCCTCTATCGCTGTAGATGATGTACTCAATGGTCCAGATGGAGCCCTTGATTTTCTCAACATGGATGTAGGGGGCAGCGTCTCTGGCACCACTCCTGGTGGCTCCCAGTCGAGTAAGCACCTGCGCACAAACACTTTGCCTGACTCTCTTGAGACCGCATCATACAATTCTGGTGACATGTCCTGTCATCCTAATAGTCACAAGTCACCATCCCTCCCACTTTCAGCAACGCTAGTAGTACCATCATCCCAGGCACCTGCCTTCAAGAAGGCTCGAGTCTTGACGCATGCCAGCAGCACACACACGGGCATGAGCAGTGCTGCCAAGATCGCTGCAAAGATCACTCCAGCAGCTGCAGTGATGAATATGCAATGTAGTATTAATCGCCTGACTGACGCGATCGAGAAACACATGGCCCCTCTGCCTGACCCACCAGCTCCTGTCGTACCAACCATGATCTCCCGTGGCCTGGCAATGATGCGCAGTGTAGATGGAGATCTGTCAGTTGATCAAGAGCCAGCCTCCTGCAGATATTTTCCCATGCAGGAGGGGAGAACAATCTTGCTGCTTATGTTGGGCTGGACTCAGACGATGACTTTGATGTGCGCCGTGCATTTATCTCACAACTCCTTGATGAGTCTATGTAGAACTATCCCACTACTTGTCTTACTGCTCATCACATTTCTTGTACTAACATGTAGTATGCATTTCATGTACTGTGCATCCCATACCTACAATAATCATGGATTTTCTGAGTCTCTGCTAGTGGGAACAGATCAGGAGTAGATGGTTGAGATTGCTGCTGCTGACGAGAAGGAACAGATCAGGAGTAGATGGTTGAGGTTGCCACTGCTTGTCATTTAGCTCACTTGCAACATACGTACATAACATTGTAAAAGTACAACTACATACTACTAGTAAGAATTAGTCCAGTCTATCCTCCTTGTCCTCCAAGATACCTTGGTCTGAAAAATTGTTGTTGTCGTCGTCTCCAAGAGTGTGTCTTTCCTGCAAAATGCGCTGATAGTCCACCCACATCGCTTTGGCAATGTGATCACGCATCAAATGCAGATCATTGCATGCAGCTGGATGCTCTTCTCCTGCCCCCTGCTCCCAGTTGGCAGCACGTGCATCACCAAGGGAAAAGTCTGCATCAGGTAGCCTGCCTTCTGCAGGATCATGTGAGCGAATGAAGTTGTGGAGGCTGCACAATGCAGCCAGAATCTGTGCTTGAATATCCATAGTGTATGATGGGGATAGAAGGAGGATATGGAAACGGTGTTTGAGGACACCAAAAATCCGCTCGATGACATTTCAAGCGGATGCGTGACGGAGGTTAAAGAGTTCTTCGCTAGTTGGCCTGTAAAAAAAAATCGGTGTGTAGCACAGAGAAAAATGCCGCTACACTCACCTTACACCTGCACGCCCCCATTCTGCAAGGTGGTAGCGCACGTTACAGTAAGGAATGAGTAACTCAGGCTGCAGAGGGAAACCTGCATCTGCAAGGAAGTATTTTCCTGCAGGGATGCGAAGGTCATGGCCCTCGGCAGCCTCGTAGACACGTGCATCTGTAGCCAACCCCTCCCAGCCAGTGAGTGCATACACGAAGTTAAGCTCAAAATCACAAGCGAATAGACAATTTTGTGAAATGAATCCCTTTCAATTACGATAGGGACCTCGTTCAAATGCACGAGGTGACGTGTGGATGTGGCTCCCATCGATGGCCCCAACAGTATCCTTGAAGAACAGATAAAATTTGGGGTTATGGCGAATTTTGGCAGGGATGGAGGCATCCAGCAACTGAACATGTTTTGTATAGAAGGGGGAGGACGCAAATATATTGAGCATTTTGCAAAAATAACTGTAGAATGTACAATGAGATATCAAAACTATTAGCTTAGTGCACACTTACCAAGAAATTGTATCATTTGAGCGCTGGAATCTTTCTCCAACATGTCTGATAGACAAGCCTGTGACCAACGTATATAGGAAAATGGCAAGTTGTTCTTCTAATGAAATGAACTTGGAGTCAGCATGTCCAAGGGTACGAAGTTTGGATATGAGCCCCTCAAAGACATGCGCATGGACACCAAGTTCACACCGGATTTGTTTCGGATGACCAGACAACAGTTCCATGACCCAGTATTCACCTGAGAGCACAGATGTGTGGTAAGGTTCAGGATCCTTCGCATACAGTGATTCCAGAATATTTGCGGTAGCGCAGATTAGAATACTAGCGACAAGAATTGAATGTTTGATCAGGCAGCATCAAGCTTCTGGCCATTGGGGCAGGTAATGCGGTAATTCCGATTGAAGATCCATTGTTGGAGGACATAGATCGAGGAGAAGGTATGTAGTGTATAGATAAGAGCGTGATGTAGGGATGGGTAATTTAAGCTCCGACATTTGGCAAATCCAAAGCCGAGAGCTCTCACCTCAAACTTTGCCAAACCTTGGTCAACATCTTGTTGCCGAACTGACTCTTAACTGTTGGATGCCAAACTAGAAGACAATCTCAGCATGTGGTAGAAGAACCGCTACTATTCATAATACCTAGAAGACAATCTATGGACAGAATACAATGAGAGGAAGTCGGCGTGCAAACATTAAGATACATACCTCAGCGTGTGGTAGAAGAACCGCTGAGGTACGAAGGACGAAAACGAAGTGGTTTATAAAGTACTGTATAGAGTCCGGAATATCAATGACAAAAGAGGAAGATGACGAACGGAAAAGGAAATACTGACGAGAGCTATGACAATGTTGAATATCAACATTAACCGCTACGCCAAAAGGCAGTGATACTGAAAGCTCACATTTCAGTATCATGGACAGTATTTATATAGATTATGAGGACGCTAGTAAGCTGGCGAGCATGAATAAAATCGTATGGAGCATGAATAAAAAGTTCTCAGTCAGACGAATTACGCACGGCGGAAACAGCCGCGACGCATTGTCCGAGTCACGGCCAACAGTCAGCATCATGTACGGCAAGGCCTCAACGAGGCATGGCGGGGAATGAATTGAAGTGGGGCCGGGGCCAGGATGTTCTATTATCCGAGCTAACCAGCAGGATGACTAATAATGCCGGAGTCACCAGACTATCACTTAGGCTTCGAGACCCAGGATCGGCTGCCGCTCATCAAGATGTTGTGGATAGACGCTACACCAACAATGGTATCTCCACCATTGGATTCAAGTCAGGTTAGGTTAGTGAGAACAAATAGTATTGATAGCACTTTGCTGACACGTTACCGTTCACACATTTCTAGCTGGCAATTGGGCGTCTTGTGCAGAACCATTCAACCAACCATGTCACACCATGTGGCTGCAATATTTGGCATAGCCGCGGCCCTTCCATGTAAATAATATCGACTGCTGCAATTTTAGGAACTGCTCGAAACTCAAGTCAGTAGTACCTGACGTTCAGAACCCCGTTCACTTGCTGAATATCGAGTGCGTACTAGCCTTGCACAATGCATATCGAACATAGCACTGCAACAGCGGTAGACCATTTGGGATTCCAGGGTTCTGATCATTAAATTCCCAGGAGAATTAGAGACAATTCATCGCACGTTGATTTGTCCGGCGTAAGGGATAGACACCGCGAAGGTCTGCTTCGATAAGCTATCGAGTGTGTGGAACAAATCCGACTAGATGACTGGGGTAGGCCACCTCCTGGGAGCATCAGAAGCTCTCGGCCCTCTAGCCGTCTTCCTGCCAGAAGGAGATGTCAGAAGATGGAAGGCCTCAAGAAGTCAAGCTTTCAGTTACTCTCCTGTGAAAAAAATATATAAAGGCTTGCAAATTGTTTGCTCAGCCCTTCCATCACCTTTTTCAGTATCTCGCAACCCCTCACAAATACTACGACGATGGCCAACAAGGCAAAACTTGAGGCACTCCTGACTCTGATCAACACATCCGCACGAGATGCCATTGCGTTGTATGAGCAGTACGGTGACGTACCCACCATCGACCAGGCCGAACCCCACCCGTTGGACAGTGCGGTCGACCAGGTAGCTTTGAAGAGTGCTGTTCGTACTCTTGAAGGTGCTTGTGCTCAGATATGCGCGACACTTGCCCCACCTGCCCATACTGCAGTTAACGTGAGAACTCGGATGATATAAACTTTACTTTTGCTCATCAAATTGCACGCAGTTTGTCCAAGTGTATGATCATGCTTGCGTGCGAGTAGTTGCTCGGGAACATGTTTCGGATATTCTGTTGAAGTACCCCAAGGGTCTTCACGTCAATGAGCTCTCCAAAAAAATCAATGTCGAGCCAAAGAAACTGGCCAGGATACTGCGCCTCCTAGCCACGAGAGGATGCTACAGTGAAGGTAAGGAGTCATTTGTTGTATGGTCTGATTTCTTCTCACGCTCCACCAGTTGACACGGACGTTTTCGCTAACAACCGACTGTCTCTGATCCTACTCGACGAGAACCCTGTCAAAAACATAATCTTGTTCCACGTGGAAGCAACTGCCAGGGGAGCATCAGTTTTCTATGAAACACTCAAAGATCCCAAAATTGCCTACTCGTATGATCCGACGATAGCACCTGCGATGTATGCCCTTAACAAAAATGGAACCGAAGGAACGATCTTCGACTGGATGGCACGGAATGTATGTTTTCAAATATTGCTCGTCAGAAAGCCTTGCTCATATAATTTACTCGTAGGACGGCCTACGCGAGGTAGGGATTTTGATCTCTTCGCATGATCATTCTGACATCTTTATAGTCCTATCATATCTCGATGAGAGCTCTGAACAGCATTATGGGCTCCCTGGCCGTCCTGACCCGTAAGTATTTGAGCACGTGAAGACCGAAGAGTATCGTGCTAACCTGATGATAGAATTCCCATTCGAAAAGTACTCCACAGTTGTTGATGTTGGAGGAGGTATCGGAGCATTTTCCCTGCCTTTGGCTAAAATGCACAAAAACGTCAAAATCACAATCCAAGATCTTCCGGAAGCACTAGTCCAGGCGAGAGGCGTAAGTCAGTAGGACAATGTGCTTGTCATCAAATTGATGGGATCTAGATCTGGGCGAAAGAAAACCCTGAAGCCCTGGCAGAAAACAGAGTCGAGTTCGTGGACTTGAACTTCTTCGAACAAGTCCCCGTCAAGGGCAAGGACATCTACTACGTAAGTGCTAAACTTTGCAGGCGGCAATCTGCGAAACTAACAATGACCGCAGCTCAGAAATATCATCCACGACTGGCCTGACCACGAATCTGGGATCATTCTTTCAAACCTTCGCAAGGCGCTCGGTCCAAACAGCCGCGTCCTCATCCGTATGTCAAATATAGCATGATCATCATCCCGCAATCTGACAAATGTTAGATGACTACGTGCTCCGCCAGCTGAGCCGCAAGCAGGCAGCAGTAGAAGCTTCAGAGCTCGGAGTTGTTTCGGTATGTCAAGTCCGCTGATTTACATCCATCTTTGTTCATCCCCGCACCTAGGCCCCTGAACCTCTCCTTGCAAACTTTGGTGTTGGAAGCATACGTTCATACCAGCAAGACTTGAACATGTTGTTTTTACACAACGCAAAGGAGCGAACATTACAAGACTTCCTCGCACTCACGTGAGTAACATTCGACTGCTGCCTTGGTTTCACCTGATGGGTTCGGAATAGCACTGTGGCTGGTTTGAAACTGGAGAAAGTCTGGGACCTTGCCGAAGCATGCGTCTTGGAGTATTCTGCCGCATAAGTTTCTCGAGCTGATTCGATGTGTTCATCCACATAAGTATGGAGAAGATCGGAGACCTTGCTGAAGCATGCCATCTTGGAGCTTTCCGCTCGCATGTTCCAAAACCTTTGGCTTACGTGTTCATCCACGTAAGCGATGCCTACACGTGTTCCTACACGACATGAGATTTGTGGGTTTTGCGACGAGCCTGGAATCTAACTACTGGGATGCATGTCAGATAAATAAACTTTTGCGTTTCCAAGATAGCTTCGATGTGATATAATTACAGTGTGGTAATCCACAGCTTCTCAACGAGTTTCCACACTTTAAGAACACCAGTACCGATGCTGAACGAAGTCACAGCATCGTTAGCAATGACAAGTACAGGACGTGAGAATACCTACTTTGCGTCCTCTACTTGGGTGAGCGGTACCCACTGAGCATTCAATGTCTGCGGAATTGTATCAAGCTCCACCTCGGATACCTCGGATCTTTTTTGCTTTCCCTTGGGGTTCTTGGCGCGACTATCATTTTCCCTAGCGCCTTGACCTGGGGGAACAGCTGGGCGAAATTGTGGAAGCTCGTCTCCCTCTAGTAGTACCCACTGAACACGATAGGTCTTCTTGATGTGCGAAAATACATGGACCACATCACCCGCGGACGTCACTTGTATTACTTTTGGAACGGTATTTGATGTGTTAGAATTCGGTAATTTCTTCAAGCGCTCCTTGTCGCTGTTCGAGGATGGTGGGTGTATGAGTAGTTCCTGAAGGAGTGTGTATGGTATCTTGGCCAAATTGGATGCGGAAGCCTTTGTTCCTGATAAATTAGGTAGTGTAGGAAATTCGTGTAAACCGGCTAAAAGTCCTGTATCCACACAGTCAGGAGGTATATCTCGGCTGAGCGTTTACTCACCCCCTTGGGGTCGGCGGACCAACAGAAACCAGCGATCTCGACTGTTCCTGTTTCGCCACTCAATGACATTCACAGAATCAAGTTCTTCTCGGGGCTTTTTACGCTCGGCTTTCATTGGATATATAGTCACAGATCCATTGTCTTCATCAGATGGTATAGGATCGCAAACGAGGCAGAGTTCCTCGATATCAGCTTCTACAGCACCTGTATGCGAAGCCTGTGAAATGAACTCATCAGGAGGTGATTATGACCCTTGAAATAGAAAGCTAACTGTGGGTTGTGTCCTCTGATATGCCTTACACCATAGACGCAGAGGGCAATCCGAACACACAGGATCTCGTACTGCACAGACGGTACTTCCTAATTCTATCAAAGCTTGATTTATGTCACCTGGGCGTTTTGACTGTTTTATGAATGATTCAGCGCCTGCCCATAGGACATCTAGGGTTCGTTTGGATTTGGGCTGTGCATGCAATGCTGTAAAACGACTAAGGAGTCGGTGTACATTGCCATCAAGCTGAGAACCATTGAGACACTGCAGTAAGGTGGTTCTGGATAAAAATAGCCTACCACAGGTACACAGTGATTATATGCAATGGAAGATATTGCGCCTGCACTGTATCTACCTACACCTGGTATCTTTGCTTCCATATCTTTTGCGTTATCGGGTAAGCGACCATGTAATTCTTTGACAGCTTTCTGGGCACCGCTCAGTAGGCGAGCCGCACGCGAATAGTAGCCCAGCCCCTTCCACAACGAGTTGACGGTCTCAATATCAGATGCCGCGAGGTCCCTTATAGTAGGGAATCTAGATGAATTAGGCCAGATAACCCAGAAAACTAAATGTAGCGACGTACTTCGCCATCCACTTATTATAATATGGTATTACTGTCACGACTTGGGTCTGCTGTAACATAATTTCCGAGATCCAGACCTAAGAATCTGCCTGAGTCAACTCTGAGCAGCTTTTTGAAGCTCAAAGATAGATGATTACCTCGTATGCTCTTTGCGCACGTCCCTCAGCGTCGAGCGAAGGGTCAAACTTCTTGCGCCAGGGCATTTTCCGAGCATCATGGACTCTGTCGTACCATTCCAGGAGGGCGATTCGCATCGGCTCGATAGCGCTTATAACATGCATGGACACTGGATGACCCAAAATACCGCTGACCACGCTAGAGCCATCATTCCCGTGAATCTTCTTACGCGCCTTCCTAGTCTTCTGTGTCACCTTAGTACGCGATGTTTCGTCGTAGGAACTGTCAGAGTTGTGAGCATAATCATCTTCCGATCCAGAGGCTGGACGTTGTGCGCGTTTTCGTTTGGGCCCCATCTGCAAAAGTGTTCAGTGAGTACACACTGCAAAGTGACTGCCAGTGCCAGGCCAGTCCATTTCAATTTTCAAACTCAGACTAGGCTAGGCCTCTTAAGGCATAGTAAGTACGGTAGTTATTCCCTCAATTCTGACAGAGTTTGACAACATTGGTGAATCAAAAAGTATGGAAGATGATATCAATAAGTCCTATTATCGAGCAAGAGGTATGAATAAGTGTACACTCTTTATTTAGACTTCTAAATTAGCCTTGTCTGTCCGCCAGGAAGGAAACTGCGTCGCCTTCGTGCACGTTCAAGCGGTGGCAGGTCATCTTCATCTTTGGCAGACCTGATGCTTGTATCTGCATCTTTTGCTGAAACATACAGCGGGTGAGTAACCGAGAACAAAGGAAATACTGGGGAATGTACCTGGTGAGCTACTGTCATTATCTGGTCGTTGCTGTCCCTCATTGTCATCAGCTTCCGACGAGGGGTTGGCTGGAATGAAATTTGGCCCAGCAGCAGCGGGTGACATATGCCTCGGAAGCATAGAACGTCGCTTCTGTGAAATAGAACGACGTGAGAGCCTGAAGCGCGACCTCGGGCGCTGCATACCTTGTTGGTGCCCGCAACGTTGACCATTTCTAAGTCAACTTTGAACTTCGCCTCATCTACCCTAGATCGTTGTTCAACGCACTCCACCACCCATGCGATGCCAACGACGAGTGGTTTGGGGTCATTCAGAAGTCTGACGCATGATCAGTAGGGTTGTAGATGATGCTGGTAAGAAACAGCTGACCGATATCGCGTCAGCGTGCTAGCTGAACCATTCTTATAGACAATGTGGGTGCAGCTCTGCCCAACACGAGCAAGTATCTAGAGGGAGACCATCATTAAAAATCAAACAAGTGACATCATATTGCGACTTACTCTGGCGCCGAGCCCTCTCAGCATGTCGACGAACAGGCTCCCCGCATCATCACCGTCATCCGTCCGCACATCCACGAATATTGCACACTTTTTCAACACCTTCAAAACGCTCTTACCTGCGCTTCCACCTTCCATAGGACTAGCGGCGGCGTCGCTCTTTGAAAGTGCGTTCCGCTGCGAAGCTGCTCCATCCGTACCTTCGTTAGGCTTGCGTCTATCCTTCGCATCCTGGGCGGATTTGAAGCCTGAGCTTGCACTCGATGCGCCATAATATGTACTACTCGATGACCGAAGCCCTGTACGTGTGCCTGGTGCAACTACCTTAGGCGGAGTTTTCGGAAGAGAAGAGAGTGATTGCGATAAAGCATGCAATGCGCTTGATGCACGGCGCGAGTCCCACCCTTCAGGTTGCTTCCCTTTATCGGCTGAGCCTAGTAGTTCTTCAATCACGAGATCGGCCTCCTTATTCTGTTCTTCGGATGTTTTACTGCCAGACGGTAATGGGGTTGCCACATCGGGTTGCTTTCCCTGCCCGAGATCCTCTTCCGCACCCAAAACATCGACGGTCGCATTGGCAATATAATTATCGTCAACTGCACCTCCACCTCCACCTTTCACTGGACTAGCCATGACACTTGGTAGGCTTGTCTTTCGACTGGCCTTCAGAGATGGCTTCACAAGACCTGGACCGAAGATGCCAGTTGCGGTACGCCCAAGTGCTCCACTCTTGTCCTTCATCCGCTTCATCATGCTGACTCGGCTAGAACCAGAGATAGTAGCATGCCGTTTTAGCGAAGATGCCGTCGGTTTCGCAAAGGTTCCCGACGAGCCAGTGAGAACACTATCGTCCTTGACCACTGAATGAACGGCTCCTGTATGTTCGTCTTTGTCTGAACTGACATTGAAGCCCAGACTCGTATTGGGCCGACTTGGTGGAGGCATCGCAAGCTTCTCCAGAGCTATTGACAGTGTGAATAGCGAAGACTTGGGTTTCGATGGAGCAAAAATGCTGGAACCACTAATAGATGGCCTTTTTACTGGGGAGGTTCCCCCGCGTTGCTTAATCGGAGACGCTGGAAGTGGAATCCTAGAGGGAGATGGAGGTGGTCGTTGCACACAGATGGATGACGATGAAATAGTTGTAGACGACGAAGGTGCAGGTTTGGCCTTCATGAAAGAGGCGAGCGATGTTTGTTTGAATTTTGCGGGGTCTGGGAAACCTTTGGCTGACGAGTTGTCAAAATTTGAAACTAAGAATGAAATTGTCAGAAAGGATACGATAATGATGCGCTCGACTTTACCCTTGGAAGTAGAGGCCTGAAATGATGATGTCACACTGGCAGGCTCATCGTCTGTATTCAATGAGATATTTACAGTGCTGGCTTCGGGTGGTGGGTCGCTTTTGTCCCGGCTCTCGGGCCTCCTCTCTTTCATTGATATGCTGCGAGTCACACGACGAGGACCAGAAGATGGAAGTATGGCCTTCTTGCCTTTCGATAAGTTTCCGATAGGCTTTGAGCGCGCGGTATGGGAACTTCCAATGGTTGCCGAGCGCCCCCGTTTCACTGGCACAGGCGGAGGAGGCATAAGCGATGAGGTGGACGTGGATGGACGTGGAAGACGAGAGGGAGCTGCTGAGGAGGTTGAAGATCCTGCAACATTCAGTGACGAAGTGTTGTCCAAAACATCTTGAGATTTTTTGGATTTCTTCTATCAAACGAGGGTGTTAGTTCTCTATAGGGCACTCGACGCCCAATGTTAAGCGCACCTCAACAGCAGCAGCAAAAAGACTTGGTACGGCGGGACGGCGACCTATGAATGAAGTGGGCGGCAGAGGCGTAAGAGGAGAAAGAGACATATGCGAAGGATACGTGATCAAATTTCGTGGTGTCGCAGACTCAGCATGAACAATCAAGTTGGTTGTATCAGGCAGCTTGAGGACAAATTTCGGTACGTTTGTGAAGTGGGACATAGCGGACGCAGTATCAACATCCATTGCATTCTCCGTGTTGGGAGCACCCTCATCGGTGGCAGAGAGCGGTGTAAGTGGAGAGATCGGGACCACCTCTGTAGGTGGAGGGACAGGCGTGATCTTCAATTGATTGTGCACCTTCCGAGGTGAACGCATCGGAGAAAGGGTTCGAAGGTCGAGTTCTGGAACACGATCTGTAGGAAGCGGAACAGAGCGTGCACGCCCAGAAAAAATGAAGCATGACTTGACCTTGCCGTTCGTAGCATGGCATGCTGATTCAGTGGCAGCGCGGACAAACGGTTCTGCCATTTTCCTGGGAGATTGTGATGTCTTCTCTACAGAGTGACCCATTGACAACAAGCTCAACGCCGGTAATGGATCTATTTTGATACGCTTTGCTTCACGATGACTTGCGGGACTGAGCAGGTCTTGGTGACATGTGTCAGATGACCTTTTGTTCTTCTTCGGCGACAAGAGTATTTCGTCGTTCTCGTTCTCATCTTCCTCCTCTTCAACATCCATATATCCCTCGCCCTCCTTATTTTCGTTTGGTTCTGAATGCGACTGGTTCTTCGAGGTGACTCTGGCGTGCTTGAGAGGAGAACGCGCGAGGGGTAGCCTCAGGACATGATCAGGTACGGCTAGTTGGGATCGTGTTCTCTTGGAGGTTTCGACAGACATGTACGTGTCACCGTAGAACGAAATTGCGTGCTAGCTGTCTAATGCGGTGAGCTGAAGCGCTGTGAGCGTCAGTGCCGCGTCACGGACGATTGTCCGTTGATAAGTCAACTGAGATTGACACTGACCAGTGACAGGTAACGTGTTGAGGCACGTGACAAGGTTCACGCCGCACGGTGGCCTGGCCATGTGCATGTTCTCAAAAGCCACAGTATACTGTACACAGTGCACATGTCAAGTTGCAATTGTCTGGTCTAGTTGTTTCATCCTACGCGATGTTCACGTCGATTCCAGAATGTTTGGTGAGACGTCTTTGTTCACAGCCACTCGCCCCTCCTAATGCTTGATAATGCCGAGGCATGCCCGGGTTACCCCGAGTCATGATCATGTCAGACCATTGAGCCTTACTATTACTAATGACAAAGTCAGCCAACTGGACAGCCCTCAATTCATACTTCCCAGAATACACGCGCAAATTATGCCATGGTTTGATAGCTCTCAGATAAAAGTCCTTGAGCCACATCGCTTCTGACTTGGACTCCGAGTCATGTAGGACATTTTTCAATGCGCAGCGAGATATGGTCACACTCGGCCTTGCCTGGTAAGTCGTGTGCGCCCACCCTAGACTATTCCTCCAGACTAATCGTTTTAAAATGGAAAACTGCGCATCTGGCCCGGAGTCCGAACTGTGGCACAGAGACTCAATTCAAACCACTGCCATTTCGTTTGATCCATTTAGGCTTCATAGTTGGTTCTCATACTACACAGCTCTTTCAGCCACCGCCTTCTCAATGACTGGATGTTTTTACTCCATACACCGAGACATTCGTTATGGTTTCTTGTGTTATGCTGACCTACTGCTCCGTCAGTAACACATTGATCTGTTATTGAGTTGATGCTACCCGCACTGTCTGTATAGCATATGTGCCGAGAGTATGTTTACCCAAGTCGGTCTCTCCCATAACACATTTTTGTCAGACGTTGATTCACGAGTACCATTGCTACGGCACCTTTTGGTGAATCTGGTCATCTTGTTCTTTCTCTTTGGAAGAACCGAACCCCTAACATCTGCACAGGAATTCTTCAAGTGTCGGAAGCTTCCGTGACTTTCAACGTCAATTAGCTGTTGACGTCATCTTGTGCGTAGCTTCTGGACCCAAGAACGTTCTGGGTAAGTTATTTCAAGTTATTTTCACCTGTGTCCACCGATTGATTGCTTGCGTGTCTGGTATAGCATGGCGCGTCAGTTCCCCGTTGCAAGTTCAATTTCAGCGGATCCGAACTTCCATTCCATTCAATTGCCTCCATCCTGGATTCCTAATGGGTGTATTGTATAAATCACTGCATAGCCCCCATGGTCCGCTGACAGATGCCTGATGACTCGAGCAACTGTCACTTCAGTAGACTCGTTTGGAATTATCATCCCAGCATCTCCAGGGAAGCGAGCCTTCATTGTTGTCATTGATAAAGTTTGTCTGCGTCGTACCTGGTTGCGACATTGCTAGCTTATGTTTGCGTCGATGCTGTAGCCAACCTCATCACCCCAAAATCACCCCTCACTTGTATCTCACGTCTATAACGCACCTTGACAATCACTGCGACGCAGCGTAATTGTCCTGGAAAAACCGGGCAGGCATGGAAATTTCCAGTGCAAGACAGCGCCACCCTTGCTTATATACTTGGCTGATCATACTGATTTTCTGTCAAGGGTCAACTAGTGCCATTCATCCGCCAAGATAAAACAACCCATATGCATCACATATTAACGCGATTGGTCACTGATTAACTGCGCTCCTTCACATTGCTGGAACCAGCGATTAAACCTACTCGATGTGTGGCACTCCTATTGAAGCTTGGTTGGAAGTAATTCATCAAGAGTAAATTCAAATATCAACCGCGTTACTTGCGGCCCGCAGCTCTGGCGAACTAACCTGTTCACGTGTGCTTTGCGCGCATAGGAATTCATTTACAGTACCAAGAGCACAATTTAATGGTAGGATCTTGAAATAAGAGGCGATTACGCGCGACACGAGTGAGCTACCAGGACAATTGTATCTATCACTTCGTCAGTGTAAAGTAAGGTGTAAAATGATATGGTGCTTACACCTTAGTCTTGGGAAAGAACTGAGATGTTCGAACGTTCTGGAGCTCGTAGCTTTCAAATTATGTTAAAAGCAAAATTGTCGTAACATAGTGGAATTGAGACATGGTATCATTCATGCATTGCCTCATCATGCGTTGCCTTTGTGCTCGTATCTAATCTGATCTTCCCGACGCCCCTCGTGCCTCGTACTCTCCTGCTTCCAACACAGTAGACCATATATCAATGGAAATGCAGTCTCATCCGAGTCATATTTTGCCAAAATTTACTTAATCGGTGAGCTCAGCCATATCTCGAGTTGCCTTTTTTGTCGCCCCATCCGCAGTGCCACATCATGGACTTGTTATGGGCGTTCATGGCCTCACCACCTATCTGCGAGAGAATCAGCGAATTCTCGCCAAAGCCATCGAATTTCCCTCGAGCTCGACCGATGTGACTTCTATCGTGGTCGATGGTTGGTCGTGAGTATATGAAGATGTTGTCGATTGCTTGGTGATGACCCTACGTCCTTCAGGTTCATCTATGAGCTTTATGAAGAATCTAAGTTACCTTGGGTGTATGGTGGCGAGTACAAAGCGTTCTCTGCATGCGTTGAAGGTGTCGTGAAAGCATGGATGGCTGTGGGACTCAGGGTATATTTTGTCTTTGACGGTATGTCCCTTTGCTTCTTCATTGTGGCGCATATAGGCTCATCTAAGCGATCTTCTGAAAAGGTTCTGCCCCAGAGCTGAAGATTCCAACCCTCATCAGCCGCCTCAACCACTCGATCGTTGAAAGGAGCCTTCTGTTCTTCAGAACTTCCGAGACATCACGCTCAACTCCCCGTTTTCTGCATGAAACGCGGATGATTCCACCACTTGCATATCATGCATGTCTGCATGCCCTTCATGAAGTCGCTTCATCAGCAGATACTCTACAAGTGCATTTCGCAGATGAAGAAGGCGATCCTTATGCCGTCGAACTCGCCGGCAGGCTCGGGGCATTTGTTGTCGGCAATGACTCGGATTTTGTCATTCTCAATTCTGGGAAATATGCAGGATATATTCAGCTTGATGACATGCTGTGGGCAGTACCCAAATCCGTGGACGCAGGCTCTGGTGACGAGGACGGCGAGTTCCGCACAGTAAAGAAAGCAAAGACAAAAAAGAAAAGTATTGCCCAACAAGGGACTCGCAGGGGTCTGATACCTCCTGAGCATAGCACGGATCTCACCCTGTCAGTTTCGGTCTACACACCGACTGCCTTGGCATCCCATTTCAAGATTCCGGTCACCCTGCTACCTTTGTTCGGCGCCCTGGTCGGAAATGATTTTTCCAACCAGTCTTCTACACAAAGGAACGTGCAAAGCTTATTTTTCGAACGACATCTAACGTTATCGCAACGCATTTCCCGTGTCGGATCCACGTTAAATGCTATACTCTCCGCTGCCACTCAGAAACGAAAAGCCAGGCATCAGGTCGGTTCAGTCATGGACTTGATTGACAGATCTGTGCACGCACTCCTAATCAGACAACCAAGCACAATGGCTTCCGGAGAAACCGATGCCATCGTTGACAGGATTGTTAATGCAACATTGCAGTACGCAATTAACAAGTATGACGGAGATACATTTGGGCCGGATGGTCTTTGGCCGAGCAAAGTGTGTGCACTGCATCAGGCAGAAACTTGCCGACTGCCGGGACTGTTCTCCCGTATATTACTATCGGCCGATGATGAAGCAGCCAACAACAACACAGCGGCGCATGACACTCAACTACCCCAGCTCCACTCTCTCTACATCTCCGCGTACCGGTCTGGCCATTTGCAACCAAAGCTCATGGATATTTTGAATACTGGGACTTTTTGGCCAAGGTTATTTTTGGAAAACCCCGACGCGGAGAATGTAGCGCGGAGTATCGGCAGACCTATCCGGGAGTGGATCTTTGCTATTTTGGAAGATGCCGTAGGGCTGCCAGAAGCGCCGGAGGGGAGTAGAAACCCTGAAGTGGGGCAATTTGACACAACTCAGATGGACGAAGAAGACGAGGATGAGCTCATTGACGTGGTGGAAGAAGACTCCGAAGACGATGGAGCCGATCTCCTCGCCCCATTGCGTGGTGAGCTCCAAAAACTCCGCGTGCCAGATGAAGGGTTAGAGATTCCGGCGTCGGCCACATCTCAATCCCGGTCTCACCTTCCACTGCGGCCAAAATGTGTCATGGAATACGTTAGGCGAGGAACGCGCGTGGCCCCGGAAAGTGTGACGGTGCCAGATATTTCCAGGCTGTTGGTGTCATCCGCGTTTCGTGGCGATTACCAAGAAGATTGGACCCCCCTGCCACTCAGGCCTGCATTGGAGCGGATGTCAGTTTTTCTGCATATCCTTCATAGCAGTACTGTTGCTCTCGAAGAATTACCGAGAGAGCAACTCATATGTGCCCTCGTTTTGCGATGGGTCGTGCGGGTGATGCATCTACGGGCAATAGAATCTTCAAGTAAGGAACGGGAGAAAGAAAAATGGACTAGATCGGAAGCAGGTGCCTTCCTTGCATTTTACACGTCAGGGAGGCATAGTCTCGATTTTTGTGCTATGCCTGCACTCTCCGGCTCGGAACCGAATTCTGGATCTGAAACTACGCCAATCAACAGCCGTAGCATTCAGCTCATGGCCCAGGTGCTTATGGCAATCGAGGGCATACATCATTTATCCCAAGTTCTCTTGGTATCAGAACGAGTTCCAGTCCATGTCCATACCCTATCAGGCCAGACATTTCATATGTTCCTTGCCCAAAAGGTCTCGAACTATCGAGACACTCTACCGGCCGGGCTTTGGGATGCATGTACGGAGGGATTAGGTGATGCCTTTGCAGAAGAGCGTTCAGTCAAAGTCAAAAAATCGAAGATCAACGGAAAGTCCATTGAGCAACCGTCAGTGCAGAAAGCGACGCGTATTGGGGCAGCAGGTAGCCAGTTCGGGTTATTGGCTGATCTTCAAGTTTGACATTCTTCCTGTATTGTTTGTTGATATAAAAGAATACCGAGATGAGCTAAGAGTTCTGTAGACTAAGAGAGTAGTTGGCGGCGTGGCTGTAGTAGTGGCTCAGCATGCAGTGGATTGGCTGTGTAGCACAATACAGCTTATGTGTTTTCTAGGCTAATTACATAATAATATTTCGGATGGCATCTTGGAAAATGTAATTTAGATGCACCGCATCCTCGTTTCTGGCGAGTTTTTCTGGGTACAGCAATAGAATCCGGGGTCCTCACCGACACGGAAATAACAAAGGCTATTGTACTGCACCACACTGGCACCAATCGACACTTATAAAAGGTCTACAGCCATGCCCGTTCGATTCTGCACAATATCTCTTCCGCGCACTCGTCATTACTCGCCATGCGAACCTCTACAAGACGCCAGTCCCCAGCCCCCGCAGATGTTATCACGTATCGTTTGAACAATAAAATGATGTATGTACCCCCTGCAGAGAGTTTCGATGTGAGTCTTTCAGTCCTAGTCCCTCGACCATGAAACTGAACACGATCATTGCAGCAAGCAGTTACATTTGCTAGATCAGCATTCGAGGGTGACCTCACTGGGATTGACAAGAGCCGGATATCCTTCTCGCTGAATGTGCTGGCGAACGGGAAGCAGAGCTCTGTGGGTATCAGCAGTGCGGCATGGTCGAAAATTATGTCCCATCTGGCACAATATGAGATCATAGACGTGCATGTTCAGCCAGTGCTCAAAGTATCAGAAGCCCCTCCGAGCTATCGGTCTTGTGGCTCAACTGGGGACGTCGAGAAGGAGCATCATTCGTCACCACATTCATCATCACATTCGTCATCACCTCTCCACGGTCTCATTCCCAAACGTCTGTTTCAGCGGCTCGGTGCCTGAATGCAGCATGATACCGGGCACCTTTGGGCTTCCTGTGTCACTATGTAGAGATGATGCCTTCACATGCGGAATATCGTTATGGAGAGCACATGTTTTAGTATACCAAATCGTGTCAAACACTCATTTGTATTACATTCTTTCAGTTATGAAACGACGGTTATTGTTATTTCAATATTTCATACATGTAGATATTACTGCTGTATTAATTCAAATGGACATGAATAGACGTGTAGTATTACCATGCTTCCATTATCATGATCATATCACCTACAGTGCTCGATATGCGCGCTTCTCAAACGAATGGGTTTTAAGTTCACTTGTTAATCAACAAGCTGTATCCAGACGAGGTCGGGTAATCAATGGCGCATAAACGCTGACGCTCACGGAATATTTGATGATCTGAAATACTTGATAGTTTGCCGCTGGCATCGTACTGCAAAGGACAGCGTATGACTACACGACTAAGTACTGGAAGCGCTCGACCAAGCGCCGTACAAGATCAAGCGCCAATCAAAGCGCTTAATTTTCTTCGTAGCCAACATCAAATAGACCATGTAATGGAAGAACGACATCTTCGGGCGCTTACCTCGAATCTAGTGTTTGCCACTGTAACGAAGAAGCGCCTTGCTCCTAAATGTTGCATTGTACTGCAACAAATTATTGATGTCCCGGACCCAATCATCCTCTTTTCCAGGCCCAACGCCTTCTTCGCCTGGTTGTTCGTCTCCATAATCGGATATGGAGGAGCGGTTAATGCAAGGCACTGGGTATGGTGAGGCCTGTATAGTAACGGACTCTCCTGGATTAAGAACATGCGATACACGCCCGTCCATCGAAACGCCAGCCGCAGCACGGGAACGATCACCGATCTAATAATGTGAATCAAACGTTTGAGTAATAGCTTCCACGTGTTGTCATGATACACCGAGCGCATTACTCACACACAGCGTCAAAGATGAGGATGAGGGGAAGACGAGAGGTCTAAACGATAAACTTCGTGGACATATTGGCACGAGCACTACAGCACTCAAGGAAGGATGTACGATAGGCCCTCCAGCTGAGAGAGAGTATGCAGTTGATCCCGTAGGCGTTGACACGATCACGCCATCAGACTGCGGAAATCAGTTACGCGCGGTGCTTGGGAGATTTAGTACGCACAACAGCCTCCGTGAGATGTTGCCCGTCTACATAAATATCGATGGTATTAAGGTGTGGACTTGACCCACGGTGTAGCGCAATCTCATTCATAACCTGCCATTCTAGAATTGTGTCAGCATCGTGGGTACATACTTGGACTGTTTTATCCCAACCATCATCACCGAACCCTATTTTTTTGCGATCCTTGTCATAGAACATGCACGACAAACGCATGCGATTGAGGATGGTTGCCTTGCCCTGAAACACTGCTTCAAGCCCTTTCACAAAGTCATCGATATCTATCGCATATTTAGTGGCGTCCTGGCATTGGTGTGTGCACATACGGAATGGAAGGAGAAAGCCAAGGGTGCCCATTGAAAAACTTAGCACAGGAGGGACCGCTCCAAGACTGAAGAGTGATGCAGCATGGAGAATGGTACCGTCACCTCCAAGAGTTACGACAAGATCAATTTTCTCGGCATGAGGCCCTGTGATGAATTCATTCAAACAGGTTATTTCGGCGTGTACAATCTACTCACCGGGACGCCACACTTGTGTGCCGAATGGAATGTCTGGGCGGTCTTCAGAGAACACTTTCACACCCGGATACGTCTTCGCTACATGACTGTGGTATGTTAGGCACCACCTGTTAATCGGCTGAAATGACACAGGAAGACTATTGCGCACTCCAGTAGCTCATCAATTGCCCCAATCACAGGCTCAGTTCGAAGCTTGTTCACAATTAAAATGGATCGCGGAGGGTATGATGTTTCATTTATGCTGTCTTGTTGAGCGTTAGCGGTCCACGATTGTGAATGGAAGGCAGCAGACAAACGCTTGGGATAAAGCACGAGAAAGACGTGAATGTGGTAGTTGTGGGATGAACGGATTCGCACGCGAAGTCAAAGGTAGCGACGGTCGATTTCGTCTTCGAGTGTGGAGACAGCGTCGAAAAGGAAAGGAAAGAAAAGCTCGTTGCACATGGCTGGCCATAGCAGTTAACATGGCTGCCAGTAAGTAAGCTTGACTTACATAACTGCACCGTGCAGTTCAAGTTTACATGCCACACCGTGACCGATGCATCTTTCTTCTTGCCACAACCTTGCGAAATGTTCTCACTCGGTAAAACATTCGTAAATCGACCACAAAGAACTCTTTCTCGTTGAATCCGAAGACACTGTATAATATTCTGGAACTTTTCTTTTTTGCCACTGCCAATATTTATGGCAGTATATTACCTGTGTTGATTAAGTTACGAGCGAACTTCTGGTTCGGTCACTTTTTTAATGTTGGTCTCAAGCGCTCACAGCTTCCCAGCCCGTTGTGACAGGACGGCCTGAATCAAGCATATATATACTACAGCACTTTGTTCAAGCGAAGAGACGTACTTCACGGATCAGTCCGAATGGCAGTGACAGTGCAACTCAAGTACGTGGCCAGTGCACGAGTACCCAAGTCCTCCAAGTACAATTTAGTGGAACGACTGTCTTCCTCTATGGTCTGGACTCTGACTACTACTGGGGGAGACTGGTCCGAACTGGGAGTGGTTCCTTGGCGTTGAAACAGTGTATCTGCCACTGTGTGCCTGCGTGTCAAACGCTACGGCACTACACCATAGCCTACGACAAAACCCGAAGGAGACTGAGCGGCTGACTAAGTCAATACGGTGCTACCCGGGTGCTAGCGTGAAACATCACCCTAGAGTCATCGCTATCATGGGCCGGAATTATACTCTGATCAATACTAGATGTTTCTAGTGATCCGACTCAAAGGTGCATTAGGCTATCTCCGAGGTTATGCTCTTGACGACAAATATGTCACCCTTCGCCCAGTCGGCCCCGCCTTGCTTGGCTAAAGCATCGAAGTATGGTCATGGTGGTTGTCGCCCCATCTTTCTAGTGGAAAAACTTTCAGGTCCGAAGAGGAGCGCCTTCTCAGAGGCTTCTGGCGCTTGCGTAGTGTCAATTCTGGAAGACCTGTATAACTAGCGGTAAATCTTATCAGGACCTCCACGATTTATACTCGTGCAGGAGAAACAACTCCGAACATCTAGAAGAACGTTCATCAAATCGTGGCGAGTCGATTGGATGCAATTTGACAACACACATCGATGATAGACCAAGCAGGCAGTTTCATATCATATCATTCCTACAGCTACAAGAGTTTGCGACCCGAATGGTTTTCGCCGTTGGTGAGAATTGTGGCTCCTTGAATGTGCGCATCACCGGTGTATGTGCCTCCGTCAGTTACTACATCACTGTCTGGTGTCACTTGACTTTTCAACCTAGATGAATTTGAGAGCTTGCGGGGCTTCCTGTGACTTTACACTCCTACGAGGAATGTGCTGATGACCGAATACTTACCATCTTTCAAAAATCTCGACAATGACAAGAAAATTTTGGTGACACCGTTTGTGCAAATCATGCAACAACTCTGGTATGGTTGGGTCTCTGTACCATTGATAGTATCAGCAGTGAGCAATAACAAATGCTAATGAGACGCTGCAATTTCGCAATCCTGCCAGTCAATCCGGGATACAGGACACGCATGAATGTCAGATACCTGGCAAATATATGGAATGGAGTGGTAGGTGACTATATTTATATCGGGATAGGTATCTCTGATAGCTTGCTAGATTGGTCCCGTTTTGAAGGGTTTCTCGGTGCGGATCTGGAATACCTGCAGCAAGAACCTTATGAGACCTTGAAAGGGCTGAATAATTGATGCGAGTCATCTGTAAGTATATGGTGCGACGAATATCCCAGAAGTTCTCCGTGCGAATGGGCTGCATCATGTCACTCTGCCCATTGCAACGCGCCAGCCAGCACGCCGAACTGTACGGTTTCGGTACTTTCGATCGCGCCATACAACAATTCAGGCAGGGTCTTTGTGATCCATGTGAACCCATCGCAACTTGCTGTCACATCTGTGGGGATAATGTGCTGGCTCTCCTCGATATACTCGAGTACTGGTAAGGTCTTGGCGAATGCCTTCACATCTCATTATTATGAGTATGACATCAAAACGTTGACGAGTCCAGCTTGCTTTCAAATTAAATAATTCCCAGACTGTCGTGGACTTGGAGAGCGAATTATTGACTCTCGAGTGGAATGAATAGGAGTCTTTATTTGGTTTTATTTGATAGTATGACATGACCCGCAAGCCCCTATACTTGCGAGTCTCAACCTCCCTCTCGCACCATGTCTTCCATCGGCAACGTTAACGATATGTTCAGAAACTTTGAGAGACTTAGCCGTACGTTCAACAAACTTTCTACATCAAAAATATACATGTTGATGATGATTTGAACATATCTAGCAAAAGTTCAGGAGCCTACTGAAATGTTCCCCCAATCGAAACGACACAACTCTCAATCTATCTCGCACCATGATGATGGTGCCGAGCGGGACGAATTGTCAGACGGATCTGAATACAACCCGAAATCTCGCGATACTAACCGCTTAACTGTGAAGAAACCGAAGGGATTCAATGTGTAAGTATGGCCATATACCTCATGGGGAATTCTGTATTAATCATCTGTGAAGGGGTCGACAAAGGGGTGGAATTAAAATGAAACTCGACCGCAAAAAACGAGCATTGGTTCGTGCACTCGCGAAGCGTGATATCTGGGACCACAAAGAGATTGCCGCCGTCTTCGATGTATCGCTTCTTCCTATTAAAAAGGCCGTGACCAACAGCTATGTCTCGGTAGACGACAAACCATGGGATGATGCAAAATTTTATGAGAATAGTGATCTTGAAAAGTTGATTTCGAGGGTCAGTCTTGAAAATTGTGTCTCTCGAACTCATGCATGACATTCGCAGCAGCTGCCGCCTGCCACAGAGAAACAGAATAAATTCAAGAAACAGGTATTCCCAGTCGTCATTTCAACGCATGTTTCTCATGAGGTTATCTTATCGAACACTAGGACAGAGCATATGTGAGATCCCCCAACAAAACTGTAGTTGCCGCTTCCCCTCCTGCGTCGGCTCCTATGGAGGTAGAAGTCAGTCCGCTTATTCAATCATGCTGTTGCAGTCTCATATGTGCCCAACCCGTCAGTCGGATTCAAATACAACGTGCAGCATATTCAGAACGTTTCGAAACGAAGCGATACTTGTTCACGGGGAAAAGGTCCACTCGATACTTGAGGAAATTGGGATTGAAGATGACGAGACAATGTTCGCCGTCCTGATCATGGACGATGAACGGTTGAACGGCATGCTACAAGAGGCCAAGCGTCTCAACCTCGTGGAGAAGTATTCCGTCATTCAAGCGCTGAGAAATTTTGGGGAGAAGCACAAAATAGCGAGGTAGAACGTTCATGATCGATGTTTCCTATTCGGATCATTCCGAGTCAATGAGATTGTTCACAGGTGATTTATTTGTTCATCCGCACTGGTATGACATTCCATCTCCGAGATGCTAACGGAAGGAATCACCACATGATTGACGACTACCTCGGATCTTAAAACTTTTCTTTTGACGCTAAGAGAGGCTCAGGCGCGGTGGTCGCTCTTTCGGTTTACACAATAATGATGCATATATCGCATGCTTCTGAGCTTCCTCTGTTCAACCCGCCTGTAGAACGGAATTCCAGAGAATTGAAATGTTGTCGGTAAGTGGAAGCCGAGCACTGCCTAGACTCGTGACCAGTCTGACGTAGAGCTTTTGAGAGTGGGGAATTTTGGCCCGCATATGAATCATTGAAGTACTCTACTGAATTCAATCTCCATATTGAGCGCCCCTTCGACGAATGAGGAAATATGATATTGGGGATATTCCCCAGACGAGGCGAATATCAAAGTGTTTCTGACTATAGCATTGACATCATATAGTGTCCGACTTCGGGATCGAGTTCGGTTCATTGAGGTATTCGAGATCTTATTGCAAAATTTCAAGCTTCAAGGCCATCTTCGAGTCATGATACTACTCAAGACTACTCAATTGATCAAACGCCTTCGACAAATGGTTGCACACACTTCGCACCTCTTGACTTTGCTGATCCCTCGTTGATAGTGTTATTATTTATAAAAATACGTCCGGTCACAGACGTGTGATTGTTCGTACCTGTGAAAAGCAACGGAGTTCCAAAAAGCCGAAAGATCTCGCAACGTTGAGTGTTGATGTATCTTATGTACTAGGCTCGTGCCTCCGTTCACTCAGGATCTTAGACGGTGCCTAGGGTTCGAACGTTCAACGTTGAACTTGTACGTAAATTCATTATGGATAATATTCAACGCGTGCTTACAAAGCATAAGTACCAGACTTCTATTTTTACTCGTTTGCTTCTGTCAATTTCAATTGGGCGTTGCAACGTTGAGCATTTTGCTCCCCTAATGGGTTCAACAACGCCAGGACTTGTGACTTCTTTCTTTTCAAATTTCAGCGGAAATGAGCGCTTGTATGTCCCCTCGGCCAGTCTAGCTATCATCGTGGTAAAGGCGCAACCTAAGTCTAGTTGCAGCAGGCCTTCCCGGCGGATGATCGATGACTCGTGACTCCATTCGTCGTCGTATGGACCAAATTCGTGCTTGTTATTTACGAGAGCGAGAACGCGGGGAATGGCCACTCCGGGGCCTAGGCTTAGGCGTAGGTCAAGTGGATTTGGCTTCGCGCGGAGTCATCACGCGCTCGTCGTGGTGGGCAATCTTAGCAATATATTCTCAAATTTTGTCAAGTCACATCGGTACGAATAAAATTGGAAGAATCCGGCAGAATGTCAAACTACAGGACTAGACCTCCGTTGGGCCCTTGCCCCTATAACGATGGACAATACGCCATACTGCATCTCTGTATCCAGAAAGATGTTCTATGTAATAGCCATCTTCACCCCACAGTACTAGCAACCTTTCTCGATCGACTCAAAACAACTGCACTTTGTTACTCGCAAAGTAGATTGTACAGCTTGTACTATCTCGTATATCGGTAGACACGTTTGAAGTACTGGAAAAGATTCGAGCGAATCTTTGTTACCACAGTCGTGAACTCGTCAGAAGGCCGCGACTAACAACGGAAAGCCAATTTGTCGACATCATGCGACACCGGTGCCCAGCCAGGCATCGACGTCGGCACCACCATATGCATCTCAGACTCGAACAATGACAACGATCTTCAAAGATAAGATCCGAGGCAGTCGTCAGTTATGCGGCGATTCCTGTTGTTACATCTGGAGATGGAATGACATACTAATACGTATGAATGGAAGCAAGTCGAACATACCCCTATGATCATGAGGCCCCAACACTTGTCATCACGCCTGGCCCACTGTTGGACCAACAGCTGGGACTATCCAGAGTCAGGGCTTACGGCAACGAGTGCTCGTGGTATAAAAAGCCTGCAATGTACACTGTTTTCTTCAGTTCATCCTCCTCTTCACAATCAGGTTAGAGATCAGCCTTGCATATCATCGTTGTCTGACATGACCCCACAGAAACAACATGTCTTACACAATCGTAGTCAGAGTCATCGACACCACCCACAACAACTCCAATTTCACGCTCGCCGAGAAAACTGTGTGGCATTATGCCAATGGCGGGAGGTGGTGCAACACAGACTCGATCCAGACACTCACCATGGGTGGCAGTGGTACATCTGGTGGGCTCCGCTTCATGTGCGGTACCGGGGAGGAGTTCCTCGTGGTGCTAGGCATCCACAACTACAAGAGGTGGTGCGACATCAACACTAACCTCGCACCTGGAGACACGGGGATGAAGATCCACCCCGAGTACTACACAGACGGCAGCCCTCAGAACAAGTTGCTGTGGGATCAACTGTCTGAGATCGAGAAGACTAGCGCAAAGGGAACCAAGGTGAACGTGAAGTACGTCCAGGAGGCAGCCGACGGAAAGTCCTTTGTCGTTCACATCACCATTTCTTGAATATCTTGAAGTTGTTCATACCTTTCTCGTACAAAAGCAGTTGTTGAAAGATGGCGTATGATGCAGAACGAATGTACTAGTAGTATGTAAAGATGAAGTCAATATCTTGATGAAATGTTTTGTTTGCAGAATACAGTGAATTTACATGATCAATGACGTACCGTCTGCTGCAATGCGTTTGTAGATGATATAAGCAATGTACATTGTCGACGAGATCTACGCGTGCTCGGTTTTCTCCAAGCCTTTTGTTTGGTACGCTTTGCTACTTCCGCGTCATATTCTGCGACAAATCTGTAGTTGTCACTTCTCCTTTTGCATCGGTTCCTATGGAAGTAGAAGTCAATTCGCTTGTTCGATCATGCTGTTGCAGTCTCATGCGCACCCAACCTGTCAGCCAGATTCAAATACAGCATATTCTAGATGTTCCGGATGAAGTGACACTTGTTCACGGCGAAAGGTTCGTTCTATCCTTGATGCAATCGGGATTGAGGATGACGAGACAATGTTCGCTGTCCTGACAATGGATGATGAACATTTGAATTGTAAGTATACTGCAAGAAGCCAAGCGTCCCAACTTCGTGAAGAAGTATTCCGTCGTTCAAGCGATGAAATTTTTCCACAAAATAGCGAGGTAGAACGCTCGCCTTCTATGATTGTCATTGCAGCGTCCAGATGGCCGTCCAAACCATCCGAAAGGGAGTATAAACAATAATTTCATGTCAAATCATGGAACTCACGCCTTCAGGTCTTTCTCTATAAACCCCTAGTAGACTTTGGCTACTACTCAAGAGCAAATGAACACTCTTTTTGAGCTTTCTCGGGCGTGAAGTTGGGATGTGTATGCCGCGGGTCTCGTAAAAACGGTTCCATTCCTGGCCTGGATAAAGTAGTGAAGGGGTTGGATTCTGTCGGTATTCGAGAGATTTTGGGACAGGATTTGGAATTTCTTTAGCTGGAGGATCGACGGGCAACAAGAGCAGGTCGTACAGACTCGTACTACTACCAATTAGCAACTTGAAATCGAATGCACGTGGTGCACGCTCGAATTCGACCTCGAAATCATGAAGGATAGGCAGTGATTGAATAGGATAAGGCGGGTTGGAAATACCTCAGGCCTCAGGAATCGGAACTGCGGGGAACGAGGTCTAATCCAATCGCAACTCAAGTACTGTGAGAATCCATCTCATGGTTGTTAATTTGTTTACGTGAATGATGACCGGCCTGACTCGGAGGACGCTCGGGGATGCTCCTGTACGATACTACGGGTAGAGTACTCTATCGCAGATGCCGTTTACAAGCGAAGTCCTTGCTTTGCAGAAGTTTGCACAGAACCTGCGACTGTCTTTGGCCTCCTTGAGGCCCTCTCATTGCATTCATGGTGACTAGGGGAGAGTCGAGACTACCTCAGGCCAACTCAGGCTGCGAGCGGCTTGCGATTAGTAAAGAAGCTTCTCTACGCAGCTCAAGCGCTCAAGTACTATGGGCCGTGACCGCGTGGCCGCCTGCAGGCGTCAGCGCTTCAGCCTTGTTGGAGCTTTTCACCTCGTTGCCTGCAAGAACAAGGGATGCCAGTATCAGACGATCCAACGGTTCCCGCCCAAGGGCGACAAGAAAAGTACGTCTTTCGCCTTCCACAAGATCTATGAAGTATTGAACATGTGTTGTGACTACAGTTCCGAATTCTTGTTGCGCAAAATTCTCGATGTGCTAGAGCAGTCAACCATTGCTAAGAAACCACTCCCGTCGGATGACTGGAATGGTTTTTGGGATGTATACGATCAGGAAGCAGAAGAGTTCGACAAATCATTCGTCGAGAGATATCTCTCGGATTTGGGCAATAGTCTAATTTTCGTAAGCTTTTCTGGCCCTATGCAACGAGTCTTCTGTTGACCGAGCGTATCTTTCAGGCGGGTCTTTTTTCGGCCGTCAGTGCCACTTTCTTAGGGATAATGCTCCCTAACCTGAGCCCCGATCCCAGCGATACGACAAATGCCTTATTAATGATGATATACCATCAACTCAATAACACCGCATTCCCAGGGCAAGTCCCGAGCCTTCCCTCGTGGGATGGCCCCCCTTGGATTATCATCTGGACCCAGACCCTTTTGTATGCTAGTCTCTCAACCAGCCTTCTGGCTGCTCTTGGAGCCGTCTTGGGACAGAAGTGGCTCAGGGACTACGCAGACAACACACGAGGACCTCGTGAGTATCGTCGCACCAGGCGGCAGCTCAAAGTCGACGGGCTCGAAACGTGGCACTTTGAAGCCGTCCTTCGTGTTATACCTGCATTACTGCAGCTTTCCTTGCTACTCTTCGGCACGGGTCTTGGGGCGTATCTGTGGGCGCAGCAACGCACTGTAGCTGCTGTTGTCGTTGGAACAACGTCCTTTGGTGCCTTTTTCTATATCGTGGCCTCCATCAGCAGCCACTTCTATGTTAGCTGCCCCTTTACGACGCCGGCTCTTGCAATCGTATATGATAGCCTGAGCGCGATCCAATCGTTCATAGTGATCTGTGTCGTGCGTCCGCGCCAATGGCTAGATGTGGCCATCCTTATCCAACTCCATAAGTGGACAAGAGAGGGCTTTTTCGGCGCTTTTTCATTGATGATGTTTCCCATAAACCTAATATATATCGTTCCATCAAGTCTACTAGGGATTCTTGGGGTGGGGTTACGTTTATTAACCCCTCCTGATCACCAGCCGGTTGACGATGTATCACGCTCCGTGCTCTGGCTCTGCCAGACATCCCTCAATCCCGACACCGTACTTGTCGCCGCGAAAAGAATTCCCGATGTCACTTTCCCCACTGATGGTCTCAGATTATGGGCGGCTTGGGGAAAACTTTTCAGGCTAGCTCAGGACGAGCTCAAACATCGCTCCCCATCCCCTGCGGCCTTGATATATGCGAAAGCATTGACTTCACTGTATTTCACTGCCTACATCAGCAAGATCCAGTTTTGGCCCATCGTTAGCCGAGTCGCTAGAGTATTATCTGTGGATGTGCGCTGCAGTGATGACGTGACGTCGTTGCGCTTTGTGCTGACTATGCTTCAGCAATGGTTCCACACCGCTAGCAGCCTCCAGCTTAATAACATGCCCGAAGGAGTTGATATCATCAGCAAGCTTAGCCCACTCAGTCTCGATTACATACCCAGTGATACTCTTGAATGGTTCTTACCTTCTCTATTGCACGGCCTTTGCGGAACATCACCGCGGTACAAAGAGGAATGCCATCGCCGTCGCTTGTATTTGCAACCTTTGGCGATTTATATCATCCGCAGGTTGCTGCCTATCGATCAACCACGTCCACTTCCTTCCCACAAAACCATTATAAAATGTCTTCAAGTCATGATCGCGATCCTCGATTGGCAGTCGATCGATCTCGAGGAAATCAAAATGACAGATAACAGGTACTTGACCTGATCTCTATGTGTGATGACGGCTGATCATCGAATGCGTGCAGTGACACCATTGAAACAATCTTCCCTCGCGTCCTTGATATTCTGCTACGTCCAGATACTACAGCCGCAATTCAAGCTGATCCCATTCATGTACAACATCCCGAAGTGACACGCTCCGGCATATTTTCGCGTATTTCTCGATTCATTTCCTCAAGATCCTCAAGGTCACGTACCTTCTCAGCAAATGAAGTCTCGCATTTTAGAGCCATACTGGAGCCTTTAGCACGCCTTGCCAATGAGACAGAATTCAAACATCATTTCCTGAAAAAACGGGTGAAAGCATGGAGCACCGATGTCTTCCAAGCCACCGTACCTAACAATATTGAAGACGCATCTACTCCAGCACTCTGCCTTTATGTGTGCTGCTCCATTGACAACCTTTTCAATTCCGACGTTATATACTCTGAAACGATCTGGAGTTCATGTTGAGCAAATGCGGATGCTTCCGTGCTGCTCAATTATCTCGATCAAGCCCATACCCGATCCTGGCAGCCAGGGTTGAATGCGGACACCGCATCCCATCTCCCTCCCCGCAGGTGGCTGGACGCGAATTTCCGAAATAACATCGCATTTGCATATGCGTTGCTGATGCTTTCTACTCACGATGCCATCTTCACTTCCGGGACAACACCTACGGTAGTGCGCAGCATTATCTCCGCGATGCAGCACGAAGAATCCCCTCTTTACAGACACGTTGGGCTGAAGGTAGCTCACCTCGTTATCAGAGAGCATTCGGCGAATATTACAGATGACGTCCGCGATCAACTCCTCCCAGCCTTGCGTTCCGCAACCTTTCAAAATATCCAGAACGATACCATCACGCCAGGTGACACATCACCAGATCGATTCATCTATTCAAAGCGCGATCTTCATTATTTGGAAGTACTATTCGCCCTTGCGAATAGCGAGTATTGGCTCTCGCAGCTCCGCCAAGACAGCTGGGGCCACATGCAGCGGTGTATTTCCATTGCCAAAGCTATTCATCCACCGTCTCATAATGAAGACTATAGAGAACTCTCACTACGACTGGTCCTGATATTTGCCCGCATTGCCTGCGCTGACAATTATGACTGGCCAGACTGGAACACCTGGTTTGAAACGCGCCCGGACAACCAAGTGCTGCTCGTCGAACAAGCTTGGGAGCCACAAATGCTCAGCGAGTGTCCTGACGTCATCCCTCTTCTCATCGCGTTCACGAACAAGATGCTGTCGAGTCTTAGAGGTGTGAGCGAAGAAGGCTTGGTGATGTTTCTTAAGGACACAGTGATTGCGGCCTTGCATGGCATTTCGAAACAGGTGCAGATGGTGGTGGACGCTCGTATGAATGTAGACGAGATGCAGAACGCCTCGGAGGCCCTCGGTACGGAGGTGGTGGACGCTCGTATGAATGTAGACAAGATGCAGAATGCTTCGGAGGTTCTCGGTACGGAGGTGGTGGACGCTCGTATGGATGCAGACCAGATGCAGAATATTTCGGAGGTCCTCGGTACGAAGGCGGTGGATGCTCGTATGAATGTAGACGAGAGGCAGAATGCTTTGGAGGTACTCCGCACGGAGGTGGATGAGCTGTTGAGGCGTTTCGGTGCGTAGTCATTGATATTGAACGAGCGCTGGCATAGGATCTTGTAAATGACTAATTATACATAAACTACTGAGATAACACTCTTGACGTCAAAAGCTCTTCAGCCGTGTCGATGATTTCCACTCCCGCCTTGTCCATCTCAATCCATTCTAGACCGTTATCAGACACACTCCTGACCGCATCCCTGATCACAAACGTCCTGAACCCGTATTTCTTTGCATCAAGTGCAGTAGACTTGACGCAATAATCTCCCGCTATGCCGACCACGAAAACATTTGATATCTCTTTGTTTCTCAGCTTGTCCTTGAGTCCAGTGTTTGTGAGTCCCCATGGGTCTTCGAATGCAGAATAGCATTCGATCCCGACATCGCAGCCTTTACGGACGACCTCCAGGCCCTCATGTTCCAGGCCGTCCACAAATGCTACCCCAAAAGTGTCCTGAACGCAATGAACAGGCCACAGCACCTGTTCTAGCCCTTCAAGTGACCTTTCATCCTCAAGCGTCCTCCCTACTACCAACTCTGCGGGAGGAAAGATGACGATCTGGTCAAATTCCTTCTTGCCCTCATGATTGCGCGCAAAGGATATGTGGTTGGCGGGATGATAGTCTTGAGTGGCGATTTTAACGGCGAATGGTAGCTTCAGGAGTGCGTTGATGGGACTGATGACTTGCTCTGCATCGCGGACGGCGAGACTGCCGCTGACGAAGTCGTTCTGTACGTCGACGACGATTATGGCAGAGTTGGAGGGTTCAACGTTTGCAAGGTCTAGTGGCATCTTGCTATTGGTGTGGTCTATGGTGAGTTGCTATTGCGTTGCCAGTAGTCCTGACGCATCATGATGTGGCCTATCAATCCAATGGACTGTCCTGTCAACGGAACATGTTTCATTTCGGCTGTAGTAAGTATATGTATATTATCAAATCACTTTCCTGCAAATGTGATTACGTAATTCACACCCCAAACTTGTGTTCCCCAGCCGCAGGACCGTCAATATTTCAATATTCACCAGCATCATCTCTGTTTTTGACGACATCATAATGCTAGGAAGTTCCTACACAAGCCTTCACCTTTACAGAAACATATGTATTCCATTCCCACTTAATGCCACACATGCATAGAGGTCTGCAAGAAGCACAAAAAGATCTTACACGGCAGAAAAACAATATCGAGATGCTCTGTGCCGAAATTGGTGTGTGGAACTACGTGCCAGGAGGCATATATGTGCAACGGGTCTGCGACAAATTTGCGTCTACTCGTCGAGTCATGCTGTCACGGTATTGCTGCACATTCCAACTGGTTCCAACTCGATAGGCCAGATTCTATTTTCCTTCACTCACCGACGTTGTTTATTTTGGAGTGGTTAGTCAGAAATGTCAACAAAGATGTAGCACCGTGACAGCTTCGGGACCGAACACCATCATATCCATCATCGGTGCTGGACCACTGCTGGTAGAGCGCACCCCAGACATTTGACTACCAGGTGTGGAATGACCGCAGAGATGACAGGCATGATATATCCCAACACCTGAACTGAGCCTATCGAACTCGCGCACTTCAGAGAGCAGTGGAAGGTCGAAACGACTCGGACAGGCTGTTGCGTCGGGCGCGCGAACTCAACTTGTTCTCAGTGCCAGCACGATTGCAGAATGCACCATTCCCCTTAGCTTAGAGTGACAGCGATACAAGTGCTAAGAGTCCAGAGTAGTGTTACCACCGTTAACACATTTCATCCCGGGGACTTGGAACCCATAGGTGCGCCTACCGTCACAGTGTACACATGTACCTCCAGAGTACGCTTTACAATGATTTTCTTTCCACACTCAGGCAAGTGGGCACAAATCCAGCATTGGTAGTGATGTTTGCTACAAGGAAGCAAATGAACATTATGTCACGCCGCTCACATGTAACTCATCCACCATTTGCAGGTTGTTTGTGGTCTTAAACGGTCCAGCTGCGCATGATCAAGTCATGCGCGTGGTTCAAGAAGGTCATCAGTCGCTTGACTAGTGGATACGGAGTTCTTGAGCAATTGTGGTACTTGCTCGTTGCATCGTGGCAATAATGTGATTATTGTGCAAACCGTGGTCGCGCTTTACCGAATCTAGTGGACGCGGCTGCTCAATTGAGTGGTTTGTTACACATCCAGTCCACAAGTCCACCGATTATTCAGCTATTAAACTCCCTGCTCGACATGACATCTTCCATCAACTCATCTTTGCTTCATTCGCATCATGATTTTCTTCACTGAATTTGTCCGAACGAGTCCCTATTCTCTCGACTACTATCCCCGCTACCCCGTAGTCTTACTCTCTGCGCGTGCCCGTGCTACCCGGTATCTCGCCGAGCAGCGTGAACGTGCATGGGCTCTCCGTTACCAGCAGCAGCCTGTGAATCAGCCTACCCAAATTGCCCTCCTTGCTCAAGAGTACGACGAATTCCCCGACCAGTAGTGCATGATGCACGTCTTGCGTACCTGTGCACCGCAGCATGAGGACGAAATTGGCTACATGATGGCCTACAAGCACGCTGAAATGCAGCAGACCACGATCCAACAGTTGCAGGCTATGGCTGATCTACGATCTGACATCGAGGAGGCACAGATTTTTGCCCACCACCATGCAAATGCCGAGAAATTCCTCGAGGAAGCTGAGACCCACCTCGAAGATTTTCTACCTCCGGATCAGGAGCCATGCTTCATGATCTTTGAGCCTTTTGACCTGCCTGATGATTCTGTATGTCCTCACCCGTCCAGTAACCCTGTTTCATGTCACTTACACTCTCCTCAGATCTCAACTTTCAAGGTCATTGTCCAGGATGAGCCTTTACTTGAGGACGTGATGAAGACTGTGTTATAACAGAGAGCCATCGTGCGGCAGAGTACCGGTCTGAGGTGCTCAATATGCTCCAGTCGATCCTTGGCTGTCTTTCTGCAGACACTTTGGTGCAGGCCAACGTCAACGAAGAGGGAAACACATCCCCGTAGGAGGGAAAAGGAAAGGTCAAGGGGATCCCTAGATTTGAAGAAGACTTTGTGACTGTTGTTAGCTGAAGCGGTATCATATTGCCCCAGGCTTGTATCTTTTAATTTAGATGTTACCTATGTTCTATGTTCTATGTATACTTGGTTCATATTTACTTTATTGCGGTACTCCAGATTGTACTAACAAACTGCAAATACATATAACGCATGGTAAGGGACGCATCAATCATCAACGATCGCCCCAGCAGATTCTAGCACTCTATGAAGCACAGGACGTGTGATTGACTGAAACTTGTTCTATAGGCTACTGGTTGGTCGCATGCGCATGACAAGAAATTCACCTTCAGGTCATGCGGGATCCTTGAATATAATACATTTCCAAGTCCCACAGTATGTACATGTCCTAATTTTCAGCGATTGATGGCGGACCGTCACCACGGTTCGGTAGATGTTCACTGAAGAGTGGTGAGTTCCAACTTCCGAGAAGCTGTAGCGTCCATACTTGGACTCAAGCTCGCGTTTTACCCCTGGGTATCCGTCATTAACATCCTGGAAACTCTGCAAAATCAAGCCCCTCTTTACCTAAAAGTGTTATAATACCTGACTCGCCTCATGGACAAGCTGTTGGGAACGCAACCGGGATGGATGAAGCAACAAAGAACTGGGATATTCCTGAATCCTGACGGGTGGAGAAAATTTTCGAGGGAGTGAAGTATCATTTTCAGGCCAACTTGAAACGCCTTCCTGTCTACTATGCATGAATGCATTGTCATTTCCCCTACCGGTGTCAACGACATCTTAAGTGGTGCTATTGTAGCGGTCAAATTCACTATACGGCGCTGGAAGATCAAAGGTGTGAATGGGAAGTTATGACTCGGGTGTACATGTCGTAAAATGGTGGGCACACTGTTGTAGTCAGGAGGAGGTAACGCGTTCCCTCGTGTCTGTAACAGATACCAGAACTACAGAAAATAAAACCGTGTGCGACGGAGAAAGTGAGGCCAAACCCTGATATCAAATGTGTGTTTGCTTAAGTTTGCTTGTTCTGCTGCTTTAGCCTTTGACCAAGTATAGCTTGACAGTAGGTAGATCAAGCACATCCTCTTTTATGGCGAGCAAGCGTGTTTACTATGAACTTTCGCAGTCATGTCTACCTTGTTGCAACGGATAAGAACTCGGTCAGCGAACCATTCAGAAGCAGCCAAGCCTCCATTCAAGAGTGAAGTTGGAAAGGAACAGGACCAGGCGCAGGTAGTGCATGATATGCAAATGGAAGCTACGCAGCAAGCAAAGTTGTTCGATGCTCAGATACACAAGCTAAAGGTATGTTCGACATGTTGTAGTTCTTTCGATACCTCATGGTAGCCCGCCCCAGAAGGAACGTCGGTTCTTCGCCAAAGCTCGTTTCCTGTTTCCTCTCGGAATCCTACGTATGTCATTTGTATGCTATCTTCTGAGATTTAATGACATCGTCGCATAGTTGGGATACTATTGGGCTTCATCCTTATCCAGCCTTCGGACTTGCAAGATATTCACAGCAACCTACTTCTCATCATGGAAGAGTACGACATCTCGCTGAGAATACCGGATATTGATTTATCGCGCGTCGAATTAGAATGGAGACGTTTTCGGAACAATATCCCAGAGGTTTGGAAGCTGAACAATGATGGACGCGAGTTTAAGGTTGGGGAGGCGATGAAGGCGCGAGGCTTGACGGCGCACTATCCTATTGTGCTTGTTCCTGGTATCGTATCTACCGTAAGCCACACTGTTAATCCGCGTTCAATTGATGTTTAATCACCGTCTAGGGTTTGGAATCTTGGTCTACTTCGCCCGAGCATCGACCTTTCTTCCGCGAAAAACTCTGGGGAGGCTTCAATATGGTTTCACAAGTGATTTTCAATCGTGAAAAGTGGATTTCAGCGATGATGCTTGATCCTGTCACTGGTCTCGATCCTCCAGGTGTCAAAATTCGAGCTGTAGAAGGAGTAGGTGCCGCAAGTAGCTTCATGACCGGTTATTGGCTTTGGTGCGTCTCTTATAACGCGACATTCTTCTGAGCGTTGAAAATGACATCATATGTTCAGGTCCAAGATCGTGGAGAATCTTGCTGTAGTAAACTATGACACGAACAATCTTCACTTAGCTCCATATGACTGGAGACTCTCCATGTGGAATCTCGAAGAACGAGACGGGTACTTCTCGAAGTTGAAAGCTACAATAGAAGGATTCAAGTATGGTACCCCATATTTGAACATCGTACCAGACAAGTTCATATTCTATGACAGGAAACGACAAGGCAAGAAGACCATCATTGCTGCGCATTCAATGGGTAGCACAGTACGTCCTAGTTTCTTTTGTCGCTGTCACCTTGTCGACTGTAGCACTTTTAGGTCATGCTGGTAAGTCGAGCCCCTCAGATAGTTCCTCCTGCGAAACTGACTATTCGATGAAAGTACTTGTAGGTCTCAGATCTGTTCGGTTGGCGATTTTTTTTTGACCTCTTGCTCGAAGCTTCAAATGGGTCGAGTCTCCCGAACACGGGGGAGGTGGATCACATTGGGTAGAGGTCAGCCCCTGCCCCCCTTATAACACGAGACCCCTAAAAACTCTGCTCAGAATCACATTGAGTCCTATATTTCCATCGCAGGGACGCATCTCGTAAGCTATTCCTTTCCTCGAATTAATGATCACTAATTGCTTTCCCAGGGCGTGGTAAATCCTGTTTCATTGCCTTATTGTTGTTTACCGCTCATGGGTTTACTTTTTTGATTGCGAAAGGCAAAAGCTATGGCTGCTTTCTTGTCTGGTGAGATGAAGGACACGGTGCAGATGAATCCTGCTGGCGCATATGGTCAGTACCTTTCGGGTTTATCCGTTATAATAATCTCATGATAGTCTGAAGTGCTCGAGCGCTTTTTCTCGCGAAAAGAACGACAGAAGCTATTCTGTAGTTGGGCCGGTAGCGCCAGCATGTGGATTAAGGTGAGTGGGATCACCTCTTTGCCTGGGCGCCTCCGTAACAATCAACAGGGAGGAGCGAGTGTTTGGGGCGATGCCGACTGGGCACCTGATGACGAGCCCGAATCATCACATACACATGGTGAACTAATTGCGTTCAGACAAGCAGCTGTGCCACTTTCTGCGCATGACATCACCCAGCCAACAAGAAATATGACGGCTGATGACGCAAGCACATGGATTTTGGAGCGTACTCCGTCAACATTCCAGGTTGATGACTAGTCGTGTCTTTTCTGTGAAATAATACTCATAAACGGACAGAAAATGATATGGACCTAACTACTCGTTCGGTATCGAGCGGAATGAACAGGTGCTCAGGAAGAATGCTCTAGATCCAAGGAAATGGTCAAATCCCTTGGAAGTGCAGTAGTGTTGTTCGTTAAAAGCCTCTTGAAACAAACTGATAAATTTTCCTAGGCTGCCAAATGCGCCTTCTATGAAGATGATCTGTGTTTACGGACATGGAAAAGAGACTGAAGTACTTCGCGAGGTTTTCTGTTGCATTTTACAATACTGACTTCTGTGCCAGAGATCATACTGGTATGCTCACGGACCACATGATCACGAGGAATCGTTTGTAGAGGTGGAGCCTCAACTTGCGCTGAGCCTACCGACAAATGCAAACATACACCACGCCCACCACTGGATTCGTCATTTTCGAGGGCGAACTGGATAGATGCTGATTACACGCAAGAGACCACGACGCCCAAGGTAAGCTAGTAACTTCAATCATACTCGACATCATATGTAGGTCGATTATAGGTGCGTAATGGCTGTGAAGATGGGTGAAGGGGATGGTACCGTCAGCCTATTGAGCCTAGGAGCAATGTGCGTAGAAGGCTGGCAGAGACCAAGATGGAATCCAGGAGGAATCAAAGTTACTACTGTTGAAGTACGTCAGACGCTCTCTCCGATCCTGCGATATCCCTCATGCCAGATACAGCTTCCTCATCAACCCGCGCCTAACATCCCTCGGGGTGGAGCGAATACGTCAGATCATGTTGACATCCTTGGGTCGACAGGTCTGAATGAACTCATCCTGAAAGTTGCCACTGGTGTTGGTCATGAGGTTGAGGATCGCTTTGTCTCTCGTATTAGGGAGTTTGCTCAGCGAGTGCGGTGGGATTGAACACCGAGTGTTTTGTACCTTACTATTTTTGTACATAATTTCACGTCGTCTATTTCGACGATAGGAAACGTCCGAAGGTAATCGGAGCGCTTGTATGATATATGAGGCTATGATAATGTGATCGTCGACGTATTGTAAAAAACCATTCAGCTACAATATGTCTAGGGTCTTGATGTTCGTAATGTCAATCGAAGCCGGGTCTTTCATCTGCGCAATGATATATTGGTCCGATGCAACCCTCTTGTATTCTCCAACGTGTTGCTGCGCTAACAAAAGTGCGCTGAAAGCCTGCCCAAGGTGAACCATCAAACGCAATGATTGTGAGTGAACATCCAAGTCAACTGACACCTCCTCTTCTCCAGGTGAGTTGCTGGACGACTCTTCAGTGTCGTCTGATCCAGACTGGGACTCGGACCAATCCGCTACGCTCTCTCCTTCGTCTGCAAAGGTGAGCTGCTCTGAAAAATCAGGCAGCCCAAGGAGACGACGATCCCATGGACGGACAAGAAAGAAAGTCTGCCGAATGGGTCTTGCGCGCGAGAATTGAATTAGGGTCTCGTCCGTGGTGATCAGTAAGTCCTGAAGTCCATCTGCTTTGACTTCATATGTGAATGAGCAGCACGACCAGGCCTTCCGTTTGACTTCTGTGACACGGAATGCGATGCAAGGAAGACGCAGTCTGCAGTTTGCGAAGAGCGGAGTATTCATGTTCTCGAGCAGGTCATACAACTTCGAAGCTGAATCCACAGGCACAATGTTTCGCAACGAGGAGACCACTGTCTGGATCTCATCTTCAGACAATGATGATAGGGAGTATGGCGGGGCCGCATATGAGATGATGTCTGCTGGAAGGCAACTATTGAACTCGGAGGATTGTCCGACCCAGTCCAGGGAAGTGATGTCGCCCGACCGAGACACGATATCCTGCAGGAGCCGGCCGAGCGCGCTCTGCTTCCTCTCGCCATAGATGACAGGTAGGTGGACGTCGAAGATACCAAATAACGAGTACGCGGTGTCTTCCTGCACAGTGGTGACGCGCTTCGATGCCCATTGCAGTGTCTGTCTAGCATCTCTCATCCCTGGACGGAAGGAGATCAGGGCCTGTGCATCTATTCCCGTCGCATCCTCTAACTCCTTCATGATTGCTTGAGATTCTTTGTGGTTGAGAGAGCGATCGTCGAGATATAACGACCAATCCTTCTGGTAAAATCTAACGACTTTCGGAGCGACAAACTCTTGAAAAGTCCATCCCCGCTCGTTCCAAACACTGCTCGCTAGTGCACCGGGTTTGGACGAAGGAGGGACATCAGATAGGTAGACGATGGTGAGCGCCGAGTGACGGTACCAGACGAACATGGATTGGACCGATTCTCCAAGCTCGGCATTGTTGCTCTTATCGATGCAGCATGTATCCATCCACGCCCATAAATACCCCGCATCATGAGCGATTTTGCAGAACGACTGCAGTTTCGTGATGCCACCAAGTCCTTTCAACTCGCGCACATCTGTATTTTGGATGTGGTGCAGCAGCACCTCCGTCTCTTCCCACCTGTGTGATAGCAAAACGCAACGGAAGTGCATTGCCACCACCTCCTTGATGCGTTCCATTTCGAGATCCGAACGCTTCGTTATGGATGACAAAAGCTCCTTGTATTCTGGACTTGTTTTGAAGGAGTTTAGCTGTGCTGCTCGGTCGCACAAAAGACCCGTAGAGGTGTTGAGCAGACGAAGGGGGGCGTTGCTGAGTTCAATCCAAACTGCTCTTCGAATAGCGTCTTCTGCTTCCGATGGACAGACGTACTGCAGACGCAGATCTGCAGAAAGATATAGGCATTTCGAGACAATGCAAGAGTGTTCCATTGCTCACCTCGTATCTGCACTTCTGGAGCATCGTCCAACTTGGACAACATGATTGTGAAGGCCTCGATGGCTTCTTCGTAACGTTGCGCGCCACGCAGCGCTGAGTGTGACAACCGGTACCCAAGATGAGACGAAGGATTGAGTTCGGTGACCTATGCATCGCCAAAGTCAACATGGGCTACGAAAACGTGGATGCCATCGCACCTTTCGCGCGTCGAAGAGCGCATCCTCCCATAGCATTTTACTCAACTTTGCCTGGCTGCGATTTGCAAAGACGACATCGGATGCATAATCCAGGTCGATCGCCATCGAATATAGATCAATAGCCTTCTCGTGATCGCTTGCAGCGAAGGCAGCCTCTCCGTTGGCAGCGCAGAGTGCGCTGCATTCCTGTTTGAAATCTAAGAATACAGATGAGGATTGTCGCCTACGCGACATTACAGGTTCTCAACTCGCCGTTGGACCAATCAAGGCAGTCAGCCTTGGTAATTTCGTCACTCGAAGTCATCATGTGTTGGTATGATTTCACGGCATCTTGGAGTTTACCCGCCCGAAGGAGTGCATCACAGCGTTTATGGTGTGCCTGTCGCCACAACGACTTCAGGTCCCAGCCAAAGAGCTGGACAAGATATTCAGTTATGAAAAGCGTCATATAGACATCATCTTGACGTACCACCACCAAATCCTCATATACTTCATGAATGTCCAATTCCGATGATAAATCGATGGAGTCGATAGCTGCAGTGAAATGGTCGGCGGCTTCGTCGTAGCGTGCGCCATCCAAGGCTTTGATCCCGAGTTGAACGTGTAGATATGCCTAATGTGCGAGTTGTAAAGATGAGTGTTGAAACGTTGATGACGAAGCATGAATGACACTTACTTGCACGATGCCACATGGGAGAGTATCGGTGTTCGGACAACCGGTAGCGAGCTTTGTGAGGAGCAGGTTTGCCTCGTCATGTTGATCTACATTAAGAAGCGCAATGGCCTGAAATACGCGATGAAGTGAAGAGTATGCAAGGCAAATGTGACATACCTCGATCAATAGCAGAAAATGAATGATTTCTGAATCCTGGTTCGTGTACGTGGATGCAACATTAAATGCTGCCCTCGCATCCAGGACGCGGCCTTTTCCACAGAGGGCAATACCCTTGGAGATATAGCCCGTCAACGAGGGCCGAATGCTGATGGACTGTGTCACCGTCGAGTTAGTTCTATATAAAGGCGGCGATGATTCTCACCTTGATTGCGTCCAGAAGGGCGCGGTCCCAGTCGCATTTTCGCGCCATGACGAATGACCGATGGGCGTGGGAAGTATGGTTGTTCGGACTGGTGTTGATATCTTGAGTGAGTAGTAGTTCTTCGGCGGTAGATAAGTCTCCATTTAGACATGCAATACGGGAGGTCGTGATGGCTAGGATCTGCACGAAACACGCTCTAATTATGGTATCTGAGTCAAGAACGCAAACATGCCTTTGAGCGATGGACGTAGGGAGTATGGTTGCTCGGATCAGTATTGATATCTTGCATGAGTAGTTCTGCGTCAGTAGATAGGTCTCCATCTATGCATGCATCGCGGACTGTTGTGGTGGCAATAGTCTGCAAGAAGCATGCTCGATTTGTAGTATATGAGTCAGAGACGGAAACATGCCTTTGGATGTATGCCCCGAGGTACTGTCCACTCTGAGATCACCTTATCGTTACCTCCACTGAAGATGTAATTGCCGTCCACGGAGAAAGTGACGCATGGCGTGTAGGACGAGTGCTTGAAGACGGCAATGGTTTGTCGGTCAGAGAGCTGCCAGAGACGAACATGTTTGTCACTAGATGCGGATGCGACGAGTGTGCCAGCAGGATGAATGGCAATGGCTTGGATGTAGTCAGTGTGGCCCGTCCAAGGATCAGCGACCTGCTTCCAAGTTGTTGTATCCCATTCGCGTATAGTAGGATCGGCCCTACCGCCGCCTGTGAGAAGGCGTGTGCCATCGGGCGTCCACGCGAGTGATGAGTTCCATGAGTCGTGATCCTTTAATGATCTGACGCGCTTCCTCGTGCCTGAATTGTAAATTTCAATATTGGTTTCTGTTGCGATGGCAAGAAGTTCTCCAGACGGTGAATACCGTACGCAGGTGACACATGCGGCACCACACTCGATCGAAATTCCTTGCAGCTGCCAGGTATTGGTATTCCACAGTTTCGTCATTTTTTCGTAAAATGAACCAGTGGCTAGCACTGTTCCATCGGGTGAAAAATCCAGCGAGTAGATATATTTCGAGTGTGCTTCAATTTTGGTGAGTGATTCGCCAGTTTCTCCGTGCCAGACGATGACCTCTCCGCTCCAATCACCGCTTGCTATCAATTGCCCATCTCGTGATACCGCCAATATCGATACCTGATCGCGATGCCCCTCCATCTTCTTCAACACAACACCTGTATTCAAGTCCCACAGACGAAGCGTTGTGCTCCACGAGTCCGTAATCATCCGATGTTTATCAGGGAAAACTGCGACTGTAGTTATGTCATTTTCATGGCCTTTGAACGATCGCAGGGGAGTGGTGATTGTAATGAGCTCCGACATTTTACTGGACGTTGATGGTATGGAATACGGACGAGGCTAAACTTTGGAGGGATTATTATGTCTTTCTCTAAGCTGCAGAGGGTGTATGGTGCGTTTTATGGTGCTTCACAGCTTGCCTAATTTCAATAGACGCCCGTTGTCCCTACCGCGCAGATCAGAGCATAGGCCAGAAAGGAGTACAGTGTGATGCGAAGTTGCGAACCTCTTACCAAATCCTTTCGAATTTCTATATTTAGCGACGGCCCTTCTGTTCCGTGATTTTCCTTGTCGCTTTTTGTTTCGGTTTTCAATGTCTGACCGATGGGGACCGCATTCTCGACGACGGAGTCGCTAAACCTCTCACCCCACGCTCGTGTCCTTTGCTTATCTATTGACTGACCAAACGCGTCCCCGTTGTGTCTCTCACTGATCAGTCCGTGGAACTCTGACTCCATCATGTGATCCTAGAACATGTTATTCAAGCGGTAAGAGAGACAACAACCGAACATGCATAGGAAGAACAAAAGTGACAGACAGTCTTGGGTAGGATGTGATTTTTGGTGGCCGCGACGCTCTAGAGACCGCCCTCGACCTCTCCAGCCAATCACTAGCAGTAAATTCTGGTGCACGTGACATTCACACAGTTTGTGCTCGGAGACTGTTCCAACAGTATGAACATTTTCATTCGACACGGTGGCCACGGAGTCTGCCAACTGACGCGGAAAATCTTAGCCGTCTGCGCTAGCACATGGATAGAAAATTATCCCGAAAGGCTAAGCACCGCTACTAACACAACTCTGCCGTCGGCTAGCGTGAGTTCGTCTACTAATCTACCACTAGTAACTGACATTTACATCTCCCGGAGCGGTCAGCTGTAGGTCAGTGTGGTGTTTTGACGACTATGGCTAGCTGATTGATGACGCGCGGAACCTCACAGCACAATAGGGTGGATGGTCTCCTTCTGCTGATTATGCACATTGCGAATGTCAGGCTAAACCTTGGCTTATCTACTTGCGTATATCCAGATTTAATATGGATGACATTCTCATCAGTATTTCATCGGAATCCTGTCATGAAATCGAAAGCCAAGGAGATCGAGTTCAGCTTCAATCGGAAATGATGACATCCAGCAAATCACAGGTTAGATGTACCCTGCGCTCTTATCGATCCTGCCGCTACATGAGAACTCGGGTAACAACCGGTGGCGGAAATCAGGTCTTGTGAGCGGTCAGACTAGGTTTGGTTTCAATCTTCTTCCACAGATACCCATCGTTGAATGTCTTTGCCATGGGAAAGCAGGATGATGTATCTTGTCAAGGAATATAAAACATGAATGACTGAGAGGGAATCACGCACACTGCAAAAAATGACGGACCCAAATGAAGTCAAGGTTGAGACCCTCCTGAGCATCATCAACTCCTCCGCCCGCGAAGCGATAACGGAATACAAGAACACTGGACATGGTGTCCCTGGTGTCGACGCAGGGACCCTCCACCCCCTCGACTTCGCGACAGATACACTTGCCCTCAGAAAGGCAATCAGGCTGCTCGAGGGTGCATGCGAGCAATTGAACACGATACTGGCTCCCCCCCAACACACAACATACAATGTAAGTGCTGATTATAGACGGCATTATATGCATTAATATTGTTACTTATCTTCTAGTTTGTTCATAATTACAACTGGGCGTGCATAGACGTCGCCGTTCAATCACGTATTGCAGACGTCTTGGACAAATACCCGGAAGGTCTCAGGGTGGATGTGTTGGCTGACGCAGTCAATCTCGACAAGACCAAGATCGCACGCGTCTTGCGAGTTCTGGCCCTCAGGGGTTGCTTCAAAGAAGGTAATATCCATCATATTGTCCGTTGATAATTTTCCCTGAAGCCTTTGGTGTCACACAGTCAAACGAGACGTATTCGCAAACACGCGACTCTCCCTCGTGCTCAGGTCAACGAGCAACGTTGGGTCTTGTATACGACACCAGCGAGAGTACCCCAGATATGCTGCGGTTCTCTATGAGACTATGATCGACCAAGAGTTTGCAAGATCGAACGAGGTTGAAAAGGCCCCTCGAGCATTTGCTCTCAAGAAGGAAGGTAAAAACAACGGCTTCTGGGAAATGAACGTGAGTTTTAGTCATCATACTGGCCTTTCATGCCTTACCATAATGTATAGGATGAGGAACTCGATGTACGTGCGGATTCGTCCGTTCATGACTGATTGACGGCTCACAATACACAGACATTCCACAAAAGCATGATGGGCTATTCTGAAGTTCAGAACTCGTCTGCGGTACTGCATCGTGAGCAATCACCTTTTTTTCAAACTGTTAGCATTGCTGAAGCGGACCATAAGATTACCCTTGGGACAATGTATCCTCTGTCGTGGATGTTGGATCTGGAACCGGAGCGATGTCTATTCCTCTGGCGAAAATGTTCCCTCATCTCAGAATAACCGATCAGGATCTCCCAGAAACTATGAAACTGTCGAGAAGTGTGAGTCCAGACATCGGGTACACGCCCAGTGGGAAAGTTATATTTATATTTGATCAGATATGGGAGAAGAAGGCTCCTGAGGCGCTGCTCAGCGGGCACGTAGAGTTCGTGCCATTGAATTTCTTGGAGGAGTCACCTGTTGCTGGAAAGGATGTTTACTATGTGAGTGATGAGTTTGTTCTCGTTCAACGCGGGCTTCTCAATGATGTGATATAGCTGAGGAGCGTCATTCATGACTGGCCGGACGATGAATCAAGGGTGATTCTGAACAACATTCGCAAAGTAATGGGACCGAACAGCCGAGTGTTGATTCGTGAGTCAGCTGCGTTCCAAAGTGGTATCTTGTCTAGAATCAATGTTCTGTCACAGATGACTGCGTGCTCTTGCGCCCATTCCAAGAGCCTGCCGCAGAGGCTAACGAGTTTAGTAAGGTGAGTTGAAGTTCGAGTTTAGCTTGATGGCGTGATCTTACATTCAGGATCACAAGGCACCCGAACCCACGTTGTTAAACTTCGGTAGTCACACATCACACCAACTTGACTTGGCTATGTGGCTTCTTTCCAATGGCAAGGAGCGAACCTTGAACGAATTCAAGAACATTGGGCAAGTTCCTTCGATGCCTGGATATGTCGACGATGTTTAATTTGTTGTAATTCACAGGGCAAGTGCTGGTCTAGTCCTCACCCAAACCTATGATCTTGTAGCGACGACGCTCTTGGAATTCAAAATCGCTCAGGACTGATGCCGAACATAATCTGTGTAATCTTCTGTTATTGTACTTTTACCCTTCCCAATTGATTATCCCATAATTTAACCAAGATGACGACCACAAAGTAACCTTAATGCTCTGATGTATCGATCGCGATAGACCGAGACCAAGCCGGTCCTTAAGGCCTTACAGTTGATACTGAAAACTTCTTTAGTGGTTCCATCAGATGTTTCTGTCGGATCCACTGAACGATACCCATCGTGTTCTTATCCAAGCAATCGTCTGCAGCATCGAGACTCTTCATGCCAATGCACTTTCTACTCTACCCAGTGCTGGAAATAGACGCAGAGTCAGCTTTGTAGGTGGTTCGATCCCGTGCCTTCTCAATTGTTCACGATATCGCATTGGGTCGACCGTTTCCAGCGAACAGACATATGTGGGCTTATACGGAACGATACACTGCCCTTCCAGATCCTGCTATATATATACAAGAGCAGAATTGAACATGAACACAGAGAGAAGTCGCCAGCTTATTCTTTGACCACTGATATTGCGAAAATGGCCTGCCGCTCGATATCGTCTCCGACATGACAAGCTCTTCACAAGCAAATTCTGGAAGGCATTACACCAACTGACAGGCGTTAAGTTGAAGATGTCGAGCGCTTATCACCCGCAGACGGACTGGCTCGAACGAACGAACGAACAAGACTGTGGACCAGCTTCTAAGATATCGGCATCAAACAGTATGGCTAGACTGCACTGCCTCGAGTACGATTCAACCTAATGTCGACCATTAATGCATTCCACAGATTATTCAAAATTTTACATTACACCCTGGGATGGACGCCCTGTCGACTTCCACCACTAACGCCCGACGGGGTAAGGAGAACACGGGAAAATATTCCAGCTGACGTCGCAAACGCGCTGAAGCTATCGTGTCGCTAAAACACCATCGCGGATGCGCACGACGCTCTGCTGGCATGTAAGATCACACAAGTAAATGCGACTAATAAACACAGAAACAACGAGCCTACCTTCGAGATCGGGGATCTCGTCTATCTTGCAACAGCCAGAGACGGAGGGAATACCTCAACGGCGACAACAAGAGAGTCGCAAAGTTCATGCCGCGATTCGACGGCCCCTACAATATACTATCAGCGAATCCAGAGTCGTCAACCTATACACTTGACTTACCTGAACATACTAACGTTTATCCAACCTTTCATGCCTCAGAACTCAAACGACATATCCCCAACGACGCCACCCTGTATCCCTCGAGAGAACTCCGACGCTCGTGACCGCAACAGGCTCGCAAGAGTGGGAGATCGAAAAAGTCTTAGACAAAAGAAAACGAGGACGCGGGTGCGGTGCGGAGAACGACGTATGGGTCACGCGACAAGATCTTGAAGGCACAGACATACTACATGAGTACTAGTACAACGCAAAGATGGACACGAATACTGCCGAAGAATATCAGCAAAAGGTCAAACACCATATGGATACACACGAGGAAGAAGAAGAAACACAGAAGAGCTTCGACATCAAACAACAAAATCGATAGATGGGGAAAGACGGATGGACGACATGGAAGATTCTTCGGAGGATGAGAGGGTGGACGCTTACCATTCTGCTTGCGATATCGCGGACGGTACTAGGAAAATGCTGCGCCACTGATGCGTATTTACCGCGACGCCCCAAACTTAGCTTGATCTGTATGCTGCTGCGTACTAAGTTGCTGGCCGGACTCTGCATCAGTACTAGTGCCTCAAGGGACTTGATATAAACTCACTTGGTTATTATTGGATGACTTCTCGCATCCTGAATAGAATATAATTTTAAGGTGTGCCGCGATGCCGGGTGTCATTTCGTCATCGTTTGAAATTCAATGAACCCAATGAACCTTAAATCTGTGAGGGTACTGACGCCATATTTAATACCTTTTAGGGTCACTTACGCCAGCGATATCCGCTGACATAATCGTACCGCGCGGTATGTGCCCAGACTCTGTCTGTTCGATGCTACCATTCCTGCACTTTAAACATCCCTCGTATACTTTTCTTGTATATGCAGTGATTTGGATGCTTTGTGAACCTCTGGATTTTGGGCCAGCAGTGCCTACTTACTTATGTTTCAACATCAAGGTACTGGCATCTTCTTGCTGTCGCAACTCTACTTCGTTCTTTAGAAATTGAATTATCAAATCATCAGAGTCCGTATAGTGGTGGATGCAGTCAATATATTCTGTACATGTATTATCTAGATTATTTTACAGACTCATTTTCAAATTGTTTTTTCCAACTCCGGTTTATGATAACCAGCCAACGGGAAGTCATCCGAATCATACAACTTGAGTTTATTTCCAACAAGTAAGTATAGTGTCGCAGCACCCTGTCGGGGCGTCGGGGGCATCGCGGTCACAATATTAATATAGAGGTGACCGCGACACCCGCGACAAAGAAATAAAAATAACATTGATGTATGCAAAGGAATCAGACTACAATGTGATATGAAAGATCGTCCAGTAATAAGGAAGACATCAGAGAACTGATGAACAAATGAGAAGGTTATATATAATACAGCATCGCAACAATCTTCGTATATCTGCTTCGATGATATCGCCTGATCGTGACTCTGGGAGCGGGGATATACATATAAGGAATCGGAGCACGCTCGAGTCCACGGCTCGTTTGGAGGACAAGTACTGAGAGGTTCCAGTGATTAGCGCTTAGCAGTAGATGTAGTTAATGCACACTCGCCGACACCATTTGGGAACAGTGGTCGCGGCAGTTGCCGCATCAGCATTTTCATGATGCCCCGATATCGCGAATCACATCCAACGTTCCTTTTATATCACGTCTGACATCATGCTTGTCAGACATGCTGACCTGTTTAACGTTCATAGTTTCGTCCTGTCAATTCGTCTTAGTGTTACTTGCCGTCTTCCCGGCGAGTTTCCAGTATTGGGCCACTTGTCAAGGAGTATAAAGCCTGACTGACTGAGAGGAAATCATGCACACTTCAAAAAATGACGGACCAGAATGAAGTCAAGGTTGAAGCCCTTCTAAGCATCATCAACTCCTCCGCCCACGATGCGATAGCGGAATACAAGAACACTGGACATGGTGTTCCTGGTGTCGACGCAGGAACCCTCCACCCCCTCGACTTCGCAACAGATACACTTGCCCTCAGAAAGGCAATCAGGCTGCTCGAGGGTGCATGCGAGCAATTGAACACAATACTGGCTCCTCCCCAACACACAACATACAATGTAAGTGCTGATTATAGATGGCCTTATATGCATTAATATTGTTACTTATCTTCTAGTTTATTAACAATTACAACTGGGCGTGCATAGACGTCGCTGTGCAATCACGTATTGCAGACGTCTTGGACAAACACCCAGAAGGTCTTAGTGTGGATGCGTTGGCTGACGCAGTCAATCTCGATAAGACCAAGATCGCACGCGTCTTGCGAGTTCTGGCCCTCAGGGGTTGCTTCAAAGAAGGTGATATGCATCATATTCTCGGTTGATAATTATCCCTGAAGCCTTTGGTGTTACACAGTTAAACGAGATGTATTCGCAAACACGCGACTCTCCCTCGTGCTCAGGTCAACAAGCAACGTTGGGTCTTGTATACGAACTCAGCGAGACTTCCCTAAATATGCTGCGGTTCTGTATGAGACTATGGTCGACCAAGAGTTTGCAAAATCGCACGAGGTTGAAAAGGCCCCTCGAACATTCGCTCTCAAGAAGGAAGGCAAAAACAATGGCTACTGGGAAATGAACGTGCGTTTTAGTCTTCATACTGGCCTTTCATGCTTTACCATATTGTGTAGGATGAGGAACACGACGTACGTGCGGACTCGTCTCCTTATGACTGACTGACGGCTCACAATACACAGATATTCCACAAAAGTATGATGGGCTATTCTGAGGTTCAGAACTCGTCTGCGGTACTGCATCGTGAGCAATCACTTTTTTTCAACCGTCAGCATGACTGAAGCGGGCCATAAGATTACCCTTGGGACAATGTATCCTCTGTCGTGGATGTTGGATCTGGAATTGGAGCAATGTCTATTCCTCTGGCGAAAATGTTCCCTCATCTCAGAATAACCGACCAGGATCTCCCAGAAACTTTGAAGTTGTCGAGAAGTGTGAGTCCAGACATCAGGTACACGTCTGACGGGAAAGTGATATTTATATTTGATCAGACATGGGAGAAGAAGGCTCCTGAGGCGCTGCTCAGCGGGCACGTAGAGTTCGTGCCATTGAATTTCTTGGAGGAGTCCCCTGTTGCTGGAAAGGATGTTTACTATGCAAGTGCTGAGTTTGTTCTCATTCAACGCGGGCTTCTCAATAATCTGATATAGTTGAGGAATGTTATTCATGGCTGGTCGGACGATGAGTCAAGGGTGATTCTCACCAACATTCGCAAAGTAATGGGACCAAACAGCCGAGTGTTGATTCGTGAGTCAGCTGCGTTTCAAGTGATGTTTTCTCTAGAATCAACGTCCTGTGATAGATGACTGTGTGCTCTTGCGCCCATTCCAAGAGCCTGTCGTAGAGGCCAACGAGTTTAGTAAGGTGAGTTGAAGTTCGAGTTTAGCTTGATGACGTGATCTTACATCCAGGATGATAAGGCGCCCGAACCCATGACATCAGTAAACCGGTGAGTTCTTGCTGGGGATTATGCTGATTATGGTGCTTTTACATAGTCATATATTGCTTTATATCACTTTATATTCCAATGTGACGAAAACCTTTCCTATATATTACGATATATGACGATATATGACGATATCTTCTTCTCACAGGTTCTCTGATGACTCATGTTGTTGAACTTCGGTAGCCACACATCACACCAACTTGACATGGTCATGTGGCTCATTGCCAATGGCAAGGAGCGAACCTTGAATGAATTCAAGACCATTGGGCAAGTTCCTTCCATGCCCGGATACGTTGACTATGTTTGATTTGTTATAATTTGCAGGGCCGGCGTTGGTTTAGTCCTCACCCAAACCTATGATTTTGTAGGGATGATGCTCTTGGAATTCAAAATCGCTCAGGACTGATGCCGAACGAACACAGAGTCGGAACACCATATGCAATCTTCTGTTATTGTACTTTTACCCTTCCCGATTGATTGTCCCATGATTTAACCAAGATGTCAACCACAAAGTAACCTTAATGTTCTGATATATTGATCACGATCGATCAAGACCAAGCCGGTCCCTGCAGTTGATACTGAAAGCTTCTTTGGTGATTACCATCGAGTTCGTACAGAGATCTTCTCGATCTCCCGAAGGAAGGTCAACGCCACCGTGTCCCCCATGGTAGGGACGGATGCGTGCTTGTCGCTAGAGATAGTTTGCGCCAGGTCATCTCGACCAAAGAGTTGTAGCCAACGTCGGCGACGCACTGCCAGATCGAGATCAGGAAATCTGATGGCTGCAACAGGGAAAAGTTAGTGATAGTCGGGTCAGATAGCCGGAGTACGCACTGGCAGAGAATGGCCTGAGAAGTACCTAATGCTCGTCCGACAACACTGCGGGCCACAGACAGATACATCCGGACGATTCAAATTCTTGAACCATAGAATTGATACGTTCCTACCGAAGGATTAGCTAGAGTATAAGTCAAGGAACAACGGACAACATCTTGTTGAACATCAGAACTTACCGATGGACGATGAAGATGTGGAAGTGCACGATTGTTCCATGGCCCAGGAAGTCGCATGCGAAGTAGAAACATGGTGAATGTGGTGTCAATGCGCTTGCTCGTATGTCCAAATCACCTTCGGCATGCTCAGTATGATGGTGTGTGAGGGAACTCCAATGGTATGGGTTTTGTGTTTGCTTTTGTGCCTTCATTGTGACTAGTACTAGGTCTGTTGTATTATAGCCATAACCATGCGTATGGGCTAGACTCGCAATGAACTTTTCTGTGGTAGTATACATCAGCTAGTCACCCGCCTGTGACGCGTCAGCCATTTCAGTATCATCAGTAACGAGTTTATTATGATATCATGCGGATTTAAAGCACAGACGTTCGATGGACCATCGATACAGGAGGTTCTGCTCATGATGACTGTGACTCCAGCGCGCAACCCATCACATCCAGGTGAGCATTTTAATACCCACTGCGCAGAAGAAGTTGACCAGAAGACGTTGTTTGCAGATTAGCACCGCCGCACTAGTAGGTGTTGGAACGGATGTGAGCGCGTGAGCACTGACAGATGCAGCTATCCAAAGTCTCCATGGGCTACAGGGTCACGGTCTCGTCCCACCCTGCGTCATGATAATATTCGTAGGATGATAGAATATGATGTTGACGAACTCATGGAAAAATACATCGTCACAACACGAAAGGGGATGTTATTTGCATCAATGAGTTTCAATACCGGATCCGGCTGATTCCGGCAGCTTTGCATTTGCTTGGTCTTTACTCAAGCGACGATCAACAACTTGCAACGGCGCAACTGGATTTGTACAGTAATAAGATGGTTCGGAAGGTTGTTGTCACGACCTTTTCGAGCACATGCAATGTTTGCAGTAGCGATGTGAGTTGTCCGGAACTTGTTCCACGCGATTGGAATTGAGTGACGCAAGGGGACGCGGCCTCCAGCATGCGCCATCTTGCTTTACTAAGGGATGTTTTGTTGGTTTTTAGGTTTCCAAGTCACATCTCCGCAAGTCTGGAGTTTTGCCAAGTTCTGCCAACGACACCGTGACTAGGACGTTCTCGACGAAGTTGCTAAACCTCTCACGCCACGTACGTGTCCTTTGCTTATCTTATATTGACTCGTTGAAGATGCCAGCCTAGCGTTCTGAAGACCTGAAGAGGGAAGAAACCTGATGGAATGCTTGTTGTGTCTAGTTCTGTACTCTAAGACCCCGAGCTCCTGCGACCCCCGACCCTCGTCTCGGTGTCTCCTCTTTGCACCCGTCTCGTCCTAGCACCTGCACCTGTTGGCTGATCCCTGCACTGCGCTCCCTACTGCATCGTGTCTCTCATGGAATCTTGATGGGTATCCTTTTTATTATCTAGACTTTTTCCTCTACCCAGCCAGTTTCGACCGATGCTGATATTTGAATTTTCACACCGAGTTTCTAAATTCTACTTCTCCGATTTCGGGTGTTCTGTTGGGTTCTCGAGTGGTCGCGATAGGTCCGCCCTCGACCTCTCCAGTCAATCACCAGCGATAACTTCTGGTGCACGTGACATTCGCATCATACTACTTGTGCTCGGAAATCGCTCCCAACATTTGCAACAGTAGTATGAACATTTTCCAACCTTGTACATGGTGGCCACGGAGTCTGCTAACTGACGCGGAAGATTATGTCTTCAGCGCCAGACGGAATATGGGTAGAAATTTATCCCCAAAGGCCAAGCGCCGCTATCAACACAACTCTGCCATCAGCTAGCCTGGGTTCGCCTACTAATCGACCTATAGTAACTGACATTTACATATCCGGGAGCGGTCAACTACAAGTAAGTGTGGTGTTTTGATGACTATTGCCAGTCAATTGATGACGTGCAGAATCTCACAGCACAACAGGATGATCTCCTCTTACTGATTATGCACGATGCGAATGCCAGCGTCATGACTGAACCTTGGCTGATCTACTTGCTTATATATAGATTTAATATGATGACATTCCATCGGCATTTCATCGGAATCCTGTCATAAACTTGAGAGCCAACAAAATCGATTTCAACTTCCAATGAAAAACAATGACAAAGCACAGCTTAGATGTACCCCGCGCTCAACTCGGGCCACGACCGGTATCAGAAGCCAGGTCTTATGAGTGGTCAGACTAGGTTTGGGTTCAATCTTCTTCCACGAATACCCATCGTTGAATGTCTTTGCCACGGGAAAGCAGCTGGATGATATATTTTGTGAGGGAATATAAAACCTGAACGACCGATGGGGAATCACGCACATTTCAAAAATGACGGAGCTGAATGAAGTCAAGGTTGAGACCCTCTTGAGCATCATCAACTCCTCCGCGCGCGAAGCAATGGCGGAATACAAGAACACTGGACATGGTGTCCCCGGTATCGACTCAGGCACCTTCCACCCCCTAGACTTCGCGACAGATACACTTACCCTCAGAAAGGCAATCCGGCTTCTCGAGGGTGCGTGCGAGCAATTGAACACAATATTAGCTCCCCCCCAACACACAGCATATAATGTAAGTGTCGATTATAGATGGCCTTATATATTTTGTTGCTCATCTTCCTAGTCTGTTAGTAATTATAATTGGGCGTGCATGGACGTCGCCGCGCAATCATGTATTGCAGACGTCTTGGAAAATCACCCGGAGGGTCTTGGTGTGGATGCGTTGGCTGACGCAGTCAATCTCGATAAGACCAAGATCACACGCGTCTTGCGATTTCTGTCCCTCATGGGTTGTTTCAAAGAAGGTGATATGTGCATACTGTTGGTTGATATTTTTCTCTGAAGCCGTTGGTGTACACAGTTAAGCGAGACGTATTCACAAACACGCGACTCTCCCTCGTGCTCAAATCAACAAACAACGTTGGGTGTTGTATACGGAACCACCGAAGATGCCCCAAATATGCTGCGGCTCTCTATGAGACCATGACCGACCAAGAGTTTGCAAGATCGCACGAGGTTGAAAAGGCCCCTCGAGCATTTGTTCTCGGAAAGCAAGGCAAAAACAACAACTTCTGGGAAATGGACGTAAGTTTCAGTTATCATACTGGCCTTTCATGCCTTAACAAATTGTATAGGATAAGGCACGCGAAGTGTGTGCGGATTCGTCCGTTCACGACTGACTGATGGCTCACACAATACACAGATATTCCACAGAAGCATGATAGGCCATTCTGAGGTCCATGGCTCGTATGCGGCACTGCATTGTAAGAAATCGCCGTTTTTTTAACCGTCAGCATGATTAAAGCGGGCCATAAGATTACCCTTGGGACAATGTATCATCTGTTGTGGATGTTGGATCTGGAACCGGAACAGTGTCTATCCCTCTGGCGAAAATGTTTCGTCATCTCAAAATAACCAATCAAGATCTCCCAGAAACTATAAAGCTGTCAAGAAATGTGAGTCCAGACATCAGGTCCAAACGCAGTGGGTAACTTATATTTACATGATCAGATATGGGAGAAGAATGCTCCTGAGGTGCTACTCGACGGGCGCGTAGAGTTCGTGACATTGAATTTCTTGGAGGAGTCGCCTGTTGCTGGAAAGGATGTTTACTATGTAAGTGCCAAGTTTGTTCTCACTCAACGCGGGCTGACCAATGATCTGATATAGTTAAGGAGCATCATTCACGACTGGCCGGACAATGAGTCAAGAGTGATTCTCAACAATATTCGCAAAGCAATGGGACCAAACAGCCGAGTGTTGATTCGTGAGTCAGCTGCGTTTCAAAGTGGTGTTTTCTCCAGAATCATCGTTCTGTGATAGAGGATTACGTGCTATTGCGCACATTCGAAGAGCCTGACGTAGGGACTGACGAGTCTACTAAGGTGAGTTCCGAGTTTAGCTTGACGGTGTGATCATGCATTCAGGACCATAAGGCGCCCGAACCTACATTATTGAACTTCGGTTGTAGCACAGCACACCAGCACGACATGACGATGTGGCTTCTTTTCAATGGCAAGGAGCGAACCTTGAACGAATTCAAGAACATTGGGCAAGTTCCTTCTATGCATGGATACATTGACGATGTTTGATTTGTTATGATTTGCAGGGCCAGCGCTGGTTTAGTGCTCACCCAAACCTATGATTTTGTGGGGACGATGCTCTTGGAGTTCAGAATCGCTCAGGACTGATGTCGAACACAATCTGCCACCAATGGAGTAGGATGCTCGAAGGGCATCAAAGTCAGAACAACGGACAATGATTCAAGGTATTTCTGTGGAGTTGATAGCACAATTCTGTACTATGATGCTCATGCAAAGTTGCTATGAATTCAAGAAAAACGTTGGACGAGCCTTGAAGCTTGCTCAACTTCACACTGCCTTGAGTCCGTTGGTCGAAAAAATCGAAACCGATGAATGCGAGATTATTTTGTAGATCGAGAAACTGATGTGCGCCACATGAGGCAGACTCGGATGTGCATGGACGGGAGACTACGTGGGAAATTTATGGATGAGTCGATCATTGGAATCGAGGTACCTATTTCACTATTCCGTTCTTTTCTCGAGGAAGTCCTGCTGCTTGCATTCTTTGCATAATACTTCATGCGTCGAAATGAATACAGTACATCGCGGCATCATTGATGGAGATTGTGAAGGAGATTGTAAATTGCACGGTAGAAATGGAGAAGGTTTAGCCGGGAATTGAGACGAGAGCTTTGTTTTTCCAACGAATCCAACCAGGTGGGATCCAGGGCTGACTGACTTTCGAGACGAGGGTCCGTGGAGTTTTCAACAATATTGCTCTATGCTGATTGCCAGTGGCCTTGTAATATGTATTTGCGGCCGTCCCCATACGATCTCGTGTCTCAGGAGTCTGAATCGCCCCTTCAGGGGTTTCCAACTATGCCCTCGCGTCAACAGGTCGTTGCACCTCCCCTTCTGTACCAAACCTCGCTGCTTCTTCCCTCATGGGGAGTCTGTCCATTGTATTGCAAGGTTGATATCTGGAGCTCAAGTGGGGATTGAGTTGAGGTGGGGGTGGTTATTTGGAAAGGAATCGTGCGTCCCGACCGCAGTCAGCCCACTCACATCATGATGTACAGGGCTGGGACAGCCTGAGGTGGGTCTAGGTGCTTTTCCCATCAAGTGTTATCATTGCTGATCCACTCTCGATCCACTGATAGCTTTCGGAGTGCCTTCATCATGCTTTATATGCTTTTTGTTCACGTACTTGTAACCTACAAATTGTACTAGCAACTACATACCTTCGCTTCAATCACTCGTTTGACTACAATATTTTGGCCTTTGAATGTGACTAGATAACATTAACGTGACCATAACGCGGTAACGGTCGGACATTCCTTCTTCGACCCAATCCGATTCGTCGGAATCATTCAATTTCAAAAGCATTCCCTCCAGCACTTTAATCTTGTCAATGTTCTGAACTTCTTCGGTCTTCTTCAACTCTCCGTGTCTTTGAGGGTCCCAAATTCGGCAGCAACGTTGTCGAGCAAGATACTCTCTGGACCGGCAAGGAGGTCGTCTGGATCACGAGGTTCGGTCGAGAGCGTAGGGTGTTTCAATATCCTGTACAATCTCGACAGTAATGTCGACCTCTTCACGAGTGTGCACGTGGGCTTTTCGGCCTCTACGGCTTTTATGATGCTGTGGTATCGAAGGTTTGGACAAATTCCACAAAGCCTTGAAGTGTCTCAAATGTCTGAGAGATTACACCATCGCGTGGATGGTGTCGTGCCGAGATCAAAGAATGTGCCCTCTACTTCGCATGAGTTTTGGCGATGATCGGGCGCAACCAATCTGGCACAACCGCTTGGTAAAACTTGTTTTGCCAATAACACTAGTCGCCGCCATGGGAAAGCAGTTGGATGATGTATTTTGATCAAGGTATATAAAACATGAACGACTGATGGGAAACACACACACTCCGAAAAATGACGGACCCGAATGAAGTCAAGGTTGAAGCCCTTCTAACCATCATCAACTCCTCCGCGCGCGAAGCAATGGCGGAATACAAGAACACTGGACATGGAGTCCCTGGCGTCGACGCAGGAACCCTCCACCCCCTCGACTTCGCGACAGATACACTTGCCCTCAGAAAGGCAATCAGGCTGCTCGAAGGTGCATGCGAACAATTGAACACAATACTGGCTCCCCCCCAACACACAGCATACAACGTAAGTGCTGATTATAGACGGCGTTATATGCATTGTTACTTATCTTTTAGTTTGTTAATAATTACAGCTGGGCGTGCATAGAAGTTGCCACGCAATCATGTATTGCAGACATCTTGGACAAACACCCAGAAGGTCTTAGTGTGGATGCATTGGCTGACGCAGTCAACCTCGACAGGACCAAGATCGCACGCGTCCTGCGGTTTCTGGCCCTCAGGGGCTTGCTTTAAAGAAGGTGACATGCATACTGTCGATTAACAATTCTCTCTGAAGCCTTTGGTGTCATGCAGTCAAGCGAGACGTATTCGCAAATACACGACTCTCCCTCGTGCTCAAGTCAACAAACGATGTTGTATTTTGTATACGAGATCAGCGAGACAGTCCCAAATATGCTGCGGTTCTCTATGAAACCATGATCGACCAAGAGTTTGCAAGATCGAGCGAAGTTGAAAAGACCCCTCGAGCATTTGCTCTCAGGAAGGAAGGCAAAAACAACAATTTCTGGGAAATGGACGTAAGTTTTAGTCATCATACTGGCCTTTCATGCCTTACCATATTGTGTAGGATGAAGCACGCGAAGTGCGTGCTGATTTTTCCGCTCATGACTGACTGATGGCTCACAATACACAGACATTTCACAAATGCATGATAGGCCATTCTATGATCTATGGCTCGTATGCGGCGCTCCATTGTGAGAAATCAGCATTTTTTCAATCGTCAGCATGACTGAAGCGGGCCATAAGATTACCCTTGGGACAATGTGTCGTCCGTGGTGGATGTTGGCTCTGGAACCGGAACAATGTCTATTCCTCTGGCGAAAATGTTCCCTCATCTTAGAATGACCAATCAGGATCTCCCAGAAACTATGAAGCTGTCGAGAAATGTGAGTCCAGACATCAGGTTTACACCCAGTGGGCAAGTTATATTTATATTTGATCAGACGTGGGAGAAGAAGGCTCCTGAGGCGCTACTCGACGGGCGCATAGAGTTCGTGCCATTGAATTTCTTGGAGGAGTCACCTGTTGCTGGAAAGGATGTTTACTATGTAAGTGTCAAGTTTGTCCCCATTCAACGCGAGTTGCTCAATGATCTGGTATAGTTAAGGAGCATCATTCACAACTGGCCGGACGATGAAGCAAGTGTGATTCTCCTCAATATTCGCAAAGTAATGGGACCAAACAGCCGAGTGTTGATTCGTGAGTCAGCTGCGTTTCAAAGTAATGTTTTCTCCAGAATCAACGTCCTGTGATAGATGACTGTGTGCTCTTGCGCAAGTTCGAAGAGCCAGGTGTAGGGGTTAATGGGTCTACTACTAAGGTGAGTTTCGAGTTGAGCTTGACGGTGATCATGCATTCAAAACTATAAGGCGCCCGAACCTACATTATTGAACTTCGGTAGTAACACACCTCACCAACATGACATGACGATGTGGCTTCTTTTCAATGGCAAGGAGCGAACCTTGAACGAATTCAAGAACATTGGGCAAGTTCCTTCCATATCCAGATACGTTAACGATTTTTGATTTGTTATAATTTGCAGGGCCAGTGCTGGTCTAGTACTCACCCAGACCTATGATCTCGTAGGGATGATGCTCATGGAGTTCAAAATAGCTCAGGACTGATGGTGAACACAATTTATGATATTCTGTTCTCGTTCTTTTATCCTCAATTGATCATTCCATGATTTAACGATGACGATGACGACAAAGGAGACTTGGTCCTCTATCGATCGCGATCGATCAAGACCAACCCGTTTCTTACAGTTGATACTGTAAGCCTCCCTAGTGATTCCATCAGAAGCCTCTGCCCCTGCTGAACAATATCTATCGTGTTCTTATCCTGTAAATCGTCTACGATATCGAGACTCTGCATGCTAATGGAGTGACCAGTCCCCTGTTACTCGTCCGAAAAATTTCGGCTCTCAGAAGCCGCGTCACTTCAAGGTACGAGCAATCACCGTTCAAACTGCGTGTACAGCCATTCAATGACCCCCGTCACCTCGAATGATGCATCAAAATTTTATTGACACATAGGATATATATCATGGCCGCTATTCACGCTCTACAGTGCGGGATATGCATTCGAAGTACCGTCGCAACAAAATACCTTCCACAGTGGTCACATCTTTCGAAAAGCCCGTCCCAGTCCCAGACACTTACACCTGTCTCACCGGAGAGGTCAGCAAGAAGACCTGTTTCATAGGCCGAGAGCCTGTTCATCACAACCATGCCACTGTCTTGTCCGAGCGGGAGACGTGTGGATACACGTTGTCCACGACGAGCCGCCATTGACAACTGACTAGCAGCAGCACCTTGAATAGATCCTTTGTATTAATTAGTTTTTGAATGATACTCTATAAATTGTGCTACAACTCACCAGCACGACGATGAACTAGTCGGATAAATGGACGTGGATTTGCTGAGGGTGCACCAACTAAACCACGGAGTTGTCGAAAGTCGGGCCAAACTGAGACATGGGATCCGAGATAGCCGTGGAAGTAGGGCGCAATGTCATGCTCATTAGGAGCAAGCTGGCGGAAGGCATCATGAACTGGATTCATGTTAGGTTGGGGGTTTGCAACTATGAGCAGACCATTAATACTGACACCTGCATCTAGGTAACAGTAAATACATACCGAGTGTTGGCAGTTCTTCGTAACTAGAGGTAAAAAAAGATGTGTGATAAATATCTGTGATGTTGGCTGTCGTGAAATCGTGAAAATCGTGTCAGTACAAAGGACGTGATCACCAGTGCAACATGCTAACCTCTAAATCCGCACTGCTCATTAGCACACTGCATCAAGACATGCCCATTCACGGCAGAGTCCACAATCCTGGTGGAACAAGGTGTGTCTGAGAGCATGCCGCAGAAACATTCTATGAAAAGCCCTCGACGCTGCAAGTAATCTGCCAAGCCATAAGGACGAATGCGGAAACGACCCGACTTTGGGCTGCAAACATAACTTTAAGTCAGTGGTTGGCAGTAAGTCAAAGTGAGCTACACACTATGCAACAGTGACAAGTTGCTTCACCTCACGTGAAAAGATGACGAGTTCTGTGCTTCCACGCTGGTACTCGATACACGGGCGAAAAATTGAATCCATGATGGCTAGCCTGGCCTACTGTACTATATCATGAGCGAGATGCTGACCTTTATACAGAGAGCCTTGCTGAATCCCTCGGCCATGTTATGCGAGGTAAATTTTGAATGCAAGTGTCCGTTCAATGAACTGCAAGAGCCCGAAATTAGTGGGTTCCTAAGTGTGCGGGTGCATCGGTGCCCATTTGCAAGTCATTGATGAACGTCCAACTGCCACATATACAGGCAATTATTTGAATTCAATGCTAGTATCTGCCCCCCATTTTTCCTTCTGTCTAATTCTCAATGAGTCTTACCTGTTCGCAACTTGAAGCACTTGAAAAAGTGCAACAGATATTGGACAGTGCAGGATTGTCCCCTATCTCAGTCACAAGCTCAGTTGTGTCATTGCCGTCATCACACCAAAATACACCAGACGTGGATTCAACCCTCGACACCATCTCCACTCCCCCATATCCAAGATATCAGTCTCCCGCTCCATATTATTTTACCACCGAGGAAATTTCACAGAGAGCCAACTATGTGAATCGAGCCACCAAAGTCAGCGCAATTGTTGATCACCCTGTTCATGCTATCCTCGAGTATCCCATAACAGCACCTGGCAGCATTGCACACTGTTTTGTTGTTGATCCCATATCCTTCGTGCAGCCTCAATCAGCATTCCAATATTCTCTTGGTGGAGGTCATGGTGGGCGTGAAAATGCAGTGTGCCTGCTTCTCCGAGATGATGCAGGCAAAGGTGTTCGTTGTCGCCAGCTTAAGTCATCGTGTATGTACATTAATGATGTCTGAGACTATTGATTTTATCATACTAATAAGAACGAGAACATACAGGCAATGGCCTCAAGGTATGTACATTCAACGAGGCCAGTTTCAGCAGTAATTATGCTGCATCTCCGACTTGGAGTCTGTCTCAGGCTGGATACAGTGATGATTCTGCAGAGGCAGAGGTTTTCAACAAGACTCTAGCATTTTTTTGTGCTGTCTCTGAACAGGGATGTGGCTTCGATGCAAACTTGGATTTAAGTCCTGAGATAGTACTAGACAGCTTTGATCTTCACTCCGAGTCAGAGTCCAGGGGGTGTGGGGCTCCCCTCATGTTATCTGTGAATAATCTTGGCCGTCCATATATTCAGTCAGTTCAACTTAAACGGCTAGAGTGTGTACTACATAGACTAATGATCCATTGCAGCTGCAAAAATTTCAATGCTTCTGTTTATCGAGCTCGCACCCATCTTGTCCTCCGGAATTTGGACGAATTCAATACTGATTACTTGCGGGCACTTATAGAGAACGACCTGAAGGCAATTTCCTTTCATGAAACACGAGCAAAAAATGATGGATATGGTCCTCTCATGCCGTGCACATTTGTTGCCTCCCCTGCCGAGCAGAAGCAATGTTGTCGTGAGTTACTTTCTGTCATTTGAAGTAGCATATATCCTAATCTGTTGGGCAGCATATTGGCATCGAAATCATGAAGGAAAATTGGCTCGTGGAACACTTCATAGCTGGCCAGTTCCATGCAAGGCAAAGTTCGACATATATACACCATACAATCTCACTGCCTGCCCACAAGTCCTCGTTATCTGCACCAACAATCACAGCCACCCTCCGCCTGCACCTGTCAAAACTCCAGAAGCTATTAAAGCCATTTTCTACGAGTTGCTGCTCACACTCAGCTGGAAACTCGCTGATGCAACACCACGTCGGATTTTACTTGATTCTGCATTCATACAAGCTTTACAAGCTCACCTCAGTTGGAAGGAAACCCGCAATCCCACACTGTCAGACCTTCACCCGTCTCTTGGGAACTCTGACCATGCTCGGCGCCTCATCAACACTTTGCGGTTTAATGAATTTCCAAGTGGAACAGGATTCGCAGGTGCTATTCACTTGGCAACAAAACACGATCTTTTGCCCATTGACGAGCGCTATATTCGTTGTGCGGAGTCACATCAGCTATCCACCAAATCAGCATCAAATCCACCTGCGGCCACCACATCAACTTTGATTAGTAGTCTGCGGCTGGTCATTTGTATGACAAAGCAGATGTCATGGCGTCTGATGCAAGCAAAACGGCTCTCGATCGACACTTCATTCAAACGTGTACATGGCTGGCAGGAATTTGAATTTGAGTCTTGGGACGTTGCCCACATGAAATGTAAGTTCAATACCAAATTGCTCAACTCAGCTGATGGCCATGACCATGTATTGTAGCTGTTATTGGTGCTCGAGCATTCACGACATCTCAATCAGCACAAGCACACTTCATCCTCTTCCAACAAATATTCGAGATTGCCAGTGCGGACACAGGTTGTGCTGTTCAGTTTCAATACATGCACGGAGAAGGGATTCAAACCATCATTGCTGATGGACATAAAGGTCAAGGTCTTGGTAAGTATATTTTCTTGGAATCCGAGTCAACGTGAATTGCAATTTGAATATATTCAATAATTCCACAGGCCTAGGTATGTATTGCGTATACCTGTGTAAAGACTCAATACAGGCTTGCCGCTATGACACCACTGCTCTACTTCGTGACCTGGATCCATATGACCATCTGCGCCGCTTCTACCGTCTATGTCTTGCGCACTATAAACGGAATATCCGTAGTCTCCGTGGTCAAATTCCCAAAGATGTGGAAATTGCCATGTTGACGATCACATCAGCGGAGCCTCATCCTGATCTACAGGGAACATTGAAGAAGATAAAGAAAGGTGGAAAAAAGGCTGCAGGTTTGTGATATTTTCTAATTCATGTTTTGAAGTATTTCTAAGGCAAGATTACTACCGGCAGCATGGCTTAAAGATAAAATTGAGGGCACGAAGTTTGTGCTACTGGCACTCTATCAGCCAAACAGTCTCATCCCGCTCGAAATTTGGAAGGCCTCACCAACTACTACCAATGGAAACGAGCAAGCACACAGGAATATCAATCGTGATGGTGTGGGTCTTACGCTATTGGGAGGAATCATGCGAGGATTTCACTACGACACAAACATCAGCGCTAGTTTGGACCTTTTCGATGCATTTGGCATCAACTCCAGCGACCGTTTATCTACCCATGCTTACCGTGCAAAACGTGCTCTTGCTCGACAAGGTAAGCAATACTAGTATATTCATGTTATTATCTAGAACACTTAAATGGTTTTCAGTCAGATATACAAGGTCTTCGCCCTCGGAGGGCAACACAAGCTTCGCATGTGTTCATCTCACTCCTCCACCTGTTGAGCCCCAACCTGAACTCATTCCCAACTCGTCTCTGATGACCGGTTCCACCGGCGGCGCCATCCCAGTATCGACATTCAGCACTCTCACTTATGCACTAACTGCAGGTGCACACGTTATGGATCATCGAGCTCGTTCCCCATCGTTTAGTGCTGCACCTCCCACTGTATGCGCAGTACATCACCATATCTATCCCACTCGAGATCAACTGAGCACTTTCAGTACATTGCAAGGTGCTGTAGAGTAGATGATACGATGCCCGGCGGTGCAATTTTTATTAATGGTGCAAAGATTACATGTATGATGCGATGAGATAAGTATTTGGGGGGCAGGAATCAGAATCAAGAGCGCGCGCGACCTTAAACTCGACGTCGGTCGCGGCCTTCATAAGATGAGGTGAGAATGTCAGAGAACCGCGAGCCTGGAACTGAGCGGCCGAGCAAGCGAGAGAGATGAGATGAGAGAAGGCCGCAATTCCAGGTCGAACGTGACAGAGACGGCAAGACAGCCGATGAATGAGGACATGGTGCAGTGGGTGTGAGAGAGTGAGGACAACGAGCGAGCGAGTGGGAGCAGTGAAAAGCCGGTGGAGGATCATAACTGTCTAGGAAGATGTAGTTAAACATATGTCAGTTGGTGAGAGTCTTCAGAGTTGGATTAGTTAGTACGTACATTTCAAAAGGCTAAAGGCAGCCTCATTAACCGACGAGGACACCAACGACGTACATCGATATTTGGAGCATCGAGCAGCAGTGCGCAGGTTTGGCCGTGGAGGCAAGATAATAATGAACAGCCACGTCAGCGCTATTGTAAAGTCAACAGGCATTAGTAACGAAGATGGGCTCCTCGGGGTCTTGCATAGGCTTGAAGGAGCAATTGCTCGTACCTTGAACTGACGCAATCCCAGGGAGCCGAAAATTTTCGGACGAGTAACAGGGGACGGTAGACTCATGCTAATGCACTTTCTACCTTGGTCACTGGTGGCAATGCTAGCAACGGGCTCAGAGACAGCTCTACAAGCACTTCAATTCCGTGCCTTAATTGTTTGTGATATCGCATTGTGTCGACCGTTTCCAGCGAAACAGACATATTGGTAGGCACCCTGCAGATTCGCCTGCGAGCCAGTCTTTTCCGGCAGGGGTGGCGTCCGCTCTCTGGCCATGTGTCCAGGATGGATTGGGTGATTGGGTGGTGCTGGAGTAGGAGGTGGTATCGAATGGAGGAATGTACATCGTTGGTGAATTAGCTGGATGAAGACAGCAAGACTGACTCTGTAAGACTGTATTTATAGTTACATGGTCGCAAATACCGAGGCCAGTCCTCACGCATATGAGGTCGAAGCGCTGATAACACAAGATGCTGACTGCTTGGCTTATAATGCTATCTCATAAGGACGCAAGTTGGGGATCGAACGATACGTAGACTCGGTGCTCGCAGATGATGCATCGATGATGGATGAACGCATAGAACGGCCAGGTCCAATACTACTAGTTGGTGATCTTCAGCCTCAACGCTTAGTACAATCATACAAATTGAAGTGTCTATCGTGCCGAACAGTTGTCAACAACACGTGCAGCGCAGGCACAGCATATGCATCAACGTTAACCTGGAAGCAGGTCGGTAATGATGACGCTAATTCAAAGGTATGTTTTCATTAGTGACTCTAGAATTCAAGCGCTGGCCCCTTCTACAGATCGTGACCTCCATAACTTCGATGCCCGGTCTGGTGAAAGTAATCATTTTCTGTCTACCTCGAGTCCCGCTAATCACGTTCACAGCTGGTAAGTTTCATCATTTCATTTGAGTCCTGCTCAACAATGACACTGTCCATCTCTTGACAGGAAGTCAGTATGTTATCCGTCTACAGAATACTAGTGCAGTCTGGGACTGTACAACTCGGAGTAGGCAGCTCGCAGGTGCGTGGTTTTTCCAACACTATAGCTCGAACTCACGGATTTTCAACTGAAGGTACTACCATTAACAATGAGACGGCAAGAAACATCGACATTTGCGCTTTGTGAAAACTTTCATGTGGCATATGATAGTCAGGACTCAGGATTGTCGCCCCTCCCACTGTAAGACATTTTGCAATATAAGGGCCAGTGATGATTCCCTCCTCGACACTTTGAATGTCTTTGACCGTGGCTCGCTGGTAAGTGGGCGCAATAAGCAGCCCTCGTGCGAATATTAATGCCTAGCAAGCCCCTATTTTCAACCTTGCTCTCCTTTTGCCCTCCACCACCATGGCCCTCGATAACATTGCATCCCCCGTCTCCGACACACCTCCCTCGTATGATGCGATTAATACATCCGTATCAACAGATTCCACTAGGTGTAAACGATCAGTATTTTCATTCCTACAATCCAAGCAAAAACACTGTCAAGCTCTAGTTCTATCTCGCATCCATGAAATCGTCTCCTCTCCTGATCTCAACGTTTCCTCTGTTTTGTCGATTATCAAATCCTGTGCCGCTGCTCTCCCAACAGCAGAGTTCTCCAACCTACTTCAAAAACGCAATATCGAGAGCCACACGGCGCTGTATTGGGCGATTGTAAACCACTGGCGAGAAGTCCTCTTGGAGTTTGTTAAATTCATTCCCAAATTCTCACGTGCTTGCTCTGCCGACTTGCGTCTTGTGTGCGTGACAGCGAGCGACCACGATTCGTTTATGCTACTGAATTTGGGGGACAATTTCGATTGTAAGATACTGTCCTGAGAGTGTGTTATTCGACTCACTGCGTATCATCAGCCAAGGATAAGTCTTTGAGACGCATGCTGGGTTGTCCACGAGATGATATCCAAGTCTATGAATGGGACACTGCGGATCGCAGCAAAAACCATTTCTATGTTCATATCGTCTGCAGGATGTTCCAGAAACGTTTGCGTATTGCACGAAAAGTTGAAGTTGAATTTGTTGCCCAGGGTATGTGGACCGTGACTTTGGCTTGTTGTCCATGCTGATACGAACACCCTGTGTCCTGAAGGACGTATTTGGGTGTTGCACTTTGATATGACACGGAAAGAATACTGGTCTTTCGAGTATCATCTTTCCAATGATAGCTCGCCAGTGTATCATCAAGATGCCATATTTGAGATTGAGGCCCACAAACCGCTACCTGGCTCGGATACCCTGCAACCTCTATGCTTTTATTCGGGTGAATCGTGCACGTGCAAGCTTGTACCTGCCAAGTAAGTCTATTGATCCCACTCGTCTGAAGTCAGCGCATGCTGAAGTTATCATTCCTATATGGCTACTCTTTACTTCCTTGCTCCGGCTAATACAGACTATTTTACCCTCTCCTGTTTTCGGACATCATACACAGAGTTGGCTGGCGATTGAATGAATGGCTGATGCACGAGTAAGCGTTCTTCCTCAGTCTTTCCCTCTTGTGGTGCCATTCACTGACATCGTCGTGATGTCGCACTCGTGCTGATTCGGACTGTTTTTCTTTAGCAATAGTTCTTATGTGGACTGTCATGGCACCCTAACTGCAGGGCTTACGATGACAGTAAGATAATGCTACCTGAGGTACGGAAAACCGTACCCGCAGTGCTAATGTAGTAGGCAGAACTCAAGATGTACTGCCACAGGCTCTCTACAACGTCTAGGTCCCGAGGTCATCCTCTCAATTCACTTGACGCGTTTTGTGGCAAGTTCTTATATACGATGTCTTGTACAGTGTTGTGAATTACAACAAGAAGTGTCTGTACACTATGTCTACCGTCATCTTTTCCTCATCTTCTGTCGCAAACAGCGCTCGAATGTCTCGTCGATATCGCACTCTTGACAGTGGTATCATACAAATGTGCGTAGGTCAGGTACGGCTTGCTCCAACGTGCGCGTGAGCAGAGGATTGATAGTGGCAAGGGACTCCAAGAAATTGCGAAGCTCGGTGAAGACGTTGTGGCCCGTGGGCCGTCCCACTGGCTTCTTGTGCCACCGAGAAGTCAAGATGTGAACTGATGGACATATGTCTGCTCGCCAGCTGGAGTGTAGCATTTATGGGTGCCTGTCACACCAGGTCGAGGATACCAGTTGTGTAGTACGGCAAAACAGTACATGAACAGCTGAAATCCCGATGATATATGATGCATTGATGTGACGAGATGATTCGTAGAGAATGTGGAAATGTTTAAGCCAATACCACTGGGAATATCCTCACAGCTGGGGGATTTTCATGTGATCACAGCGAGATTTCATCGGAATCCGATACGGTGCATGGAGATACTAAGGAAGAAGCTCGATTGAGAAAACTGTACATCAACCAATATAGACTCGAACACCTTTTCCATTTGGAGCCTGGTAGTTTACATAAATGTACGTAATTTTAAATTGTTGTTATGGTAATGTTTAACGTAAGATTGATGCAGACTCTCTCCTCAAATGGCAAATTGCTCCGTTTTTTTTTGCAACAGTCTATTACCTACTTATGTTGTTGGCTTGCTTGTGCACTCCTGCTGGTCAGCTTTTACGCTGCTCCCAGGAACAGGAAATTACCTCTGGTGCCACCAGAGGTACTTTCCTGGGAGTTTTTTTTTAAAAAAAAAAATCATTGTTATTGTCCTTTGGGGTCATAGACCCTATGTTGGACATAGCCCTATTCGAGTGCAGGGGGCTTACTCCCAGCTAGCTATTGTAAGTGTATATGTACTGTATGTGATCTGGGGTCTTTGACACATACTCCATTGGCGTGTAGTTGGGCCAAGGCCGACTGCCAACTTCGTACAAGGGAACGGCTGTTGGGGTAAAGTATGGGTAGGTGAGAACTAGGTAAGGTGAGTAGGAGTGCCGTTTGGCATTTTTTGCTGGGTTTCTGGTGCAATGTCTTTTGCTTCTTCGTCTTGTTTTGTGCTCGGGCCTTCATTCATCTTTGTCCTCATTCTAGCCTGCTACTTCCGGTCCTCCAGTGCTGTTTGTCCTGCAAGCAGTGTTTCCTTGGTGTGCGGAGTGGTTTTGAATTAGTTTTTGCATTTTGTAGGTTGGGTTTGATTGGCTTGTGGGTCGTGGGTGTATTATTCTGTAGTATATAGGCTATATGTGAAAGAGTGAACTTTTTATATGAGCGGGATCTCACCGAATGTTGCTTTGAAACATCCTGTACTGTTGATGAAACACATAAGCGATTTAGTTGCTTCTTCTGATGCTAGGAGAAAAGAGATGGAGGAGGCTCGATGATGTACATCATTAGAGAGTATATGACATTCACGGATGTATTGGGGGCAATCAAGTAGGTAATGGTGGATGGTTTCGTTTGTACTGGGGCATATGGGACAGTGTGGGGTTGCGCTCTTTCCGAGATGGTGTAGATGGTAGTTGAGGGGTACATGGCGGGTGCGGAGTTGAGTGTATATGCTGGTCTGTTGACATGGACTGAGGGCTACGAGGCGGAGAAAGTTCTTGGATGGCATGGTGGGGTCGATCGTGTTGGTTCTGGCATATCTGGGTGAGTTTTTCCACATGTTGCTCCAGTGTTTCTGTAGGGTGTCCTCATGCCACTGTTTCAGGGTGGATATACTGTCCGGCAGCAGACCATCTTGAAGGAACTTTGGGAGTCTGTGTTTGGTGCTTGATTCGTTGGGGCCCTTTGCTGCCTCTTTTGCTGCTATGTCAGCGAGTTCATTACCTATCACTCCTTTATGTCATGGTATCCAACAGATTGTTAGATTGGAGTCGCTTCTGTGATGCTCTCTGTGTAGCACGAGCTCTCTTGTTAGTCTGCGGAAATGTTCTACTAAGTATCTGCCCGATTTCGCAATATGACTCTCACCGGATTGGATGGCTGCGCGATTATCTATGAAGATGGATGCTGGATAGGTGACATTGCATTCTGTCGCTAGGAGTTTGGCAGCTAGCGTGAGTCCAACCACTTCTGCTTCATATACAGTGTGTAGTTAGGAGGTCGTGTAGCGACGTGCGGTGCCTTCGTATGTTCCTGGTGTCGGACTATGTGCTTCAGGAGGGGTTGTAGAGGGTGGCGGTTTGGTAGTGTAGCTAGGCGGAGAGTGGAACAGTGACATATTCTCTGGAGGAGAAGGGGGATGGGGGGAGGTTCAAGTGTGCATCTAGGGTGTCAGTAGCTGTTGGTCTCATTGCTCCTGTGATGCTCAGTGTCGCGATACATTGTACCTTAGCTAGTTTTTGGGCCACTCCCATAGATCCTTTCCGAGGCGAGCCTGTATATGAGTTGAAGGTTGGATGGAACCATATATCTGCTCCGTAGGTGTACTTGGGGATGGCTACCATAATATATAACTTACACATGAGATTGGCTGATACTCCGTTGGTGGGCTTGGCAAGACAGCGAAGTTGGAGGACATATTTGACTCCTTTAGCGATTGTGTGACCTGTGTGATATTTCCACATGTAGTTCCTGATCAACGAGCAAGCTGAGGAAGCTGGTGATGCTCAGTGGGGTTGATTGTGGTGTTATGTATAACTAGTGGAGGGCGGTGACGAGTTTTGCTGCAGGTGAAATCTGTTAGGGCGAATTTGTTAACTTTGAATTTTGAGTTGTGATCTTGAGACCATTGGAGTGCTCCATCATGTCGTTCCATCATATCTTTCAGAGTGCGGTGGGTGGCTTCGAACATTGGGCCTATGGTGATGAAGGCCGTGTCATCGACGAAGGCTAGGGCTGTTCCCTGTTTGTGGGGGTTAGCTATGTCTACAAGGTCAGCATAATATATCAAGTAAGCTATCATAGATAAGGGGTCTCCTTGACTGATTCCATTCTGAACATCTATCCATTTTGAAGTTGAGTCATTGAAGTGTAGTTGTGTGCGTCATCCTGTAAGCATTCTGACTGTGAAATCGACTATTTCTGGGGGGAGTTGTCTTTTCTTCATGTTGTGAGCGAGCCAGGTCAGTTACTGCATTGGGGAAGGCAGCCTAGACTGGTGACCAGCCTGTCTATGAGGCAAACTGTCGATAGACGGACTGGTGAAACTGGGTTTGAATTTGGATCAAGAGCAGATTCTCAGGATAATGTGACCTCTAGCCAATAAAAAAACTAGGATTTTTTCAATAAGTATTGTAGAATACAAAATAAACGATAACATTTTCACTAATTGACGCAACACAACGCATCCTCATGCTGCAAAATCAATGGACCAGCAATCACTGATACAGGGAATCCACGTTGCATCACTCGATGCTCTGGATCATTTCGCGCATGATCTTATCAAGGAACACCTTCCCACTGACTATCTTCAGACACTCTGTGATTCTGACCGAACACATGCATTACGTGCATGCTTGATTGTGTATGTGTTGACGGCAACAGCTATTGTTCCATGACAATTCCAGCTCGAGGCTGTTCTCGCAACATTGAACGGTCAAGACACCATCATAACTGCAGGAACTGGCAGTGGAAAAACATTATGTATCATAATCCCTATGCTACTCCGCCCTGGCACAATTAGTATGACCATTTCACCACTCAAATGCCTCCAGGCCACCCAGGTAACTCGGATTGAGTGTAATGACTTTGTTTTTGCACATGCAGAATTATGCTATTATCACAGGTTCTCGAATCGACAAAATATGGCATACCTACAATTGCGATCAATGAAGACACTCCAACAGATTTGTCTCTCTGGGAGGTAAATTCCAAGCTCGGGCGTGCCACATCAGCGTCATTGTCAGTGCACCAAAGCTAATGTAAAATATCTTGCTAGTCTATTCACGCAGGAAAATTTGCTCATCTCATTGTTTCACCGGAGCAGCTATCAATGTGCAATGGTCACCTTCCATGCCTTACACGACTTCTCCGACAAAATTGTACCTTCACTCAATGCATTAAGTGTGTACATATCGATGAAGCACATAATATTTATACTGCAGGGCTTCCGCATCATGGTGAAGAAGCATTTCGACCTGCATATGGCAACCTTGGAGAGCTACGTGTGCTACTTTGCAAGGGAACAACATTTCAAGCACTGTCAGCAACACTCCCTTGTTACATTCTGTCAAAGACATCTGATTGAGGGTAGGACAAACATCCACATTGAATGTCAGTGCTGTAGCATCGAGGGCACGGTTCAGCATCGGTGAGAGATGCATGTGATCTTGATTCCCATTGTGAACTTCATAGAGGATAGCAAAAGTTCCCGACTGGACCTTTGCAGGGGCATCAGAGTGTCGTTCGACAAATATTGATGTGCTGATGTTGATGTTGTCGTAGCACATCATGTGCGGTGTCATGCATGGTATGTGATTCATACCATGTCAGATATATATAGAGAGTGATAAGGAAGATATGAGAGACTGTCTAGCCCTTTGTCACTAAGTTACCTCTCTATTTTTCCTTTATTTCATTGTCTTGTTTTTTATTTCTCACTTTACAGGCTTATTTTACCTTGTATTTGTATCAAGCATGACCTTCTGTTTATTTCTCATTGTTTATTTTTATTTGGCTTCTTTCAGCCACCAAGTTTTGTATCTCTATTTATTTCTGACTGTTTATTTTTATTTGGCTTCTTTCAGCCACCAGCTTTTATTTGTCATCACATCATGTGACTGGGAAATATTCTGGTTTGTAACATTATTTAAGCTGACTCAACATGTTTAGTCATGATTGGCCATGCTTTGTAACAACATTTAACATGACTCAACATGTTTAGTCATGATTTGTCATGGTTTGTAATTTCTTTGTAAGATTACACTGTATTTGTAATGTACTTAGTAATAAGCTGATTCATCACCTGGTTTGTAAGCCACATTCTTACCAATCCATCTGATTAATCATGCTTAGTAAGGGGGTTCCCAAAAGGTATAAAAGGACCCCATTTTCACCCATGAAATACAATCCTCCCACTTGACTCTTATCTCAAACCGTGTGAGACCACTAAGACTTAAAGTGCAGGCCAATATAAGTGCCTTGAGGTAATCTAAGATATCATTATCTATTCTAAAGTTATATACTACCTTACAGGGGTCGACTATATAACTTTCATTATCGTTATTCTACTCTAGGTTATATACTACCTTACAGGGGTTGACTATATAACCATTGAACAGCTCTCATTCTAAGCTTTACGTGTATTCATAAGACTCTCCCTTTCAACAGAAAGTGAGACACATCTAAGGACGACAAAGTTGAAACAGACTTTCATAGGTTGAAACACGACCTACTAGGCTGAAACAAACCTAACGAATTTATCCAGAACACAGAACATTCCACAACAACTTCATATAAGACTACACAAGAAGAGGACAACAAACTAAATCCTCCCAAGAACTCACCACATTACCTCCCACGAAGTAGAAAAGTTGGAGACCGTGGACTTAAGGACTGGCAAGAAGTCTTCACCGTGTATAATTGTGTCATTATACACAACTTTCATATAAGACCCTTAAGTAACAAGACAACGCGTCAAAATCAAGGCGAAGTTTCAAAACTTCTTCATCGTGGCCAATGTGATCTGCTTCACTTGGTCTCACTTATGCCATGAGTTTCTCAGCGAGATGGAAGAAGAACAGCTCAAACATTTGAAGGTGATCTGGGCACTCGCCGGCGCAGTGACGTTCTGCGGCCTAGACGAGCAGTTTGAGGATGAGTTGAAGGTTGAGTCTTTCGGGGGGATGGTCGTCAATCATAAATTCCTTTCTATTCTAGCCGCCATCAACAACCTCACTGGGGACGAGCGAGTAGAATTCAACGACTTTTTACGGTACGTGTTGGTAGTTGGACCCTCACAAGTGCGCTCGTAAATATGCATCTCTACTACTACTATGTTTTGATTCTTTCGATTGTACTACTACTAGTATGACTGATAATCTTATGTCGCATCGATAAACCTTAGATCTCGCATCTAAATGTACTCAGGGTTCAAACATAACCAAAACCAGGCATTTACGAACTAAATTTCGTGCTAACCAAAACGGTAACTCTCGCAAGCGTTTTAGACGACATTTTCACTAAGTCCAATTTTTAGATGCAGCTTCATCTATGTTTGGACTCATCTTGAGAGACACTTCAGAGCGATGCTTTTGAGATAGTCCAGGGACACTCTCGTACACCTTCCACACGATACTCTTTTTGGTGTTTATGACTCTCGGAGATGCGGTGCGCGAAAATCTTGCGATTATCAGGCCAAGATCAAAAGATAGATTGTACTAGACTTGTGATATGATCAGATTGAGATTGATAACTGCGCTACATGAATATCAAGCTGTCTACTAGTTGTCTGAGATCACTGATAGCGAATGGTACAGCTCTTTGTCTGCGAAATTGTTCAAGAAGTAGTCATCAAACACCTCCAGCGAGTTCCCAGAATTCACGTCCTTGCCCAATGGTCCTTGATAGACGGGTATAATTTCCACTGCATGCGTGATGTCTGTGAGAGCAATTATGGACCTACATCTGATCACCCTGTCCGACTGCGAAGAGAGTCAAGTATAAGACCGTCTGATCATCCACATGCCCGTAGATGGTTCAGGGCCAGGCACGATGAAGTCAAAGTGTTGAATATATATGAGCACCTGAGACAAACGCTCAGGAAGCTGCACACCGGAACCTCTGGGGACGGTTGGTTGGAATATGGCTCGTACTTGAGCAACATAAGACCCTGCAGAGCGATATCAAGTGTCAGGGAGTGTCATCACCAGTCAATTTAGCAATACGCACCATCATTACCACCATTGCCCGTCTGGTTAAATAACACGGCGTCGCAGTTCCCTCTAGGAAAATTAGCGGAAGGTGGCTCGGCATGAATTTGCTGACTCGGCATGATTCTGTAAGTGTGAAACGTGGAATATAACTGAATCCGAAATTTGGACCACATATTGAATGATAGGTGGTCAGAGAGTGTACAGCCATTGCAGGTTGCGTAGAGGTGTAAAGTGTGTGCAAAATCAGGGAGATTGTATGATGACTGCAGCTGAGACACACTGAGACGGCTGCAATCTGCTTTCACGGTGACATTAAAGGCGATACATGCATTGTCCGATAAAATACCCTTTAAGAAGTGATTACGAACAGGGTGCGGTGCTTGTAGACGTAGCTGGGCGGCTGGGTTTGCATTGGAGACCCAAGCAAGAGTGGGATCCGTCTCTGTGCTAGCGATCTCTTCATCCTCCATGATGATGGCATTGATGAGAGGGTCCTGGCCAGGCATAGATGAGGATGAGGATAGCAGCATATAAAGATCAAACAGCCGGATAGCCTCCTCACGATCGAGGATGTGAGCGATCTGTGAGACGAAGTCTTGCTGACGACTTGTGCATTCAAATGGGTGTTTGCAGTGCGTTATCAAAAGACGTTCTGAAACATCTGCTGTCCACTGCATGAGTGAACCAACATGGAAGATTGCACAAGTGAAACTTTGCATGAGTTCGAGTTTCGGAATGAAGAAGTCATCCTTAGCACCACCCTTTCCCTGTCATGCCTCTGCATCAAGGATAGCCTGCTTATTATTATGTAAGTCCTGAAGTGCCTGAGCCATGGAAGCGATGCTGGATTCAGTATGAAGGGGATTTTGAGCAAGGTAAATGAAGTCAATCATTGCCCGCACAGCACGGATGAAGCCAGGACTTGCCACACCCCACAGTGTCGGCACAATCATGCATTGAATGTCTCGGTGCTCCCGTCCTGTCATTTGGTTGACATGAGAGACACCCCCAGAGAAATGGCATATACCAGTGCGTTTGTGGTGACTCTTGAACCATACATCAAGTTCGTGACCCATGATCTGCTTGATCCATTTGAGAACATGGTCAAAAAAGAACTTGTGCAGCGCGTGAAGAATCTCTGGCGTCAGGAATCTTGCAGGATTAGAGTGCCTCCAGTTTCTCCAGTACGGCAAGTGCACCCCACTAAGATGAAGTTTTTTGGCCTCTCTAACGAATACAATGAGATTCCATGGGTCGACACAGTTACAAAGCTGCTGGATAAGCGTGTAGGTATCCGATCCATTCCGTGGAGGATGTGGTGTCTCATCGCCAAACTCTTTGTGGGTCGCTGTGGTGACAGGAGATGAGTTTTTCATAACACATGTGATCATCAATTGTTTGGGGAGATCAGCAACATGGTTGATAAGAGGGGTGAAACAGTAACACATTCTGGCTGAGGGATCAACCATATACTCGCCAACATGAGCCGCGACCTTCAAATTAGAACAGACAAGATCCATGCACTTATGCCACAGACGCGCATGGAGTAGAGTTTGAAAGTCAGAGTTGACAACAAAAGTGGGTGTTGGCATGAACGCAGTACATCGCCACACATGCGATGTAGCCTTCATGCGGACATTGGCCTGGATATTTCCAATCGTTAGAAATAATGGGTGCATCTCAAGGCCACCCGTATGCCTTGTGACTGGAGTTTTGTCAGAGGCAAGGACGATCGGAACGATAGTCGCTCCTTCCGGTAGTTGATCCTATGTGCAAGTGTCAATCGCTCAAGTAAATCTGAACCAAAGCACAACTACTTACCTGAATCTTCCACGCATCACCTGATGTCCAGAATTCTCCAAATTGGTGTTCTTGTCCTTGATAGATATAGTGAGGGTCATAGCACATGTGTTTCGCATAAACCGGGTTTGCGAAAAGCTGCTTCGTAACCTTCAACGCGTCCCTCCAAATGAGGTGAATTGCTTGTTCACTTTCGTAGCCCTTGAGCTTAAGTTTCGTGCATTGCCATTTTGGCCCGCGGCCAGGAAGCTGCTGCATATAGAAGAACAACTCGTCTTTCGACTTGAATTGCGGCCGTTCCCTTGTCTGGAACTGAAGTAGAACGTCAATCAAGTATTTACTTGATGATAATTAGACGTACCCAGTCTAACTTGAGAAATTTGTCGATCTGCGTCTGGGAAAGATTTTTGACAAGGAATTTTGCAAGCGACCATTCACCCAGCCCATCAAAAGGGTACCATATGTTAGTCTCTCTGGCTTGTTGAAGAGGGTGGCCTTGCATTTCCTGAAAGATATTTCATGGAGGCGGTTGATCTGGAAGCAGGTAATGGTAGCCAGAGGTGGGGTGATACTTTGCTGATAAGTCTGTCTGCTCTGGTGGTTGCTGTAGAGCCTGCGGTACTGGCAGTAGTGATCCGTTAGTGAGGTTCTCTGGCCAGCATGAGTCTGCACTATTAAGATGCTCTATGACCTCCTCAGATGATTGTTATGGTTTCTTGCAGTTAGGACACAGGGCAACAGCAATGTCAAAGGGTGAACTGGAGAAAGATATTGGTGAGTCGTGTATTACCACATGATACTACTCACTTTTCAGTAAACTCTCCAAAATCAGAGTTGGCTTCCTCACGCTGAAAACCAGAGTTGTATGGATCGTAGGGCTGAGGATACGCCATAGAGTGACTAGAGGTACTGCCAGCACAATGCTTTGCACAACACTCGAAAAGCACCAAGTCCTTGAAACTCCGACCGTCAATCGGGCTTGCTGTCCAACATACTGCCAGACTTACAGTATCAGCTATGTATCCTCCACAGTCTCTGGTCTTGAATTCATTGAATGGTGAAACCCCACCAGCCAGTCCATTGCATAGCGGAAAGTCTAGTCCAATTCTCCAGAAGGTTGATTATGCCAAAGCTTTCACTTGTGTCTACCATGATAGCCCCCAAAGCTCTTCTCCACCCAGCAGCCTTCATGCCTTGTCATCCCCAGGTACTCATTATATCGTCTCAAATACCAGAAAATACTCATTTTGAATCTAAGCGGCATCTGTCACTTCCTTTAGGTACCATGACTTTGGACATGGTGATGTCAGTCCACCTACTGCAAACAGGCAGGGTGGAATGTGTCATTCAAAACAGATTTCACTGTCCAGCTACCACCCTTATGTCCGGAAAACCCCCCCCCCCCCCACCCCACTCTGCAGGCTGAGCGCAAGATGACTAGGGTAATGGGCAGATTGACTGGCAATGTTGATTCAGACCTTGACGATGATGCAGTATGTTACTATATCTTACGTTCTGAATTCAAGTGAAATGTCATCATGTCTCTAGACTTGCAAAATATTCTCTCAGGGCTTGCAGCGGTTGTCGTCTGAAGGTATTCGCCGTGTTGCTTATTACAAGGAAGCAGAGCTCGAGCACCACCAGCATCTTTCAATGGCTTTGGCCTGGGAGGCAGAGAAACTCTCAAGGCTCAGACATTTTATCAATTTTGAACAACAGGAGCAGGAGGAACAAACCACTCAGGCATTTGAGGAGGCAGCGCTCTTTGCATGTATGGTGACTGATCATGACGCAGAGCATGCCTCTCAGGATCTGGAGTCCATCACTTCAATCCAACAGGAAGAGGCAACAAGGGTCAAGCAGTTGAATAATGAGCTCGATGAGCTCGATATATTCCTTCCTTCGGATGTTCCAGCTTCAGACCTCAACACTGCTGACACACACTCCATCGGAGGTCCTTGCGATTTTGCATTTGTCGGAGATTGCCACAAGGATGAGCTGGCATCAGGACTGAAGTGAATCAGAGTGGAGGTCTATTTTTATTAACCAATATGAAGGTGAGCTTTGTTCTTTTATATAGCAGTCACGCACCTATTTATTGGTAAAGTGTAGCATGCAAGATGTGATTGGATATTGCAAGGTGGTATTTAAGCAAACTTGTTTTCCTACGTTTGTCCATTTAGCGTGTTAACATCTTTATTTGTAGTTTGTATAACTACAATTACCATTGAATGTAGCACGTTGTGAACCTTTTTTTTTTTGCCTTACGAAGATGTTCTTACACACACTGATTATCGATTGATCGTTGTACCTGCACTTGACCGTGATGTCTGCAAGCCAAAACGCGCCCCCTAGAGCTCATCAAAGAGTTGTGCGGGTGAGTACCCTGGAATGTCTCTGTTACTAGTAGTGTACTGACTCATATAACAGGATGTTCCCATTGTTCGACAACCAGGACTTAACATTGCAGGTCAGTCATCGGCAAACCAGCTTGGCTGTGCATCGGAGATACCAGAGTCGATGAACACACCTGAACTACCCCCTCGCATCTATCTTCCCCCCACTTTCTCGAATGATAACTACACCTCTATTCTGCCCAATTTCCAGGGCAACATCCCTTTACCAAGGGCATCCTGTTTTATTGGATGGCCCCCCACACTGCGGGGCCTGATCGAGTTCAACGGTCATTTGCACCTGCAGGTGACGTTGCATCTCGATATTGTATGGAATACACGTACTTGCCTCTTCGTGGTGTGGAAAAATCTCATCAAGAATATACCGATGGTGTTGTTTTCGTAAGTCTTGTTTTATATAAGTCTGGATTGTAGTTAATCATATATTAGAGAGACGAGACTACGGGAGTACAAAAGTCTACCATACGACAATACAAGCTTCCACCTGTTAGACCCCCAAGGGAGTCGCTCGTGTCAGATCCAGAGCCGACACCACTTGCTACCACCACTCCCCCCTCTGCATCATCGACTGTCACAAGAGCTACACATGCTACTGCGGGACCTTTGGTCAACGAAAAGGACTCAAAAACCGTTGTGAAGGATGCTAAGAACTACGTAGTTGTAGAAACACTGAATAAGTGTGCTTTCCACGATTTGTCTAGTCGAACGACTGTCGTAGGACGTGCACTTACTGATGCGTGTTCGCTCATTATCACCGAAGGTGAGTTCTTCGTGCTACAACTAGGGTACTATCAGGTGCTAACGGGATAACTATTAGATAGCTTGAGAAAACTTTGGGTCGACGAAAATCTATCTGCACTATACAAGACTGTCATTATGCCGATGTCTACAATACTCAATCGCTTCAAGCAATCTGCGCAAGACCTCGTTGAAATTCTATACAGCCTCCAACTATCGATTTGGACCGACTTGACGGCCCAGATTAACCACACTAAATCAACTGTCACATTTCTGATTCGCGATGACAGTCTCAATTATATATTTGGCGATTCAGTTATGGTATGTAGTCCTATTTTGCGAGTGCCATTGTTTGGAGGATGACAAGCTCATTGATAGCTAGATGATGGTCGAAACTTTCGCTTCCCATTTGAACACGACACAATTATTCAAATTGCATTGTGTGCTGCTTTTCGTGATGGCTACAATAGATTCATTAATTCGGACAGTAGTCTCGACAATATCATGGCATTGTCTGTGACGGCTGCATGCTGCAGCCTGCATGAGTTCTCGACCGGCGTGTTCAAACAAATTGACTTCAGTTACGCTACTTTTAACAGAATGTATGAGAGACTGATGAATTTCATTCGTGATAACATTAGGACCTCTCCAATGTTGCTATCTAGGTGGAAATCACTTCAGTCACCCCTGTTAAAGTACCTCTTAGGTACATATATTCTGGCTTACAATCTCACCTAAGAGGCATGATCTTAGGTGGTATTCCCAGGCAATGCAGGTTATATCCCGGGCCAATTCAACACTTTCCCCACGAAGCCTGGGCCTGCTGGGCCAATGTATTTGATCTGTCCCATGACCCATCTGGGTCATCCTAGATACTTTATTATATGAATACACAGGGGGTGTCAGGGGTCATTTCTCATGAAAAATTACCCACACATTTAGACACTTAGAGTATAATGTTTGTCTTCATAAGGTCCTTGACCTACGAATGGAGGAAGTGAAAAGAAATATGTGGTGAGGGGGGGGGGCAGCTTGTCTTTGAAGATGTGGAAGAATGTAAGTTGGGTAAGGTTCTTGACCTACAAAATCCAAAGCAGCTGGAGGAGGCGGGAAGAAATTTGTGGTAGGACGGGGGGTTGTCTTGAAAGATGAGGGAAGAATGTAAGTTGGGTAAGGTTCTTGACCTACAAAATTCAAAGCAGCTGGAGGAGGCGGGAAGAAATTTGTGGTAGACGGGGGTTGTCTTTGAAGATGAGGGAAGAATGTAAGTTGGGTAAGGTTCTTGACCTACGAAATTCAAAGCAGCTGGAGGAGGCGGGAATAAATTTGTGGTAGACGGGGGGGTTGCCTTTGAAGATGAGGGAAGAATGTAAGTCAGGTAAGGTGCTATTTGTGGTAGACGGGGGGTTGTCTTTGAAGATGAGGGAAGAATGTAAGTCGGGTGAGGTCCTTGACCTAGAAATCCTTCTTGACTGTGCCCTCACTCCAGATACTGACATATTTTACACTCCATGTTACAATCACTTTGCTCCTTACTTAACGATTCGCTATTATGCATCACCTTTCCTTCGCTCTTGAATTCCCTTTTTGATCTGACTTCCATATTCGACCTGTGTACTATTATCCCACCTTAGCCTTGGTCTGTGCGTATATAGTGTCCTATTTAAGCACGTGTACTTTACCTAGAAACGTCACTTCAATCTTACTAGGTTTTACCCAGAACTTCCTTCGCTTAAGACCACCAATCTTAAGTCATCAGAACTGATCTCTTAGTTAAAGCACTCCTTTAACTAAGTCTACGAACCTCTTCTTATTTGAAGGGCTTTACGAATCTCAGCAACACGAACGCTCTGTCGAGCCTTTGCTGTTAGAACTATCCTAGTTTGTAACAAAAGATTGAAGTCCACGAAAGACACCTATACCCATACGTGTCACAGAAACCTGAAACCAGAATGAAAAGATCCTGACTGAGCAAGACAGCTAGTGCAGGCGAATAAAAGGCGACAATCTGACTTCACTCACCCCTACCTTCCAAGCCTTGAACCTAGGTACCCCTGTACCACTGTTGAACATGTTGGCCTCATCTAAAACAACAGAATTCAAGATCAACCATCCTCCCACATTTGATGGCGACAGAGACAAATCCAAGTCATTCATGCTCTCATGCAATGCTTATATTGACATCAACTCGGAAATCTACAAGACCGACACTCAGAAAGTAATCTTCATCTCCTCATTCATGAATGAAGGGAATGCTAGGTCATGGAAAGAGGAATTTCTCGCCGACGCCCAATTCATTGACTCAACTGGGCAGAAGAAGGGCTATGGAACCCTGAAAGAATTTAACGAAAGCTTTGAAAAAGCCTTTGGACCGATTGACCCAGCCGGGACTGCGCTGGCACGACTCCTGGAGCTGAGACAAGGCCCAGAAGGCCTGCAAACATACATTGCAGACTTCCAGAGATTGCTTGCCCAAGCAAAAATCAAAGAAGAGCATATGAAAATCTATCACTTCGAAAACGGTCTCAATGGAGGACTCGTGACCAAGATGTTCAATGCAGGAGGGGTACCCAAGAACCTAGACGACTACATCACTGCAGTAGTTGATCTGGACAACTGCTACGCAAGACTGCAAGCTCGCAGAAACAGGTTCTCACCACAACAAATCCAGAAAAAGAACAGTCACGGAGACCAAAGATTCGTCCCTACTAGAGACAGGGATGCTATGGTTATTGATCGGCTTACCGATGAAACTAAACAAGAATACATGAGGACAGGGAAGTGTTTCAACTGTCACCAGACCGGACATCGGGCACGGGAATGCCTGCAGAAGAAGAAGACTCCCTACCCAGCAGTGAGGAAGGTAGAGGAAGAAGAAGCTAGAAGGATTGACGAGGATTTTTAAACAGGAGACCTATATCAACGATAGCGCCTCCAGAAGAACCTGTACACCTAATACGAGCAGTTGGTGAAAAAAAAGAACTTCGTGTCCCCATAACTCTCATATCTCAAACGCGTCAGAAAAATGTTGAAACAACCGCAGTAATTGACCCTGGAGCCTCCGGAACCTATATCTCCGAGGACTTCGTAAAGAAGCATAATATCGGAACCAAGAAACTCGAAAACCCCTTTTACATCAAAACAGCCGATGGAAGCTACTTCAGTAGCGGACCGGTAGAACAATATTGCACACTGATTGTCCAAATCGACCAAAGGATGATGATAGGAAAATTCAACATTACCAAATTAGGAAAAAAGGATCAAATCCTTTTAGGGATCCCCTGGCTTCGAGCCATGAACCCCGCTGTAGACTGGACCAAACAGACAATATCCCTCCCTGCAACCAAAAAATCTACCGAGATAGAAAGATACGTCAAGCAAACCTCCCGACCGCAGAAAACTTTCTTCACAAAGAAATTTGACACAAAAGAAGATGTTTGGAGTATGTCACCATCGTCTTTAACCGAACTTACTGACGGTGGGGAATACCTCTGACAAATCGAAGAGACTTCCAAGTTTAGTAACAAGGCACAGGAGTTCGCCTCAGAAGAAAAAGAAAAGAAGAAGAAAACCTTTGAAGAACTGGTACCGGAATACCTCCACGACTTCTCAGACGTATTTGCAAAAGACGGCTTAAAGGAACTACCCCCCGAAAGACCTGGTATCGACCATCAAATCGAAACTAAAACCGGATTTATCCCCAAGACATCTAAAATCTATCCCCTGTCCTTCAATGAACGACTCGCAGTAAAAAGATTTATTGAAGAAAACCTTACCAAAGGGTTCATCACGAAATCTAAATCCCCTCAAGCAAGCGGATTCTTTTTCATAGGAAAGAAAAGCGGAGAACTCAGACCGTGCCAAGACTACCGCTTCCTAAACGACCAAACTGTCAAAAACGCGTACCCCCTGCCACTTCCATCGGAGCCCCTTCAGTGACAAATTCCGTATTATACGGGCCACCCGACCTCCATAATATCCCGTATGAGACGGGCCAGCTGATCATGGGCCCATGTTGTGTATATTCTCGATGATGACGGATGGGCCGGGACACATATTATTTCCGATGGAGATGGGTGGGCCCATGTATGCCAATGATATATATATCCTCAATGTTGACGGATGGGCCGGGGGAATATGATCATTCATGGAGATGGGTGGGCCCATCTGGGTAATATGTAGAGTAGGATATTATAGACAGCTGGGCTGAAGAGAGATGTAAGGCAAATATTGTTATATAGACGGGCGGGCCGACGTGGGTGTATTACATATATGGGTGGGCCGAGGTAGGGGAATATTACATAGATGGGTGGGCTGACGTAGGGTGTATTACATATACAGGTGGGCCGACGTGGAATGTATTACATATACAGGTGGGCCGACGAAAGGGATATCAAATAGACCGGTGGGCCGAGGGTGCTATAAAATATTTATTACATAGACAGGTGGGCCGAGGTGGGGTATAATTATATAGACGGGTGGGCCGATGTAGGATGTATTATATAGACGGGTGGGCCAACATAGGATGTATTACATAGACGGGTCGGCCGATGTGGGGGATAATACATAGACGGGCGGGCTGACGGGGGTGTATTACATATATGGGTGAGCCTAGATATGTTCCATCAAGACATACAGCTGATGTAGCCACCAGCGAATCAAACACATAGGATACATGTACACTATCAGTGCATATACCTACCATCAACCACCAAATCTAAACCCCTAAGCACAAAAACATGAATCTATCATGTGTGGCATTGACCAATAATCCAGGACTGAAGTGGAAAAACCCCACACCTGAACCCTGGTGTGCAACAAATCCTATTTCTAAGCATGGACACCAGAAGCACAACACTCACAAAAATATATATGTCAAATTTTCAGTGCCAAACCCCAAACCGAGATGTACCAACCCCCAAACCCCAAACCCTGAGAGTGCCGGGTCTCGGGTATCAGGTGTCCGGAACTCGGAACTTGGGAGAATTTGGGGAGATCAATACAATTTAATTTACAATTGAGTTGATTGACAACACATTGACTTACCCATGTTTGCAATATATTTTTGTTTAGACATACCGAGTTCTGAGTTCCGGACACCCGATACCCGAGACCCGGCACTCTCGGGGTTTGGGGTTTGGGGGTTGGTACATCTCGGTTTGGGGTTTGGGGGTTAGTAAAATGTTTACAGATATACATAGGTTGATTTAAACATGTCTGGAAGATGTCGTTTGTCTAAAATGTCAAATCCTGAGTTCCGGGTGTCGGGACTCGGGGTTCGGCACTGATAATTTGACATTCGGGTGTTCGGGTTTCGGGTGATATCTACTTCAATCTGCAGTTTCGAGTTCTGGATATCGGGAGTGATCATTGAATGATTCAATTGTGGCATAGGTAACATGCATGGAAAAACATTTATGTACATCTATCACTGAGCAATTATGTAGCCATGTCAACCTCCTCACCAGGAAGATCAACCTTTCCCTCAACATCCATCTCCTCATCAGAAGAATCATATTCTGGCAGGAGGTTACCTGGTTCATTAGGGACCACAATATCGCCGGGGGATTCTGGCAGGAGGTTGCCTGGTTCATCAGGGAGATCAATTTCGCCGGAGGATTGTGGACCCTCAGGCTGAACTTGGGTGGGCTCAACCATGGGACCTACCACAGCAGATTCATGCTCAGGCATCAAAGGTGTAGGTTGCATGACTGAAAAGTCCAAATCAATGAGGTTGGAAAGTGCGGAGGGGAGGGGTGACATGGACGGGGGGGGACCTCCTTGACCAAGCAACATTATTCCATCGGCCGGTGTGTCCGGAAGTGAGAATGAAGGGTGCCGGTCGACCACTGTGCGCCGGAGGCTCTCATGGAGGCGTTGCAGGGTATCAATCTTAGCGTCCTGCTCCTGCACCCGAGCCTCAAGAATAGCGATGCGAGCTG